AATCTACCTTTCTCACACTCAATCAGATTTATATATGATCTAAGAAAAATACATGACATGACAAAAGTATATATTCTTCTATATTTAAAGGGAACACCTAGGTATAAATCTTATTAAATTAAATAAAAATATTTATTAATACAGATTATGCAAGTTCTTTTGAGGACATACAATCTACTTCATAATATTCTTAATTTCTTTGTGGAAACTTCATCATATGGTGCAACAAAAAATAATCAATTATTTTAAGGTCAAGTATAGAATTTAAGCTAAGAGCTATGGCCCAAAGAGTCTATGAAGTATTATAGATCTAATAAATCTTTAATGATCAATATATTATGAGATACCCATCAAGCTTTCGTGTGACAATAGATCAATCATAGAACAAAGTGCATGGAGGTTGGATCTCACTTCATCAAAGAGAAGACCGAGTTAAGAATTATTTACATTCATCATGTCAAATCAAAGAATCAATGTGTGGAGCTATTCACCCAGGAACCAAGGAACTTCATGGCCCTACTATGTAAAAATTCATGAACAAATTACAAATAGAAGATATTCATTAACCAAGTTGAGAAGGAGTGTTAAAATATATGATAATCTCATATGTTGTGTATTTATTTATACGCAAGTTATGTTTTCAATTATAATTATCAGGTTAAGTCCACTTATATTTGTAATTGCAGTAGTCTTAATTTGTATACTTATAAGGTTTTGAACCCCTAATCTAAGTAAGAGTCATTTTTTATTTACTCTCAATAGTTCTTCATCAAGTAGTATCATGAGCATAGACAATCAAAGTTGAGAAATCTAACAATTCTAAATGTATAAAAACTAACAAGCTCATTCTAAAGATAAATAAGTGAACTGAAAATAAATAAGTAATAGACTAATACCTTAACTCCTTTACAAGTGACATATCAACACTTTTATCCTCTATATCGATATAATAAGTGACTAAATAAATTCTTATCTATCATTTTTCTCAACTAGGTATAAAAATAGTTAAAATTTTATCAAATACTTTATTGGAGTGCAGCCCCATTTGAAGAAAGATTCATTGCTTTGATGCTAAGATCAATGTAAAACTATCACCTCATCTTCATATACATATAGTTAGTACTAAAGAGTGTGACTTGAAAAACTTAAGTATGAAGTAACAATAATTCTTAAAATATAGATCATCCATCCAATATTAAATTTAAATATATATATATTAAAATTTCATAAGCCACTTAAGACAATCATGATCAAAAAATATATAATAGACTTCAAGCTATATTTCACCCACATCTATTAATTTACTAGTAAAAAAAATATCACATGTAAAATAAAATAAAATTTACAATGCATGGTGATTTACAACCACATGAAAATAAATATTAAAATAATATTTCATATTAAAAAGGCTTGTTGAATTGTTCTGCAAAACTAACATCCAATTAATTATGTTGTATAGAAGATAAATCATATGACTTACTAGTCCCATTGAAACATAAATTGTAATTAATAAATACAAGTCATATACTCAATTGTGATAGTTATATAATGAATACCTACCAACTAATGTTTTAGTTAAAATCAGCTAAATTTAAAATATATTTACTTGTCACTCACCTCATCAACTAACAAAAGTTACACATAGAGAAATCTTCTACAATTAGATCACGATGCTTTCCCATCACTTATAACTTTTTCAAAATGTTCTTCTATCCAATGTACAAAGGAACACAAAATCAATCAAAAGACATAGGTGTCTCTATAAAAATAAAAGGACTAGTCATCTAGTAACACTAAAAGCATTCATACTAATCAAATCAATCACTTAACTCATGTCATAGAATTGACATAAACTCAATTATAATAATCAATATAAAGTAACAATCAATAATGTTATCTTTTAATTGAAACTAAATCTATGAAACCCATAAGACCGCTAAATTTGTCATATTCATATAAAACTAATGTGTGACGTAATTAGACTAGATCATGTATACACAAAATATCCCACTAGGTCTACTATTTATGATCAACAATTTAGAGGTAGTTTCTCCACACACTTAAAATTACTCATCAACCTTACAAATATAAGAAAACCCAAGTATGAAATTACACAAGTCAAATAATTAATTTAGATATCCGATATGTTCACTCATTCCTTTCTTAAAAATTATTATCTTTATGTGATATTATGATGGGTGCTTGAAGTTAAAAAAGGAGAAAAAAAATAAAGATCTAGAGATAGAACTAACTATGATAGATATATATTCTACTAATTGATGAAAATCGAAGCTGAAAGAAAATAAAATAATTAGAAGGAACCCCAAAGGGACCTTCTAGTGAAGTTAATTTTAGATGACTAGTAGTACTTTTCTCTCCTATCTCTGATGGGTGAGGTCTTCTTATAGTTGCAATGGTTTTATGTTGCATAACTATTATACTATCCGCCACCTATTATCACTTTAATGGGCTGATCATTTTTGTACTTTGTCACCTAGTTCCAACCTTAATAGGTCATTTTCTACACCATCCTTCATTTTTTGGCATGTTGTTAATCAATATGCTCATGGCCTTCAACGAATAATTAAAAGCATCTAACAAGTTGGTTGAGATTTCTTCTTACGTGGATGAAGAATTGAGGCTAATGCCTTGACAATATAAGCCCATGAGATTCATCTTAAACTTAAGGTAAAATTCAGAGATATTGTTGCAATAGAGTTCTAGTTGATTCTCAAATAGCCTCTAAAGGGGGCTATTCCTAACATTTGATGAATACTTTATGCCCTAGAGGCCTATGTCAAATGGTCAATACTTCATATGGTCTTCATTAGCCTTATTAGGTCAATTGTAACTTATATTGAGATATGTGAAAAATTGAGTGGATGTTGATTGTGGTAATAAGTCTAAATCAATAAACTATAAACTCAATCCACTCAAAAACTTTAAATGACCCAAAGTATATTGAAGCTAGCTTCTCATAAGACCTCATTGTTAGATTTTTGTCAATATGAGTAGAGTTAAGATAGATGAGAACTCTTAACTAGAACTCAAGGTTTTGTCTTTTACAATCATCTTGCAAGCCTAAGCTTGGATTAGGTGTTGTTTGAGTTGTTAGAAGTTCACATCTCATTCTTGAAGAACTTGATCAAGGTCTTCTATTTTCATTGAGTGAAATTCATATCATATGAGAGTTAAATGGGTCACGCTCATAGACAATCTTAAATGACGAAAATCTTGTTAAGAAATTAATATTATTATTAAATCAAAATTCAACAATACCAACTAATTATTTCATTGACACATTCAATCTTCTACAAAACAACATAAATAAGTTTCTAAATATTTGTTGACCATTAATTTTTTTTATCGATTTGTAAATAATAAGAGTTGGCTTAATAGAAAGTTGTCTTGACACTTAAAGAATTATCTCTAAAATAAGTTGAAAAAAATCATGTCTCAATTAGTGACACTAGATTTAGAAAATCTATGAAGTCAAATTATATTGTAAATGAAAATCAAGACAATATCCTTAGTAGTGAAATGGTGTCATAGAGGTAAAAATTCACATTTTAAATAAATAACTAATCTACGATGACCAAAATCACATTAAACTTGTTGGAACTTGACAATCTTTTGATAAAATTCATGGTGAGATTAACTTAAATTTTCTCTACAATCAAAAAGGGCTAAAAGAGGCCTACTAAAGAGAAAAACTAGACCTTGTTCTAATGACATGTTAAGTAGACAACCACAAATCATTTAATGTGATTCGTCATACCCTCCATTGAACATTATGTATGATCTAAAAGTGTATTGTTAAAATACAAAGAGCCCACCCATCATTGAAATATAGAACTCTTATAATAGCTAAGGAATCAATTGAGAAGTCCCAAAAATAACTAGTCACCCTTTTTGGAACAAGAGACTATACTAGAAATAATAGTGTGGCCATTTTTCCAAATGAAGTGGAAGTTGGTCAAAAATAATTAGTAGCTAAGAGTCCTCTTGAAATTGTTGTAAAATTCTAGTCAAATATATTCATTGGGCCAATATAAGTTAGTCACCTATAGTCATCCTTGGTCTAAAGGTCTCGAAAGGGCTTCAATAACTTTGTTTTCTATTGCCACCTTATATCTAATTTTGAAGTTAAAAGTGATGATGTTTGAGAGCCATTTAAATTCTTCTAGCATAATTTCTTATTCTTCCAAGATGAATTTAAAGCTCTTCTGACTGGTGAAATAATAAAAAAAGTCTACAATAAGTAATATTTCTATTTCAAAGTGATGAGAATGATGGCCAATAGCTCTCATTCATAGAGAGTTTTTAATTTCCTAATTGTCAACAGAGTTTGACTGAAATAAACAACAATCTACCTCCATTTTTACATAAGAACTCTAATCATGTGACTAGAGTTCAAAATTCTAAGTGAGGTATAGAAGAGATAATACCATAGTTGAAGTTAGAGTGGCTTTGAGCTGTTAGAAGTTAGAGTTTAAAATATTTATTTATGAGGTTTTTTTCTTTAGGACAACACAGTTTCACCAATTATTAAGAAAGTTATTATCTGCGCAGATGAGCACAAAAAGATCATTTCTATAATGTGACAGAAACGGGACGAATTTCGAATTCATTTGGGCTATCCCTGCTAATAATTCTGAAACCGCGAACGTCTAAAAGTCAACGCGATGACCGTTTCCCCGGGTCACAATAGATATTTTGATCGATTGTGTATCTCCGCAAATCTGGGACCGTAGATCTTCCAGCATGCCATTGATCTGCGCCAGGTACACTTCACGACATCTGAGTTCCCACCCACAAGTCCCGCCCTGTTTCCCACTTCCAATGCGGAAAGAGATCCCATCTGCCCCCTAATTGCCCGCTTCTGACCATCGATTCCTCTTCCCCGCCGCCGGGAGTCTTGCCTCCTTCGGCGATCCGCTGATCGACGCAGCACGAGCGTGCGGGGAGGCTCCTCTTCCAAATACATCTCCCTGCTTTAGATGGGGGAGACAGATGGATCGGGTCAAGGCCCTGAAGGGACAGAGTCTCCCACCACCAAGGGCCGCCCCAAGCTGAGCGTGCTCCCCCTGGTCGCTTTGATCTTCTATGATGTGTCCGGCGGTCCGTTCGGCATCGAGGACTCGGTCCGCACCGGGGGAGGACCCCTCCTGGCTCTCCTTGGGTTCCTCCTTTTCCCTCTCATTTGGAGTATTCCCGAAGCTCTCATCACCGCGGAGCTCGCCACTTGCTTTCCTGAGAACGGCGGCTATGTCCTTTGGATATCCTCCGCCTTCGGCCCCTTCTGGGGATTCCAGGAAGGGCTCTGGAAATGGTGCTCCGGTGCCATAGACAACGCTCTTTATCCCGTCCTCTTCCTCGACTACCTAAAACATTCCGTCCCAGCCCTCGAACACCCTTCCTACCGTGTCCCCGCCCTGCTCGCTGTCACCATCGCCCTCACCTATCTCAATTACCGGGGTCTCCACATTGTGGGCTTCTCCGCTGTTGCCCTGGCGGCTTTCTCTCTTCTCCCGTTCGTCGCCATGACTATACTTGCAATTCCCAAGCTGCAGCCCCGGCGGTGGTTAGTGGTGGATCTTCGGAAGGTGCAGTGGAAGGGCTACTTCAACAACATGTTCTGGAACCTGAATTACTGGGACAAGGCGAGCACGTTGGCTGGAGAGGTGGAAGATCCCAGCCGTACCTTCCCTAGGGCCATATATGGGGCCGTTGCCCTGGTGGTGGCCAGTTACCTTGTTCCCTTAATGGCGGGGACGGGTGCTCTGGATCGCTCGAAGACGGAAGAGTGGAGCGACGGGTACTTCGCACAGGTGGGGTTACTTATTGGCGGCGTGTGGCTAAAGTTGTGGATCCAGGCGGCGGCCGGGATGTCAAACATGGGGCTGTTTGAAGCCGAGATGACCAGTGACGCTTTTCAGTTGCTTGGAATGAGTGAAATAGGAATGCTCCCAGCAATATTCGCTAATAGGTATTGATTTCTTTCACTGGGACATCAATCATCCAAAGCTGTGACCTTGTAACTAACACTGTCATTTCCTATGCTTTCGTAGGTAATATAGGTAAAATTGTCGGCCATTATCTCCGTAGGATTGTCCCTGGTGCCTAGATCAAGGCATAATCTTATTTCTCTCATAATTTCTTGTTAATGAACTCTGGCTCTGTGGATTAGAATGAGGAGAACGTATTTACAAAAACTTTATCGTAATGTTTCCAATTGGCATCATTTAACCTCTAGTCACAGCACCTGGATGAATTGGGAATGCCTTTATAAACCTTGATTCATCCGATTTCTCATTGTACCCAACATGTTTCTTTTTCTCGTTAAGAAAGTGGGCAAGGATTCTTACAGTTCTTTGTTGTTCATGTTGACATTTTAGATCGAAGTATGGAACGCCGACGATCAGCATTTTGTGCTCTGCAACTGGGGTCTTACTCTTGTCGTGGCTGAGCTTCCAGCAGATCATAGAATTTCTTAATTTCTTGTATGCTCTTGGGATGCTGCTGGAATTTGCAGCCTTCGTAAGACTCAGGATCAAGAAGCCAGATCTTCACAGACCTTACAGGATTCCTCTGGGTACTTTTGGGGTCACGGTTTTTTGTCTGCCCCCTTCTCTTCTGATTGTTCTAGTGATGTCCCTTGCCTCAGCTAGAACATTTATCGTGAGTGGAATTGTCATCCTATTTGGATTCCTTCTATACCCTGGAATCGAATATGCGAAAGAGAGGAGATGGGCTGTTTTTTATTCTACACCCATGAGCTCCGGTGGCTACTCTGACACTATTCCAGTTATATCTCAGCAAGATGAGCATGTCGTCGATGAAGCCTCAAAGAGCCTCTTAAAGGATGCTGCTCAAGGATCATCAGATGGGGTGTTTAAATCCGCCTAATGTTTTGTGTTTACTCTTCTCCTGGAAAGCCATTATTATTCTTGTAAATTATAGTTAAAAGTATAATGTGTTCCTCTTTTGTGAATTATTTCCAACCATTGTAGAAATTATTATGTTGGCGGAATGCCTTCAAGAAAGGTTCACTCTAATAAAGATTCTTCATTGAAACTTTGCAGTGAGACTATTTCTGGTCTCTCATGGGGAACAAGCTCTCTTTTTTGTGTCTCATAGGGCTCTTACAGTACCTCAGGATCGGCTTCCTGTTTATCTGACTGTCAGGGTAGCCATCTCATTTGCGTCTATGGGCACTGGAATCTTTGATAATGGAGCATTGATGTAAGAAAACCCATTTCGATGAAGACTCCGCCCCTCCTGAGGGCAGTATCCATCAGATGCAAAACCATTATTGCTTCATTTGTTCTTGAGTTGAATGCTGATGCTTCTGTATTCCTGCTGTAGTCGCCGTAAATTTAATGCTTGATGAACTCTTTAACCCGAAAATAAATTTGCCCAAAAGAGTTGACAACCTCATCATATATCGCGAATGTATCCCCACAAAAAATCCAGTTACCCCATGTTTCAGCGAAAAATTCAGTGGGCGGAATCCCTCACAACTAAAAGAACATAAACGTCGGAATTGAACGGGCATTGACTATTTATTCTCTCATAAAATTGAAGGAAGAGAAGGACTCGTTATCAAGATCTTGCTCCAGCACAGCCTCCCTCAAGCCTATCTTTATGCATTTATAACTGGAATTCTCTCTGCCGAATCAAGAAACAGAGTCAGAAAATATAACAAAAATATCTCGTGGGGAACATTTCATCGTTTCCGCTCAGTCCGCCACTTGTAGATTGGCTTGGTTGTTGGGCAGACTATTTCATCTTCTCGGAGCTTGCGTTTGCGCCCTTTCTTCTGTGTTGACAAACAACGAAAATAATGTTACAAATAAAAGATTGGCTTACCCACAACCTTTCGATAATAAAAGCCAAAAATTATTTGAATACACTTATCTGCAGAATTATGACTGAGAGAATTGAAATCGAAGAAGATATCCATATAGTAGAAAAGCAGTTATTTTCTTAAATGGAAGGTCAACATCTAATGTGCCCGCACCTGCAGCTCTTTTTTCAGTACCATGTCCATGTAGACTTTCTCGAGCTCATTAACACGTCTCTTCCTCTCTTCTAACTCACGGTAAGAACCCTCCATTTTTCTGCAACAAACGATAAAATGTTAGATACTGTTCCTGAATAATGATCGGGAGCTTGCCTGACTGGGAACCCGAAGAAAAGACATGGAGAGTCATACATGAAATGCAAGGCGTGTCTAGTCATACTCATCGGGATCAGTAATTTCTAAAGGACACAGGTTTATCCAGAGGAGAGAATTGGAAACGAGAAAAAGGCGAAGAGAAAAAAGCGAAGAGAAAAAAGCGATTGAAGATGATAGACTGCCTTGATACATTTGTCACAAAAAACCATCAACCCAATGTGACTGCTAGCATTCTGAACCATTAGAACATGATTTCTCTTTATTTCTTAGAAAAAAGACTAAACCCATTAGCCAAATATAATATTTCTATTCATCAGTTGACGAATCGGTTTTCTAATTGCAACTTAATCAGGTATATGTACTATTCTCGTCCACCATCCCTCGCAGAAGGTGTTCTGCATAACAACCACCCACGAGTTATCAATATAATCGAAGTGCATAATTCTCAACTTTCATTGCATTTCACCAGTGAGTCTCTACCAAAGAAATCATGAAGACCTAATAAGGTGGGAATTTTATAAAAAATTGATATATCGATGCACTTTCCTAAAAATCTCATTTTTTGAGCAAGACAACCTATTTTACTTCTCACTGCAAGGATACTGCATCAGTCCTTGGACTTCTACCCAATAACTAAGCTCACCTATTAGACATTTTCCTTGAACAATACTCCTTTGAGATGGGGCCCTGTGCCAAAATTTTATATGTTTCCGAGAAGTTTCTTCAGGATGTATATTTGGTTGGGCCACGGGCAGGATGTTTGCCTTTTAGGCTCAAATGGGAAAGATTTCTTACAGCAATTATCCCTCCATTCTATAAAGAGATATTTCAAATGTTATCTTCAGTTCATAACGAGGACACGAAGCATGAAATGTTTTCCACAAATTTCTAAATTATAAGGTGTTGCCGTAAATCGATGTGTCCGTGCTGGACAAAGAACCTGCCATCATTTGAATGCTTCTGAAGGTTTCATCGCTGTCATCCTTTACATAAATGAGTATGAACGACTCGATTTTGCAAACTGACAGTTTCCTCATTTCTCGAGGAGACTTCAAGGTGTACCAACTCTGCATATCTCATCCGCTTTTACATGAATTCTACTTCTTGATATTCATATTTATGCTAGGAGCCATCCCCCTCGCTCGGGTAAATACCAAATAGTTGCTAACCTGAACATTGTCTACAATTTATCCGAGATGGTTCCATCACCAGGAAGGATTTCCCGAAGGATTTCCCAATGGGGAGTTCTGGATGCATATCACAGGATATGGTGCATTCTCCATCCCTTTACATTACTGTGCTTGGAGATGGTGACTGGATTCATAATCCTTTGATGATCGTGTAGGAGTGGAATCATATACAGCATGGAACTTAATGATCCTCAAACTATAGGAGAAGGTAGACAAAATAGGTTGAAGAACATGCACTGAGCAGGATCTTACAACATGCCCGATGGAAAACTGCACTTTCACCATATTAAGTTTTCTCCTAAATTTTAAGAGCAGACTCCACTTAGAAGAAAGTCAAACTCTATGGCCAATAAGCGGTATCAGCCAAATTCTCAAGAAATTATAAAGCTATTCTTCCCTGAATAGGAGATGGGGTGATATAATGGATGTATAGAGCACTAGAAATTTTCCATTAAAATAACTTAATTAAAAATTCCAAAATCATCAGTCAATTAAATGTAAATGAAAATCATATCAGATAAATATATTGGAAAATCAGAAAAAAAAAATTACATGATAATCTAAGTAACTCTCACCTTTTTATGTTATCAGGAACTTCACCAAAACCAGGCTTCCTGCTTGACGACGATGGCTTTAACTGCATCTCTCTGGCTTCTTCCCTGCAATAAATCATATATCCTGGTTACTATCTGAAAAGCCTACCAAAGCTGAAATCGTGAGATATGGTAAGCAAAACATTTTGAATTAGAATCCTACACAAATAAGTACCCCAATTTTAGATAAACAATCTACAGGCGGTTAGGACAAACCGATCTTCAGCAAAATAGATGTGCTTGTTTTGTGGCTCGCTATCAAGAGAATGTAGCATTGAACTCAGCTTCTCTATTTTCTGCGCCCCGCCAAATAGTTTTTAGCAAAAGTCCGAAGAAAGAAAAACAGACCGCCAGATAGAGAAAAATGGCTAAGCAGCGCAAACCACTTACCTTCCTGTCACTCTGAATCTTCTGGAGAATGTATCCCGCGTCCTGAGTCTTCATCAGCATCAGTTCCTCTTGACTGTACTTATTGGCAATGCTCCTGCAATAAATATTATATCTCCCGTGAAAAAAATATAAAGGATAGATGTTTGAAATCACTGAAACGGATATAGCAGAAGCTGAATTTCTACTCGGGTCTGTGGACTCCATCTACAGTCTTCGTTTTGACCATCTTGAAGTAAAATTCATCTGGATTTCTGAACGCTGCTTTCTCTCTGAGTTTCTGTAAAATAACCCAAAAAAAAAAAATCATCCTCAAAGTAGCAGCAAACAGGCCGTGCCATATTAAGAGAAAAAAAAAACTCCAAAGGAACATAACAACAGTATAGACCAATAAGGGGGAAGAACTCAGAGGGGAAGACATGAGACCTACCCGCAATGTCTCCTCCTTCTGGTGGAAAGCCTTTGCTCTGACGACATAATCTTTGTGCTTCTCAAGGAGTCCAAACTTCCTCCGGTCATGACTGTGAGTCGAAAGCCGCAAATCAGAGCATGCATATAAAAAGCCCTAATCTGCCCTCCTTCTGTCCTTCCCAGGAGGGAGAGAAGCAGGGGGAGGGAGGAAGAAGAAGGGAGACTTACGGCTGAGCTCGTTCTTTGTGAGCTCTGCGGCTGACGGCATTCCTCAGAGACGACATCTCTGTTTTTGGGAACCCGACGACGAGACGAGGAAGGGCAAGCATAAACATATACGCGCATAGGGTATCAATGGACCGGGTCGAACCGGTTCAACAGACCGGTCTTGGTCGAACGGGATCAAGACTTGGACCGGGCTAAGACTGTTCTAATACGTCCACGTGTACTTCAAAAGTCAGGCCGCCTCCGCCTCATTCGGGCCCACACAGATTCCTGTTTAGATCTTGTTGTAATCATCCGGCTCTCTAATGCCGTCTGCTTCTCTCCGGGGGGTCGCGTTTTAAGTGTTATTATCTAAAATAATCATATTTTAGAACCTAACGTCGAGCTTTATTTACAGATTTAATCAACTTTGTAAAAATAAAATATTGGTTTTTCCTTTTTTTTTCCCATGATGAGATGAACCATAAAGTTTCCACCTTTAATTAATTCTATTCACTCCCCACATATTATTTTGATACGCTTAGTCCTAAGTCTACAGAGATCGATGCAAATCGATAGCATTGGTCACGCCATGTTTAACACGTAATTAGGCAGCCACAAATGAACTCACGAGCAGAGCGTGAAATTCCCACGATGATCGAACGATGTTTACGCTCCTTCCCTCGAGATTCACAAACATTTAGATTGGCGACGTGGGGATATTTAAATTAATTGAGAACGATGAAGGTAGACTTATATATTTGATGACATATAATCGTAACATTCAAAGTAGTCGTTATACGATTTACCGCGTTGCATAAAAAAAAATGCATCTTTTTTGATTAAGAGGCGCACGGGAAGTGGTAAAGTGGAAAGATGATTTTTGCATGAATTTTGTTTATTCTGATCTTAGGTAGAAAGAGTAGAACAGGCGGATGAACTCCGGGGATTTATCTACAATCCGACCAAAACTAGACATGGAGGAGTCGAAGGAAAAGAGAGCGTGGAGTCTCTGTGCTCGCACTCTTCTCCGTTATCTCCTTTCCTTCTCTTGGCCGCCTCTGAGGCCATCGGGCGACCAGGATGGGAGAAAATGGGCATCCTCAGAAGCTGCTGCACAAGCGACGGGGAGCCTGGGCCGCCCATCTGAAGACGGACCATAGCTGCCGCGAACTCCTCGACGGCGACGGCGTCAGCTGCGAGTACTGACCGACCCCGTCTCCCTTCATCCTGAGCAGCTCCCACATCACGCGGATGTCCTCGTACTCGCAGGTCCTGATCTCGTTCCTCAGCTTCATAAGCCCTGCGCGAGGGCCGGGTTTCAGGTTCAGTTTATCTGAGACGAAAGAAGTTGCGAATAAGGTAGTAAAGAGCTGTGGAAGGAGGTTGAGGAAGGTGTCCAGTGACCTGTTCTTCCGATTCCTACCACCTCATTCCTTTCTGAAAACCTGGGGGGAAGTGGATTTACCAGTTTTCCGGATTCCGAGTCGCATGGCGAGGACGATCCAGACTCTCCTCACGGCCGCGTCCAGGCGACCCAAAAACTCCATCTTCTCTCCCTCTCTTTCTCCCCTGCGGCCTACTGGATGGATTCTCTCCCCTGTTCTAGAGAGAAGCCGAGAACGGAAATGGGGGAGACGGAAAGAAAGAGCAAGAAGACAGCTGCCACACTCCCCACCTCTTTCCTCTTCTCTCGCCTGAATATCCTTCTCCTCCACTCCTCTTTGAAAGGGCCATCCCGCTTCCTACACAGGATCAGGACCGCACATTGTCTGGTGGGTCGCCGCCCATCAAAATGGCCACCGGCGGCTTCCCGCGAGGTCGCAGTCACGGGCGCCTTGTCTGAAGCAGACGCGCTCGGCTCTCACAGCCGTCCACGTGCAAAGATCGCTACCGACTCAGGCGGATGCCACCGTCCGACGGGAAGATATTTCTGCTCTCGTGGCTGGGCCTCAATCCCTCCTCCGGGCCGACCGGCGGCGCGCACTCAGGTTGCCGCATAACACGGGGTGCGATTACAGGCAGCCACGGCGGCGCGCACTGAGCCACGACGAGGGGATGCACTTCGTCGGTGCAGCATCGGCGAAATTGTGTGAACTCTCGTCTCATTCACTGATCCACTTGGCATCAAATGTCACACCCTAGAGGAGACAATATGGTTTATATATTACCACCCATTTCGATTCGTCGTTGGCTTGATTCTTTAATTAAACTGAATGATTTTCTAGTCATTATTTATTATTTTACAATTTGAGGCGTATTCGTGCATATAACGTACGTGTGCGTGTGTACATACACATGTATTTAGATCTTCAGTCAGTTCTTTTACTAAGTTTTATTCATAAATATTATTATTTGAAAATCAAATATCTTAATCAGTCACAGGAAATCAGCCGGTGACGCTGCACAAAACGGATCAAGGAGTTTTCGAATTGATATATCATTGAAAATTACATTAACCTAATCAAAGAATCTGCAGTGTGAGATGGCTGTCGAGGGCCCCGACTGAGCCTGACTCCCGAGAAGGTCAATTTTTCCTAGACTTGGGTTTCAAAATTAACCCGGTCAGGTGGACTGGGTTCATTGTTACAGGTTGACCCGGAAGCCTGAAGCGACGACGTCCTTCTCTCCGTATTTTCTTCAAAAGAAAAGGTCAACGAAGAAGTCATTTGGCATTAAGAAGTATCTCACGAGAAAAGTTATACTCGAAATGATTGATAGCAGAGGAGAGCGCAGTGGAATCGTCTCCGTTGGGGAATACGATCGAGCATGTGGTGGGCGGGGATTTCAACCACCCTAGCTCCCGGAATTCGTTCTAATCGGGCGGAGACGGCAGAGACGGCTCAAATGCTACTATTTTATTATTCGAAGTTCGAGAAGATCCGTGGATCGAGGGAGCTTGCGCGAGGCCTGGGCGGGCACGACCCAGCTTATTGACCGGCGGAGCGGGCAAGAACAAAGGAACAAGAGGTGAGGGGAGGAGGGGGAACAGGGGGGGAAGAAGAAGCGACCGGCAGAAGGCCCCTCCGCGGTCCTCCGCAGATCCCCCGGAGACGGACCAGCGCCTAACCGAGAACGTCGCACAGGGTTCTGATGTTCCCCTGCGAACCAGTCTTGACGCCGACGCGGCCGAGCTTGGTCATGGCGGTGACGAAGGCCCGTTCGAAGGCGGCGGTGTTCTTTGCCCAGGCGTTGACCGTGGGGCGGGAGCGGGCGTCGGTGTGGAGGACCTGGTCGGAGGTGAAGAGGCCCAACCCCTGCTGGAGGTTCTTGAAGTAGACATTGTCGAAGGTCCTCGGGGTGACGGGGTCCATATCGATGGCGATCCTGGGGTCAACGTTGCGCGGGCACATGGCCTGCAGCTGCGTCGCGTAGGTCCTGTTCAGCGTCGGGTCCACCGGGTTGCTTGAGCTGAAGCTGTAGATGCGCTTGGCGAACTTGTTGCAGTGTGAGAAGCCCAGCGTGTGCGCCGCTGCAGCGTTACCGAGTACCTCCACGGTTAAGAGATGGCAAAGGAAACCAAAACGGGCGGTGACCATGATCTCTGCCGCGACTAATTTTTCAAAAAACAAAACTCGAGAAAAAAGGCTCATTCCCTCCGAGGATCCTGACGATGGGCCCACACGATCGAGAACATTTAAGAAATCCATAATTGATGTAAACCCTTTTTTTTAAAATCTGGATTGGCTTCTGTGTTCTTTTCCGCGTACAATAAAGTAACGAGCTTGTCGTGTGAAATTGTGGATGAGGACGAAATCGGTCGCCGTTAAGAACTTAATGGGGGGAGTGGGCAACTAAGGGAGGGAGGACTTGTGAATACTCATTAAATAATAAGTTATTGAAAGGCCGGGGCTGGGTTTTCACGCGTAAACCAGGAGAGAAGCCTTGATTGAATGGATCAATGGTTTGTGAGGGGCGGAGAGGCTGGCGCGGTGGTTTTGGTGAGGCGTGGTCGAAGTTATCATTTTCATGGACAGAGACCTATAATCCGGACCTCGTCAAAATGACATCTCAGCTAAGCAGCTGATCCTCCTCGCAAGGACGGAGCGGAAGCACGTCGCCGGGAGGAGTGAGAGGCTCGCACTCCGTGCGAGAAGAACTGGACTAGTACCTGAGAGCGCGATCATGTCCGTCCGAGAGAGGCCGTTGGCGGCGAACATGGAGGTGAGCTGATTTAGATTGAAGGTCGGTTGGGGTAGCTTCCCGTTCACGCTCGACGCCGTCGAGCGGAGGCCGTCTAGCCTGCCCAGCTCCACAGCATACGAAGGCCCCCCGGACTGATCCCCATTGTGAAATTGAAGTCGAGACGACCAGTCAGAACTCGTTACAGCGGGGGGAGGGAAAATAAGAGGACGAAAGCAAATCGAGGAAACAGACCAGGGCAACGACGTCACGCGTGGCTAGGGCGAGGATGTCGGCGCAGGAGACCTTGTTCCGACACTGCGGCACGGCGTCCACGGCGGCCTTCGCCTTGATTACGGTGTCGAACCCATCTCCGGCCAGAGATAGGTTATCCGGGTGGTCCTTCTCGGCGGTGTTGGACCCCGAGGACGCCACCATGACGGACGCATCACATCCCTGAAATCCACGCGGTTAGAACCGACACAATGGCTCAAGCTGGCTGCGGAGGTTGCCGTGGAGGTGTTTCCTACCTCGACGAAGCAGTCGTGGAAGAAGAGCCGGAGGGTGGCGGGGACGGTGACGAATGTTTGCCGGAACTTGGTCTGCACCACCCCCCTCACGATGTTCTCCACGTTGGGGCATGTGTTGGCGTAGTAGTCCCGCCGAAGCTGCGCCGCAGCCGGCACTGATAGGAGGCAAACGCTCAGCGCCGCCAGCAGCGCCGCGACCACCACCCCGGGGTTACCCATTAGCTAACAGTAGAAAGAACCAGGGCAGGGGGGAAAAGGGAGAGGTAGAGAGAGGTGGGCTAGATTTTGATGGGTACAGATCGCGGGAGGAAGAGAGGGAGGGAGGGGCTGGATATATAGGTGGTGGGGTGACTCCACTAGACGCGTCGGATGTGGGGCTCTCCGGCCAGTTGTCTCTTAAAAATTTCAAGAAGCCACGAGCCTCGATGAAGACTAGTTACAGGAGAGAAGGCGTGGAGAGGTAAAGGACTCAACTACTCCCCTTCCCTAATCAGAATGGCTCCCATTGCACGCATCTTTGAGGAGCCCGAGATCCATTCACTCCGCACGATGCTGACAGAATCCCCCCACCGCCCCCTTCCCCGGTCGCCTATTCGTCCGCACGGGGACGATAACGAGTCAACAAGAGGCAGCTGGCCGCTCGACGACGACTGCTATCTGCTATACTGAAATTCATAACTGGGAAGTAGCGGATCTGTCCGCGAAGCAAGCATTTCATCAAATACCGAGCTGGGTTGACGACAAAACTCGCCCCTCCTTCAGTAGAAGCCAGACCCACACGCGTGAAAATCCTGTTCCAGTCACTATCACCTCTTATCAGAGAACATTCACTATCACCTCTTATCATTTAAATGGGTTTCTGAGGCTACCTGGGGACCCTGCAACTTTCTCTCGAAGTACTACAGTTCTTTAATATTAGGCCAAGCTTACATAATTGCAGCGCATTTAAACACCCATCTTCTGGCCTCGCATTACCTTACTACTTTCAAGAAGCTCGGACTGCGCTAACTTCTCTTGGATCTCCCCAGGAGAGAGAGAGAGAGAGAGACGGAGAGGATAAAGTTAGCATAGGCCTGACGATGGGGGTTTGTAGTGTGCAGGAAGTGGAAAATGCCCATCTAAATGAAGCGGCGTCGAGAGGAAGATCCAGGAAGCATGAAGAAGAGGGGAAGGCGAAGGAATAATGTCTTCCTTCAGGTGAAGCATCGTCATCAGTCCCCCTTTTCTCGTTTGGCCGTCGCTCTAGCAGCAAGCGCGAATCTTCGCCTCCATGGATGTTAGCTTTCATGAGACGAATTTTCTCACCCATGGGTCCTGTTTATGAGACGAACGTGGCAAAGTAGACGCGCTGGGAATATCGTAATAGATTGGATCAAAGGCTCATATATTCCAGGGACCAGACGACTTTAGTAGTGCGGCTCCGATCACTAGAGTCTATACTTATGCACATAGTGTGTGAGAGTGTGGGCATGTGTATAAGTGTTTAGACATAAATATCTATGCACGCGTTCCTCTCGGGTTCAGCTTGCTCCGGCGAAATCCACTCTTGAGCGACACTCTAGGACCCCGGTGGGTTTACATGTTCTTCTTGGATTACGTTGATTTCGAATCACGTTTCCTTCGGAACTAATATAGCATGCATGCATACACAGAGAGAGAGAGGGGGGGGGGGGGAACACCGAGGATTAGGCGTAATAAGACAGATGTCATTATCCAGTCAGAGATCCTATGACACATGACGACTGGAAGATCTGTCGGAATAGGTTCTGATCGGAAACAAACAAGAGAGAAACAAAGCTAAGTGAAAGAGAGCTCCGATTGAACTCGCGAAAATACACACGCAAACGGATGAAATTTGTTCATGATTAGCATTTATACGGAAAAAACAAATCTAAGAACGACATATTTATGGAATGATTTAGCTTGGCACGAGTTCACTTTCACTTGATCCGAGGAGCAGATCACCAACATTGTTTTGACTATTTTCTTTCTCGTGGAACATGAGAATCCGCCTTCCTCGTTCGTAGCGTATAATGTTCCCTCACGGGTCGCAAAAATTAGGACAACCCAGTTTGTTCTGCGCGATATTTGTATTACCATGCTTCGTCTCTCTATAATAAACAACTCAATTATTCAATCCATTTTGGTGGGTGCGAGCGAGATTCCGACGGGAACAGAGTCATCCCAACCAAATCTCTTATCCGACGTCGTGCAGTCAGATGGAAGGAAGGTGGCTCTACACTACCTGTCGCCATGTCTGAGGGGGACCTCGGCCGCTCTTCATGTTGGCCGCCGAGGGAAAGGACTCGGTCACCTCATCGCCGCCTGATGTCCTCTGCGGTGGCGACACGTCCACGGAACCTGACCGAGAGGACCCACGTCTGCGTTGGAGGAAGCTTGTGGTGATCGGTGGCTGAGCTACCCCGCCACAGCCGTCCCTTTCTTTCCCGTCTCCACGTCTCCTCCGTGTCCGTGGTAGAGGTCATGTGCACAGGGGACGCGACGGGGGGGGCCAGCGGTCGCCTGCGGCGGGCTCCGCCGAACGCCCTCTTGATAATGGATTAAGTTAAAGGGGGAGCCGCCGGCGGCTCCCAAGGGCATGTATTCACCGGCAGATCACTTACTTTCTTCTCTTTCTCTCTCTGTTTCGATCAATGGAATGATTGTCTGTTGTCAACTGTATAACAGTCTAGTAAGGGAGTCGCTCGGCTGTCTAATCTATGACATAATAGGCACCACGTGCCTGGGTCATCTCACATTACGGCCCTCCCGGCAGCAAATCAGCAACGGTGACAGGTAATACTGACTGCAATATGCATTTACTTCAACATTTATAGATCTCTCTCTCTCTTCAATCAGTGGAGTGACAGTTCGTGGGCAGACATCTCATGGCGCAGCCTGTATTTAAAAACATATATTTTAGAAATAAATCCAAGGAACCATGGCATTCATGTGATCGAAGATCTGTACGTCGATTGGTGAGTACCCTCTGGTCAACGATGTCCCCAAGCTCACCGATGAATCTTGGACGCATCCGAGGGTAACTTGTCGCTTCTCTTAGCCACACGCGGATAGCTTCGAATCATTTCTTCGGATAAGGAGAGGAATAAAAACCAATTTAAAATAAGCACAGAAAAGACGGATCCTGATTCTTGCATGTACATTACTGGTAATAGATACGTTTTCATTCCTAGTTTGCCACACCCGTATGTTTCTACATCATTTATGGTAAAATCCTCTGGAAAAAGAGTAGTGATGCTGGCCAAAAATACTTGGTAGTAGTGTGAGCAAAGTAAGTTCATAGCTTAAAACTTGAAGGTTGTTTGCTAAAATTAGTAAGGCCTGAGAAATCATTCAATGGAGATCATCAAAATGTCATAGAAATGGTGAGGTACCCTTGGTTACATACATACGGAGAAAATGGCGTCAACCAAGTCATGCGCATATGTATTGTCAACAAGTCAAACAAGAGCTGCTCGTGTAATTATTTTTTAATAACAATAGTTAAAAAATATCTTGCATTACTAAAACAGGTAAATAATGTAAGTATTAAGTCTCAGTCGAATGCAGATCACGAGACCTCTGTACGGATGATACCGATTCTTATGACATAAACTATGGGTGGGGGGGGCGTGGTGGAGAAATAAATTTGGCATTTATACTCGATTGTGTAATAGTCATATATGGTAATAAGATATTTAAACTGAATTAAGATGATACACTTTTTAGATAGTCTAACATCACAATGATATATTGTCAGCGAGGATGACTCTATTATCAGCACATGGAGGACAAACCACAGTTAGCATTTGTATTGGTAGTGTGAGTGTGCGCGTGCTCGCACCTGTTATCTTTTAAAACATCGATATTGGCACGCATGTGTGCGCGTGTGTGCGGCAGATCCTAGTGAGGAGGCATTGAAGAAACCTGGAGTAAGGCCAAATGAGAGGTTCTTCGGTAAATCTTCAACAAATGACTGTTGGCGACGATCAGCTTTGCGACTCGATCAATAAAATTTCCCATTATTGGTGTTTAATGGAGAAAGTTTTACTTGTAGCTTGGAATGGGCCCATTACTTCTACAGTCTGTTCGAGGCTGGGCCAAAGGGGCTTTAATGGGCACACGTTGTGAAGACGTTTCAAGGATAAAATAATGGATCTTACGTTAAATGCAGCCCCATTAAGTCCGGTTTAGATTCACAATCTCTACGGGGGGAATTAAAATGGGTTACTACCTAATTTCCTAAACTTTGTGAAATGATTAGCGCATTGACAAGGTTCACGCTCTTCCTTAAACCATAAACGGTCATTGTTCCCCTAGATCTCGTATTTATTTCTTATATTTAGACATCACGAGCATTCAATAGGCCATTCATTCAATGTTTGTCGCCATTTGGGCGTCTATGGACCAGGCAAACCAACCCAAGCCAAACCCAGCCTTTCCTACGCTCTCTGGCCTCATGTATCCTGCCAAGGGCCAGCTCCGAGATTAGTAAGGCACATATTTTGCTCCGTGCTTGCATCTTTCGGGCCCGAATCGCCAGTATCTTTCGGCCCTAAATGTACAAAAATGGAAGGAATCGGACTCTGCGCTGTCTGTGTCTAAATCTACTTGTCTTGATTTGGGTCGGCAGATTCTAACTGTCGGCTCTGTCAGCTGATTGGCTTCAAGAGCCTGATTCTGGGTTGATCTCCCGCTAGTGGACTTATTTCCGGACGGCGTAAAAGTTGCAGTCGGTGATCCTATCGATATAATCAAAGATCTGGCATTAGATCTAAGATTACTTCTATCTCACTTCTCTTGGGGGTTCTTGGAAGTGTAACCCACAATCCTTGAAGTTAGAGAGAGAGAGAGAGAGAGGGGGTAGGTGCCGCAATCAAGACGTCGGCAATATCAAAATCTTTGTCATATCAGATCAGACTCGATGATGCAACCGAGTGACGTCATAAATTAGCACGTGTCGATTAGGCGGGACTGCGCGGATCGATCGCGGCCGTACAGTTCAGCAAAACCCAAAAACTATTTAAAAACCGTGGAAAAATCGAACCTGCGCGACAGCGACGGGCATCTTCGTCGTCTTCCCCGTTCGCCGGGGGAGCCGCAGTGGCAGCGGCAGCGGCGGCGGGGCCCCAAGAGGTGGTGGCGCTCTTGGTTGCCTCACATGGTCTGTTCCGAATCAAAACATGACTCGCTGCTCCGCTTCCTTTTGTTTATTCAGTTCTCAGGCATTTCACCCGGACGGATTCTTTTTCACTCCGCCGCGGTGGCCTGGCGATTCGCCGGAGATGTGACAAGTGACGCCGCCCCATCGCCGGAGGACCAGAACCCTCAGCCGCTTCCCCCGTCTCTCCCTCCCTGTTACTGAGGTGGGTTTCACTGTAGTAGATTTGTAGGGGAATAATTCCAGAGAGAAAGAGAGAGAGAGAGAGAGAGTGGGCACGGCACGACGTGGCCTCTCCTCCCCGTCTGCACGTTTTGCTTTCTTTCTTTTCAACGCTTCTCGTTCTCACTGTGATGGCCAGTGCCACCGGATGTTGTCGTGGACGTCGTAGGCGACAGAATGAAAGATGGGCTCCCCAGCGCCGGAGCTAGGCTCCAAGATGCAACCCGCTACCAACGGGAGGATCCCCTGCGGAGAGGCCCAGGAGGACGTACGCAGTCTAGGTCGTTCACCCATGTTCCGAGCGACGTCACCGCGACAACCACCACACAAGCTTCTCTCCAAGAAGACAGAGCCGGTTCCACATTTCTCTCCTCTTCCTGGATTCCCTCGCCCGTTGTTATCCGAGAGAAGGTTATTCGCTTCTCAGTAACGTTTCCCGTCGTCCCCCCCAGTTCGTCGATAAATCTGTCGGAGATCGAGAGTTGCAGAACCACTTATCTCCCGGGCCCCTCTGTCGGAGACGCGGAAGACTTTAGGAAAGGGGAGAATCTGAGCTTGATTAAGATAACAGCCACTCAAACTTTCGAGAATCCGAGCTTTGCCTCTGATCACTGTGAACACAGTAGTATCCTTCAAGGGTCATTTTCCCTGGTAGGGACGAATACGGAGTCTACCGACGAGAAGATTGATCCATGGAGCGAGAGGGAAAACTTCGAGAGCCTCGGAAAGTATCCGAAAATTGACAGGATGGGACGGCGCAGGGACGGGGATAAGCGGGGGACAGGATGCCTCCTGCCTTCTCACTGCCGCGCTCTTTTGGTGATTCCGCGCCACTTCGCGCCGTCGCCGTCCTCATTTTTCATCATCTCCCGCGCGGGCGCCGCCTCAGGAGGAAACCCCGGTTGGAAAAAGCCAAGGCGTCTTCTTTAAGTAGTTCAGGAATGATTCCCCCTGCTCGCTCGAAAGGACGGCCGGAAAAGAAGCCACGCCGTGCCGGGTCCATGCTCGACACGACGGCAAGGTTGCCCGTTTTCTACTTCATCCGAGGTCGTCAACAGCGGCTTCGTCGTGCTCGCAAGTGCCCGTGATCGGTTGCCTGGTCATAATCGATCGCTTCTCTGTCTCATCCTCCGGAATAAACAAATTGGGCGACGACTGGTCGACGGTGGAACACCATTGCGGCCGGCCTGTACGTTGCGCCGGCGGGCTGCGGCCCCGCCCGAGGCGAGTAGCTCGACACCAGCGGTCCCCCTCACGCGCCGGCCTCACAAAAGCCGCGCCGCCAGCAGGCCTCGCAGCAGTAACTGCTAATAATATCCTCCCTGCCCCCCCCGTCCAGCAGGCGCACACATGACAAAGCTACAGTGTCTCCGGCCCTGAGCGGTCGTCCGAAGCAGAAGAAACGCTGAATCCGGTGTGGGTCACCTCCGCTAGTTTTTCGTCGGCGTGCTCCTGGACAGTAGGCTTCTCCTGCTTTGCTTAGATCCCCCCCACTTCTGCCGCCGCCTACGTATCGGGCTGAACTGCTCTGCTGAGACCTCGATCCAGTTCTTCGTTCCCGTCGATGAGGGTAAGTAAAATCTTACTGAGTAGACCCACAGGAGCACTTCCCCTCGTCGATCGCACCTAGTTCAATCGAAATCCGCCCCCGTAGCGGCATAATTCCTCCACTATAGCGGGAGCAGACCCCGAACTACGGCCGTAACTAGAACCGGGGAGCCGGAAAGCCGTACGTCTGACAGCGCCCGTGCACAGGCGGCGAGTGTGCGGACGTCTGCCTCGCCTTTCCCTTACTTTGGGTCACCGGAAGAGGCCGAGGAGCCTCGGACAAGGCCGTTGTCTGGTTGTTATGGTCGCATCGAGAGAGGAAGCGAAGGAATCAACATGAAAGCACGGGCGGGACTGTGAAAACCCAGACGCCGTGCTCCTCTCCGCGGCAGCCGCGGCCAAGACCTCTGCCCCATCGTCGGTCCTGTTGCTCCCCCTTTTTTCTGTATATTCCATCCTCTCTCACCGCAGAAACAATCATGCCCGCTCCAACACAGCCAGACAAGATGGTGGGGGGGGGGGGGGGGGTGGATCCCGTGGCTCCCCGTAGAATTTACTCGGTGACCGGTCGCTCCTCCCCCGGGGATTCCCTTGCTCGGAGAGTTGCCACAGGCAAAGCCCTTCCTCTGGAGTATTCGCCGAGTGGGTGAGGGGGTTCTCCTGTTCTGACTATCATTAGGTAGGATGCTGAAGACGACTGCGCCCCGTGACGAGGCTCGCGGCCAGTAGATTAGCTTGGGAGAATGGCCAAGCGAACTCCCCAGTCTGGTCGGCCGTGACCCACCAGCAACTAAATCCAAGGGTTCTTTCTCTACGGTCTGTTCTCGACCCACTCGGCGGCGGCGGCCAACTAGAAGAGAATCGCAGAGTCAGTGTGATATAGGCGACCTTTCCCTCTCACCTAGAGCTCCCTCCCTCTATCGACAGAGACGGGCACGTCTGCCATTACGTGCCACATGAACAGAGGAACTCCGGCGGAGGCGGCTCGCCAGGTCTCATAGCCAGACAGGACGCGGCTACTTCTGAAAACCTCTCGCCCTGGCACAGGCCGCGCTAGACCTCAGCGGGCCATGCGCAAAAGAACGGATATTTACTCTCTCTCGCTCATACTTGGTCCCTTTCTGAGTCAGTCCAACGCGCAGATGGGGCCAATCGCACCTCCTATGACTCCCATCTGATCTCAGTTCTCCAGGCCAATTATTGCCCGGCATCTCCCCGCCTCTTTGGTTGGAGCTTCTCGATTACTCCCAGCGCAAGTAGCTTCCTCCCCTCACCCCTGTTCTTAGACAAGGAAGTAGTGACCCGCCGGGAGGGGGCAAGAATAAACTACTCGCGTGGGACACAACTGATGACGATCGTCGAATTCCAACAGGATGTGGTTTATCATGGTGGATTAGTCATCTGAGTGATCATTCTTCGGAGTATTGAATACATGGTTTATCAGTGGGTATTGAATAACGGGGGCCCTGAGCCCCCCCCCCTCCTCCTCCTCCGTAATGACTCCCTTTGTGGGCACCGTCTGGAGGGGATCCCTTCATCGTCCGCCCTCCACATGCTTGTCCTGCGCTGGTTAAAGGGACTGGGATTTGTTTGGCGTGCCTTGGCCTCCTCCCTCATCCGTCCCCCGTCGCCATTATAATATTCGGGGAAGAGATTCTCAAGCTCTTCTTCCCAATCCCCCCCTCACCCCCACAAGAGAGTTCGGATTCGAGGAGTGCCCATTCTGCCCAGAGGGGAGGGGGAAGACGATGATGCGGCTTCCGACGAGGATGATGTCCGCTTCCCGCTTTCCTGAGTCTCCTTAGCCAACGAATTCCACAGGTGAGCCACCCTCCCTCGGGAATCAACCGCTCGTTTCCTTGTCATCTGCTCTTCTTCCCACGAGCTTTCTCGAGGCTCATCTTGATCTTGTTGGCTGAGGCTCATTCTTACTCCGAAGCCTGGGGTTTTCTTGGGTCGCCTTCCTTCCTCCTCGAACAAAGATTTGAACCAGAGATTTGGGAACTAGGTATCGCATGGTATCTCGGGAACCACTCACTACAAGAGGTCATCCCCTCGGCGGCCATTCATTCCCCTCTGCCTGCCCATCACGAACGGAACTCTTTTCCATGAAAGATTTCCACAGTCTCTCCGGAGTGAGCAGACAACGGGGGATCCTCTCGATCTCTGCACTGATCCCTGGCTTCTTCAGATAGTTTGCCCTGTATTTTCTGCTCCATCGATGCCCGTCCGCTCCGCGCTGAGAAACAAACGGAAAACATAGACAAACCACTGCTCCGATAAAGATGGGTGGCAGATTGGTGCAGTTTTACTGTGTATGGAATTATTTCCGGTTGATCTATTAGTCCGCCTCCCATGGTGGAAGAAGAGAGTTTTTCGCAGGCTGGAGATCCTCTTTGAGCTCTTTTTCCGAGAGCACCTTCGTCTCTGCTTGATCCAAATGTGTCAGGGTGCTTGTTCATCTCATCGATTTTCATCTGCAGAGGTTCTTCGCATTATTTTTTGATTTCGCGGCGCATAAAATCAAATATTTCTCTCGTTTCGTCCGTCGGAGTGTCTTCTCTCTGGGAAGTTGGTGGAGAGCCTGATGTCGCGTCAGATCCTGATCAAATCTCCGACTCAAGAGGCTTACCCAGTTGAATTTTCTCCAGCTTTCTCAGGTGTTGAGAGGAGAAGGGAGCGGAGGTCCCTCTCGGGGGAGCTTCCCTTCCGCCGAGAGTGGAGGGGTCTGTAGAAACTCCGGCAACTCCCCGAGAGGAAGGCCGATGGAGATGTTCACGAAGAAGTACGACAAGGAGTGCATGAAAATGGCCATGTTGAATCACGAGAAGACGTTCAGGGAACAGGTACAGTAGACGTCTGCTTCTTCCTGTTAATTTCCCTCCTGCCGATCTCCTGCGTAAATTTCCCTGGCCTGCTAGGTCAACGAACTCCACAGGCTCTACCGGGTCCAGAAGATCCTGATGAGGGACCTGATGATGAGCAGCGCGCTGCAGAGGCACCAGCAGGTCTCCGATCGCCGGAACGGGGACCTCCGCAGATGGGACCCCGAGAACCAGACGAGCTTCTTCCCGCGGGCCCAGGAAAGGCGGAAGGCGTCGCTGGACCTGGAAAGGCCGGCGGAGGAATATGCCGAGGACGACGGCGAGAACGCTGCCGAAGAAGAGAGCGAGATCGAGCTGACGCTGGCGACGGGTAGCCGCGCGAGGAAGAAGGAGGAGACATCGCTGACTTCCGAGTCCGGAGCGAGCTTCTCTTCTTCCTCCACCGAATCGGGTGGGGACAACCCCAAGTTCCAGGACTGGGGTTTGCCTCAGATCGCCGGCATGAACAGGAACTTTCCCGGCGTGAGGAGCACCGAGCACCCTCCCTGGCTCTATCAGTGCTTGAGCCTGAACATTGCATGAACGACTCGACTCGATCCTCTCTCCTTCCCCTGGTAGTAGGAATGAATGACATCGTTGCTTCGAGTTCGGCCGTCGACCAGGGAAGATCGAGATCGCCGTTGACCCGGAGAACTCGTCGTTCTCTTGGCCATGTCGACCCCTAGCTCTCCACAGGGTGGTCGAGGATTCACTTCCTAGATCGCAAGGATCTGCCCAGTTTCTACGGCCGCTCTGTTTCCATCGGGCTTCTTACTACGATTTCCATCCGCTCCTCCGTGAACGGCGTCCATCCATCATCGTCCTCCCGCTCTCTCTCTCTCCATCCCCCCTGGCGCGGTGGATCAGGCGACGCCTCGTACCTTGCGAGTTCACTAGTTTGCCGTCTTCTGTCGTAGATCCGACAACAATCAGCTGGGCTGTAGGGTCAACTCGCCAATGGAATCTGTGCCACCTACGAGATAAACTCGCAGAATCGGATCGGCATCTGCGGCCCGGGAGGTGCCCATTCGATGATCCGGACTTCCAGTTGTGTCAGGGCGGTGTCGACACTCTGCCTCTTTTATTTTAATTATTTTGATCGATAGAAAATTTAAATGGGGCCGACCTCGCTATAAACCGAGGGGAACCCAAACGCCGTATTTTCTTTTTTTATTTTGTTTCAGGGCATAATAGGGACCCAGGTGTTTGGCCGAGGGTAGATATACAAAATCTAAGTCTTGGTGGAGGATAATGCGCTGCAACCACCTTTTTTTTATGCGACACCAGACCGTAGGAATACGGATCGTCGTCAGGCGGCGAGGCTCGTGCACAGCCATTCCAGGTAGGAAAAATTATGCACTGATTTCATTATTGGAATCCATTTTTTTATTTCGAGGGAAAATGATGGGAGACAGAATGGATTATTAACTTGGATAGTATACTAAAATGAAAACTCACGTGCCGCCAGAATCCGAGAAATAATGGGCATGGGTGAGGTGCAGTACGCATTCCGTTTTATATTATCAGCATTTATTCAACAGTAAGTATGTTTATATATATATAATTGTACAAAAAATGCCCACGACCCTTTGAAAAAAATTGAGAGAAAATAATACGATTGAAGAAAAATGGTGTTTTAAACATATTTTTTCTTTTTATTCTGTTTGGTTTGAGGTTCAGACCTTGGAAATGAGGAATCAAGGAGGAGACCGGAGAGGAGAGTGAAGCGAAGGAGGTCCGCGGAAGGAGTACGGGCGACTTCCGGTGAATGAGAGGTGCAGGCCGCGGGCGCCACGATCGCACCCTGTATCTCCTCGGGTGGCTCGTGCTAGCCGGGGCCTTCTTCGCGCTGCGAGTGCCGAGTCTCCGCAGTCTCGGCTTCCCTCCGGGTTTCCCGTTCTTGCGACATAACCTTCGCGACAATGGGAGCGTTAGAAGCTCCACGACCGCCATCTCCGACAACCCTTTAGAGGACCGTCGCGTCTCCATGTCCAAAGCTCGGGTGTATGCCGACGTCAACGTCCTCCGCCCCAAGGAATATTGGGACTACGAATCGCTCACCTTGCAGTGGGGGTAAATGGTTAAGAATCCCGACCGTAAATTGTTATCCAAAACTCCAGCACTATTTATTTCGTTTACATTTTGTTTCATTGTATTTCTCACTTATTCTGTTTGATCGGGGTGGGACAGATGGGGTTCACATTGTTTACGTAAAGCTTCGAGGTGAGAAAATAGGATGTGCGTGTTGTGAATCGAAAACTTTTACATGTGTGAGTGAGAAAGAGAGGGAATGACAGTGACGATACTACTGTCGACATCTTCTTCTTTGCCCTATTTGGAAAATACTGTGAAGATCTCCTCGTACCCGATTGTGGCTTGGAAATTTGACATGAAGAGCGATACATAAGAACTGAGGTAATCATTACCGTCGATGGAGAAGTTTAAGTCGTATCATCCACTTTTGGGATGCTTCTGTGGCTCATTAGTTGTTGTGGATTCACAAAGTATTGATTCCACTGTACTATTAATGATCTGTCCCGTAGTTTATTCGTGGCCAAGGTAAAGGATGACCAATAGCAGTTCCTCTCTATATTTTTTAAATTTATTTTTGGTTGTAACTCATTGAAGTAATCGATATTCCTGACTTTTTGGTGAAATTCCAATGGTGTTCTTTCATATTGTGTCCCTTGATGTTTCTTGATACACTCTCTTGTCAGTACGTTCATGGGCGATCAAGAGGATGACAATTTTGTGAGAGTAGAAAAGGGAAAATTCCCCACACACTTACCAGGAAGCACTCGTGTTGCCTAATCGTTAGGAGACCATCCAACTGGGATCTTTTGCACTAGAATTGCCCTCAAAATGTCCTCAGTGAATGCAGTGCTGGACGAGGGAAATTCCATCAGTGTTGGATGTTTGCCTTAATCATCAGAATCTCCCATTCTAATGAAAGAATCAGGTGTCACCAAGTGGTTTGAAGGCATGAAATTTACTTTTCTAACTATAGTCTATCTCCAAAACTTTTACATTAGTATGTAATCGCTTTTGTAGTATATAGGGTTTGGCGTAATTAGTTGTACTCAGGAAATGTGATTATTTACTCTGGAAAAATGGACGGTCTAAGTTCAAACAGATTATTAATCATGACTTAAGGATCGACATAATTTGGAAGCGTATGGCCATATTACTTCAGTTTTTATTCTACAACTGGAAATTGAATATTTGGGGTAGATATCGTCGAATGAGTTCTGGCAGAAAACGAGCAGAAAAGGATTGTACTCAAAACAAGCATAGGAGTTTGAGGACTGATTAATGAAACTAATTGAACATATTCATATGTCTACTGTAACAGGACAAGGGAGATTTGGAAATTGCAAAGTGCCATTGCATGCCAGCGTCAAGCTTTTGAACCAGCGAGCTATTGAGCTGGGAAATGAATGATCATCATTGTACAGCCTCTGGTTGATTGCGGGACAGAAAGCACTGTGGATAAATTTGCATTCCTGATTAAGAAGCTGCACATTTCATCTGTTTGATATCATGCGTTGGACAAGGGACGGATTATTTGTTGAAAACAGGTGGAAGGTGTTATTTAAGAAAGAAATATGTGCCTGTCAGAGTTTGTGGTTGCCTTTTTTTTCGATTTCTGGGAATTTAACTGGTCATCTGGCTATTGTTTTCTGTTAGGTCGTATCTTTTCCTTCCGGTCTCATGTCCTACCAAATTAGACATCGTTTCTATCCTCCTACATTGTTTATTTTGTTTACCTTAAAATGAACATGTTGTCATGATTCATGGTATACATTGAAGATGAATGATTCCTAGTTCACACAGTTTAATAGGTCAGCTGTCGTAATTTTTTATCCAGTAAAATGCCCGACGTGTGGTATGTAAAATGAGTGCACCAACAAACTCTGTCATGACCTTGAAAGTATTCCACTTCTGTACTGTAGTTGATTATAACAATCTATGTGACAAATAGTGGGGATTGGATTGATATTAAGTAAATTCAATGTTTAATTATAATGTAAATTTGGTGCTTGGGATTGACTTTGAATTATTTTTTTGTTCTCCAACATTTGATGCTTCTACAAGTATCCAATTATTTCCGATAAGATATTTGGTATCCAAAACACCCTTTTTCAAAATTTAAAGCATTTCTTTTGGTAAATCAATTTTGAAGCGGAGTGAGAAAGTTTATCTCACTTTCTTAATCCCCTGATTATTCCATCGAAAGAAACATAACATTCATTTGCCTATCTTGGCTGAATTGATATTTCTCAGTGATCAAGATAATTATGAGGTTGTACGAAAAGTTGGCCGAGGAAAATATAGTGAAGTTTTTGAAGGCATAAATATAAACAAAAATGAACGCTGCATCATCAAGATCCTCAAACCAGTCAAGAAAAAGAAGGTGCAGAATTATCACTCACCAATGCAAATTAACATTATTTAAATTTTATATACGACTTTTTTATTATTCCTTTCGTTTTCAGGTCTTGAAAGATGCACTCTTTCGTGGGAACTTAGTCATTCTATTTTCATTGCATTTGCAGATAAAGAGGGAAATCAAAATACTTCAGAATCTTTGTGGAGGCCCAAACATTGTAAAGCTACTTGATATTGTTAGAGATCAGCAATCAAAAACTCCTAGCCTGATATTTGAATATGTTAATAGCACGGATTTCAAAGTTTTATACACCACACTGACAGATTATGACATCCGTTACTACATCTATGAGCTTCTTAAGGTATCTTTTCGATCCATTCCCTTGCTAACTTACTGTTTCGGAAAAGTCGTGGGAAACAGTCATATTTTAATCCATGCCATTGGGTAATTTTGCTTGATGATTGTGTAGACATTAAAGTTATATCTATGGACAAAGCAAGAACGAGACTACTTGTGCTTTATCTAAATTATGGTTGGCATATTGTCTTGTCAACCTTGGGTTCCCAATTCCAGGGCCTCCTTTTGGTGGAAATTTCTTTGTTCAATAAGTGAAAACGGTATCTTTTGATGTAACTACTGGTTGTTTCCTGTAAATGGTTTGCTTGTACGTGTATATTTCTTTTCTTAGTGGTCTGACTAGATAATGATTCACTGCCACCTAACCTTATAGAGTATTTTTCATTAAACCGTTACTGTGGGTGATTTGATCCTTTTTGCGGATTAGGAAATAAAGACTCCTTATACTTCCTAACATTTTAAGAAATTCTTATCTTAAGAGCATCTTCTGTGGATTGTATTTTCCCTTAGTGTAGCTGATGTCAGCATTGCTATTCTCACACATAAAATATGTTTCGATTTCGATTACACTCTTGATTAGTTTCATGATAGTTGACAGGTGAATGTTAAGGTCTCCTGTTTTTACTGTCTAATGGCAGGCCTTGGATTATAGCCATTCTCAAGGAATAATGCACCGTGATGTAAAGCCTCATAATGTTATGATTGATCATGAGATGCGTAAGCTACGGCTTATAGACTGGGGTCTGGCTGAGTTTTACCATCCTGGGAAGGAATATAATGTCCGTGTCGCTTCAAGGTAATGTGGGCACATTGCCACCTAGAAAATCAAGTGCTGAAGATAATTTTCATTAATATCTTTGCATTTTGTCAATTAGTATAGCTTTTTTATCCAGCAACATTATTGGGTTATTTATGCTATTTGACTATCATAAATGATGCTTGAAGATCATATTTTCTGATTATCATGAGAAAAGTGGAACGTGTGACACCTCTAGAATCATCCTGGTCTACAGATGTACATTTATACATACGCTCAAACATGCATGCAAATCAGGCATTGGGATGAAGATATTTGTCTTTGATGTTATCTTTTCCCTCTTCTAGATATGAACAAACATTCGAATGTTTGACGTCCGGACTGCAAGAGCTCTCTAAACTCACTCTTACTCTGGCAGTCATTTATTTGCTATCGGAAGTTTTCCATTTTTCGTTTTTCTTTAAGCCGCTAGTTTAAAGTGTCCACTTGAGAGTAGTGTGGACTGATCGTTTGTATTTGAAATGCTTGAATGGTGATAAAATTTTCACCTTTCATCTGTTTTTGGTTCAATAAGTCAGGGAGCTTAATTAGTGAAGTCATCAGACTCCTGCATTATTCCTTATTTGCTAATGGTCGGGATTTCATATCTGTGGCTTAATGATTATTGAAAGTAGAGTGCCATGTTTTTAGAATTCAGAGTGTTTGAAGATTGCCTTGGTTTTCCATTGGCCCCTTGTAAGGATGCAGGGCTTCTTGAATATTTGGGTTTTGAAATGCTCCTGAGGTTTTCTGAAAATTATGTTCAATCCAACTGCTGGAGTTTTTTTCTCTATCAATTTATTAGGTATCCTCACCTCGCTACTTTTTTGCTCAGTTGTAGTGTGTGGTACTGGAGATCCAGAATTGACATGGTTGAAACTTTTCTCTCATCTGCACAATGCTCTTTCACTTTATTCATCGTTTCTAGTGGAGGTTAATAGCCATCCCAATTGGTCTGTTTTGGAGATGTTCAGGCTAATATTTTTGTCAGGTGCTCATATAATTTACGTCGTTTATTTTATCGTCCTTACTTTTATTCTTACCAGATCTTTCAAGGGACCTGAGCTCCTTGTGGATTTGCAAGATTATGACTACTCTCTGGATATGTGGAGTCTTGGTTGCATGTTTGCTGGCATGGTCAGCTCATCTTTTACATTAAAATGTTTTTTGTATCCACTGAGAAAAATATTTATCTGGCTCACTGTTTTCCCCTTTTTAATAACTAGTTTTTTCATATTTCCTAGTCATTAATTTACTGCTATAGGTCCAGGAAGTATATGCAGTCATTTTTTGAGAGCTGCGTTTGCACACAAATAATCACTTCCATGATACTCAGAGACTAAGCTTCAACATCATACTGGCTACTAACGAATGTCATTCGCCCTTACCCTTATTTCCGTTGTCTCTTCCTTTCCATGTACTGGCGCATTGTCAAATTACCATAGCTTTTCAATATATGGTTTTCATTCTGAAGCAATATGCAAACAGGATCCTTTTTTTTTTATTCATTAATGATTAGTTATTTTTTTCTGATGGATTATGTATTGTTTAAAATCTTAATTGTGCTTTTGTGCGAATGATTTCCTAGTGTTTCTGTTTTGGGTTGTAAGTTCTTTGTATATTTTCATTTGCAGATATTTCTCAAGGAACCTTTCTTTTATGGCCATGACAATCACGCGCAACTTGTGAAAATTGTGAAGGTGATAATGTTATTCTGACTTCTTTCTATATGGTTTCTTCACCGATGACTTTCTCTTTTGACTTGAATCTAACTGTGAAACATTTTAAACGAAGAGATGAACCATTTTCCTTTCAAGGCTACTGTTTTTCCGGCTTAGAGAGTAGTATGACCAGTGGTAAAAGATGATTGATAAAAAAATCAGATGAGAGGTCGATATTTCAACACAGTATCCTGCTATTTCGTGTCAATATTAAATTAATAGGTAATTATAGGGGGTCAAACCTTCCAAAAATGGCCTTATCATAATAAGTATCAGCCAGACGTGCTGACGTATAAAACTATATTTGCAGAGCAGATAGTCGACATATGAATGGTACCATCTGATGGTATGTCTAATTTGGCTTATGGATTTAGGATCCATGTTGGATAGTGCAATAAGAGAAGCCTTATAATTTTTAATTCATGAAAATTCATAACCCATTGAATCATGGTAGTGTGATTACAATAAATAAACATTTAATTCAAATTTTGAGGATCATAATTTTGTATGGAAGGTTCTCTTAGTACAACTTGTAGAATATCTTCAAGTGGGGATCATTTTTAAAAGTGCCCTTATCTGATTCTAGAGGCCTGCCATTCTCGGAGAAGATGGTGGTGTGCTAGGAAGCGTGTATCACTAGTGAGAGGCAGAATTTGACAGTCGACAGACCTTGTCTAATCGAAGTGGAATGGGGGATGTGGGACTCTTACTGTATTTTCTGATCAAGTTACAAGTACCATTTGGTTTCTTGTTTTTTGAGTGATGCAGCTGATTGGCATCGCACATCTAGCCACAGTAGCTTGAACCCTTGCTAGGAATGCTATTCTTACGAGTATTCTTCTGTTAGTTGGATTAATATTTTTACTCTTTGTAAGAAAAAAGGGGTATGCTCAGAGTTATGAATGCATATTGTTTTAAAAAATGAATTAGTTAGATATTCTTCTAGCAAGGTTCCATGTGTTCAACGTTACTTACACTTTTCTATAGGAAAAGTAAATACTCATTATATCAGTAAAATTCTCTTAAAGTTGGTATTTATTTATTCTTTCAGGTTCTTGGCACAGATGACCTGTACTCTTACTTGAATAAATATCGTTTGAAGCTCGATCATCACCTGGAGGCCCTCGTTGGGAGGTATACGTTATTAGCAATGCAGCTACATTACTTTGAAAAAGGGGGACTTTTGTTGCTTTGTGCGTAATTTTGAATCTTTTCTTCTATATGATGATTGTCAATGGCGTTGTTTGACATCATCATAATTGTAGCATGATTCAATGGGGTTGTCTTAGTTCAATAAAGGATTCAAGGATTTGAATATTCTCTGCATCTGGCTACTCTTCCTGAGTATCAAAACCCACCCTCCACAAGTGACATGAACAAATCTGTAGTTCCCATTTGACTAGATATTGGGTAGAAAACTGCATTTTTCGATGGAAGAACCGGTAATTGCTTAGACGAAGTCCAGACAGAGGACGATGGACTCAAATTGAAGATTTTGTGATCTTATCTTATGCATAACACTTCCGTGAAGATAATGATAATGTTTTGTTTTCCTGCAGGCACCGTAGGAAACCTTGGTCCAAATTCATCAATGTAGAAAATCGACACTTGGTTTTTTCAGAGGTGATTTGTTTCTGTGTCCCTCGAGTTTCTGATGAGTCAATTCTTTAAATGAGTTCCAATTACTGATGCAGGCCATAGATTTTCTAGACAAGCTTCTTCGTTATGATCACCAGGACCGGCTTACTGCAAGAGAAGCAATGGTAAATTTCTGGATTTTTTATGTTTCGTCATGTGGGGGTGGTTGCGATATTTTATTTTTCTACAGAGTAATCTGTTAATATCCCCGAGTGGCGAAATATATTATGATAGATAACCTTAAAGGAACGCTCCGATTTTGCTTTTAGTGGAACGATCGTGATGGATCAAGGGTTAGACGCTTCTCAATTTTATTGCTTCATATGCAAATTAATACCATCCTGGTAGAATCTGTGGTCATCACCTGAAACTCGAAGAGCTACGAAGGAATGGAAATCCCAAGAAAGTCAATTTACATGCTTGCTGGATCATTACCTTCTTCTGCTGGTGCTTGAATGATGATGTTCCAGGATATCTTGATACATTGATCGAAATGGTGGCTCATTGGACTGGACTAGGAAACGCTCTCGCTCCATATCCTGTGGTCTATCTGGGTCCTTCTATAGCGTGCTGATCTTTCGTCTCCTATATTTCCAGGCGCACCCGTATTTCTTTCAGGTGAGAGCTGCAGAGAATATTAGGAACCGCATCCAGTGACATTAGATGTTGGGCTTACTCTTATGAAAAAAATTAAAGTATTAGAGACGGGAAATGCTTTTCTTTCAGTTATGTATGGCTTGAGAGGCCACCCTCTGTAACTTCATCGGCCTTGAGAGGTCGCAAGCATTTTCAAGTATCGGGGATTCAAGCTTCTGTATGGCCAATTCTTCTCATTTTTCCCATTTAAATTTAAATGCCTATGCGCTGAAGACATCCGATCTTACAGCTTAGTATTTCTTTATCCCCGGATACGAAGAGTGTGGGGCAAATGATCTGCCGCCCAGGGATCACGTTTTCATTGAGAATTTGATAAAAAAAATTAAAAAACATCAAACTAATATTATCGTTAAGAATCATGGAAATATTTACTCGGTGTATTTTTATTTCGGTCAAATAAGGAATGAATATTAATGCATGCGTGACCTTTCGATTGGCGTTCTCGAGAGCTACCAATGTGAGACTTCAATACAGCATTTATTGCTGCCAATTCATTGCCGATGAGAAAAACTGGTGCAACCTGGCTCTTCCCGGTCAACCAGATCGGAAAAGGAAGCGCTGTTGTGGGCCCCCCCACATCTCACATGATGGTCAAGGAGACCACGATTGGGACCTTGGACACGTTTCGAACCATGGAAGAGAGAGAAAGAGAGAGAGAGAGAGAGAGAGAGAGAGAGAGAGAGAGAGAGAGAGAGAGAGATCGTCACCTAGTGAGACCCATTAAACTTGCCTGTCACGGATGGCTCGCTCCCAATCGACATCGCGGATCTGACTCGTTCAAAGTTATGGAAATGTAGAGAGAGAAAGATGGTAAATAAAATATGGCCTTTATTTGCTAGTACATGGATTTACAGTCGTCGCGGACGGTTTTCTAGCCTCGGTGGAGGATCATACGCCACGATAAACGCGTCCCACGGCTTTTCTTCAGGTATCCGCTCATCTGGATTCCAACAAACATAGCCAGTTGGGCACTGAACGACGCGACCCACCGGGGGGGCCGCCCTATTTAATCCACAATCTAACACCCAAAATCGTACGGCACCAGCCCTTGTAGCTCCGGTCCATTGAGTCTGCTGTTGTTTTCGTAGCTGAAACGACGGAAAAGAAACCCAATTCAGCTCAGCACCAAAATCCACAATCTTGATGATACCCACGAGCCATACAAAGATCCTACCACATATCGTCGTCGAACATTGTGAATACCAGATGGGATGCATAGTACTTCCGATGGTTTTCAGAGGGCTAAACCTAGTCGTTTGGAAAGGGGCAGACAGGAAAGCTGTCCATCAAAGATAATGTTCCTTCCACTGAGAGACAATGAGCGGTCATTTCCACTGAAAAGCGTGATTTTTGTGTATTCTCCGGTCAACGTCATCACTTCAAAAAAACTTGTAGCTATTTATCAGGGGATGTAACTAGCCGGGAATGATGTAACTATAGATGTCGGATGAGAAACTGAAGAGATATCAGTAACCAATAGAGGAGAATGGAGAAAAGATATTGGGTGGGGGGGGGAGGGGGGGGGGGGTGATCCTTCCGAGTTCTTACCTCTGGTATGGGAAAGTGGGGAAAGGGCCATCGATTGGGATCGTCCCGCAGAGATCGTTGGAAGAGACATCACTGCGCCGTTACAGAACAAGCGTCGATCAGCATCAGAATGAATAACTGAAACAATCCGCAGCCAGCAAGTTACATAAAAAATATTTCTCTTACAAGACTTTAAGGTTGGTGAGCGAGGCGAGTTCTCTGGGAATGGAGCCCGTCAGACGATTGTTGCTTAGGCGCCTGGGCACAAAGAGAGTAAGACCTCGTCTGATGGTTCCGAGAGAACAGGGACGAGGATATAATGGGAGGATGAGAGCTGGTAACTCACAGGAATCGAAGGGATTTCAGGTTCCCAAAGGATTTTGGGATCTTCCCTTCGAGCCGGTTGCCGTACAGGTCCATGCTGACCAGGCTCTTCAGATTACCCAGCTCTTCCGGGATCTTCCCCTCGAAATTATTCCTGTAGAGCTCCCTGAATAATATACCAGCGAAGCCCACCAAGTGGATGAGGATCTCCCTCAATAAGGCAAAACGTGTGTGAGTGTGAGTGTGTGTGTGTGTGTGTGTGAGAGAGAGAGAGAGAGAGAGAGAGAGAGGGAGGGAGAGAGAGGGGTGTACAGGTACTGGAGATGCTCGAGATGGCCGAGCTCCGGCCCAAGCGGTCCAGAAATATTCGAGTTTCCCAGGTCCCTGAAACGCACAGAGGGTTAGAGAGGAGAGAAATATAGAGACGAACAGAGTAGGGGAAACACGGCAAGAGCCCGATCCATCGTCTGCCCCCGGCGAGGTGCGGATCGGAGGAGAGGGTTTTGAGCAGTTACAGGCGGATGACTCGGTTGTGGTCGTCGCAGGTAACATGGAACCAGGTGCAGGGGTTGACGAGAGTGGGATCCCAGCTCTGCAGAACGTTCCTCGGGTCCTTCAACCTCGCCCTCAGCGCGTGTAACGCCTCCCCTTCAAAGGAAAGAAGAGAGAGGGTGAGATAACCAAACGGGAAGATCTCACGGGCTGTGTTCAGAGGAAAAAAGCGGAGGGACTATAGCGCACCTTCGGGGTTGGTCGAGAAGGCAGGATAAACGGCGAACAGGAGGAACAAGGGCAGGCAGAGCTGGGAAGCCATGAGAAGAGAGAAGAAGAAAACAAGGAGGGAGAAAGACGATAAGAACAGGAAGAAGTTTACGGCAAGAGAAGAGGCGCAGCAGGCTTTTGCGGAGACTGGGAGGGGGGGAAAAGGTGGGGAGGTCGTTTAAGCCATAAGGCACCGGCTTCCCGTTCGGTTCCCTGCGAGACGCGTCCACTGTTTGGAGCGGGTGCTCGTCAACCAGTGTCAGGCAGAAGTCACTGGTCAAAAGATATGGTGGACTACTACCAAAGACACGCCTTCTCCGGACGGATTCTACGCTGGCGGCCGCCAGTGTCAAACACCCGGTTAGAGCGTCAACGCGTTGCCATGGCCCAGGCCTTAACGGAGGCGGACCCGAGCAGGGTAAAGCGCAAAGGGCAGTCAGCAGTCAGGTGGGGTCCACCCCATAGGAAGAGAAGAAGAAGAGAGCATGGTTGGGGGGGGTGCTTCTACAGCAAGGTGCTTCGAAACGCGAGCAAAAGCGGGTTAAAGAGTACGGCCGTGGCAGACGGAACAGCGCCGCGCCGAAGATGCCGAGGCAGTCCCAGGAAATGCGGCTGGCGTGCCGCCTGCCCTCTCCGCCCTCCCGTGTCAGACGGCCCAAGCAAGGAAAGCGCCAAAAGGGGTCGGGGGAAAGATGACCCTGAGCCCGCTGGAGCTCCGCCGCTCCGCTAGCGCTACTTGGTAAGGAGCGTTTTCTGTCGCTTTTCATGGCGGCGGCAAGCCGCCGTCAACCCGCGACCCCGTGAACGAACCCGACAGAGAGCTTCACAATCCCCCGTGGATTTCGTGGTAGCAATTCGGAGATGGCCAGGGTGGGTGAGAAATCGAACTCTCGCGAGTCGCGCGGTGAAAATCGTCCAAGTTAAAGCTCCAGAGGATCTGCCTAGGATTGATATGTCCAGCTTGACTCCCCGGCTGACCGCAGGCGAGAGACCATGACGGGCCCCGGTGATTGACATTAATTAGCCTCCGGGTGCCGTTCAATGGATTTGGAGGACGCAGGGGAACCATTGGCGCCCGGCTGCAGTATCAGCGAAGCAGAGAAATGGGGCGATGGAGTCGGCCAAAATAATGGAAGAGTCTGGTGGGAGTCGATTGTTTTTTAATTAAATGACAGCCTATTTTAGGCAGCCCATAGGAGCACACCCTTCAGTGAGTGTATCGATTAGCCGATAATTGCTTCACGGCGAGTATCCGCTTTCAGGAGCTTTGCAGGGATAACAGCAGGACCTATTCAACACTGCAGATTGAGCTGCTGGCAAAAAGCGGATGCAGGATAAGATCAAGATATCCCTATTAGCATTCAAAGTTCTACGAAATTACGAGGAAAATAAACTGCGCTTCGCCTCGCCAATGGAATATCAGCGCATTCCTCGTTTATTTTCCATCTTAAGATAGTGGGTTATGACTTTAAAAAGATGAACGAAGGTCCTTAATTTTATTTGACAGAAATTCAAGGTACGAAATCCGGATGTCCAAGAATGTGCCCTTTAATAATGACTGGGATTTCTTCACAGAATAAACGATGGAAGGGAGATGTAATCGGAGAAAACACTATCAGGAGAATGTAAATCGAAATTTAAAAGAGATTTTAAATCATAAGACGGGGAAATTAAGAATTCATAAACAGCACGGGAGCCACACAGAAATGAAGGAGAAATGCACTTCAAATTGTTTACCAAACAGCTCTAGTGAACGCTAGAACAAGGGAGGATCCAAGCTGCGAGGTTGAAACATCATAGCAATTCCACTTTCAGGTAATTGGGATTCTGCTGATGACGAAGAGATGCAAGACACAGGCACAGAACCAGTGACTCGGTGGGAATGTCTTGAGAACTAAAACAGGAATACTTTTTAATCAGATTTTTTCACAGAAACCTTGCCTCTTCTCTACTGTCATCAGGAATACATCAAACCACTCGTTGCAACGACCAGAGCCTTGATAGAGATCGCCTTCTCGTTTGATTCCAGCTGGCTCCTGTCCATCGTTTGAATCACGGGCTAGAAATCATGAGCTATCCACAGATCCTAAAGAGAGAGAGAGAGAGAGAGCTCACCCTTCACAACTTTCTGCTTCCCCAGGCTCCAAAGAAAGCCTTCCCTCTTCCGAACCTCCTATGTGCAACCAGACGGGCGTGGCGGCCAGGGCAAAGGGCGGCTGACTGTGAACGCGTTCGCGCGTCGTGTGTATTCGATTGGATGGTTTAAAAAATGGCTTTTTATCCGGATAGAAGAATAGGACCAGCCCAGAGCTACCCAACATGACCCAGATGGTGGCGAGAGGCTCTCTCGTGTGGGGCCATGCAGAGGCTCGCACTGGACTATGGATGGCGAGCGCCCATCGGCGGACCATTCTTCCTCCACAGGCCGCCGCGCGCAGAGCTGGCCCTGGCGCGCACCGGCAACGTGCGGGAGGAGGCCGCAACACGTGGCTCTTCCTTGGGCACCAGCAAGCTATCTGCTCGGATACTCTCCCGCCGCCCCCCGGCCTCGTGGCGGGAGTGCGCTTGACCAAGGCGAAGACGGAGGAGAGTAGCAAGCACTCCATCGAGCGGAAGGACTGGCCCGCCGGCGAAAATGACGGCCGGCTATAAGAAAGAGTCCCGAGGTGGGCGTCCTCCAAACTCCCTCCTCCCGCTTGCTCCGGCCAGTGGACGGGGAAGCGAAGAGAGGGGGCACGGGAGAAATGCTCCGGCTGCGGTTCCCCGGGTGCGCACCTGTCGACAGCGTGGTGGGCAGGTTGCAGGGGTATCAGAGCTGGCTCGTGGTGAGGATAGCGACCGTGAGATGCCCGATGAGCAGAGCACCTGCTGTGAAGGCACTCAAGGACAGGGCCGAAGGAGGAGGAGGAGGAGCCAACGGGGGATTCTCTGGCCAGAGATGGGACCCTGGCTTGGAGATTGAAGTCCCCTTCGAACAGAGACCGGTAATCTCCACAGAACCATGTCGAAATTTCCTCCTCCTAGGGCTTCTCGGAAGTGGCGGGCCTCTTGAACTGGTGTAGAGGCTAGCCGCTATTTTGCTCCAGCCTGTTGGTGGAGATGATGGGTGAGGCAGAAATGAACATAATAGAATGCTTAGAAATTTGCATGAATGTGCTGAAGTTGAACTTAAGCTGATGTTTTTTTTTTCAAGTTTAACTTGATTTGTGGGCACATTTACTCCAGAAGTATTTTGATCAGAGCACCAGGTGATGGTTACAACTGCGATTTTATGCCAGGTGAACGAGTACTCATCTTTGAAAAGCAGCCTTCTTTATTCTTGGGGAGAGCTGAGCCCTGGGTCCTTCTTCCTGCGCCTGGGTAGCCTGTGGCTAATCACTTTTACGGTTCTTGGAGCACCAATAGCGGCTGCTAGCTTTAATCCATCAAAGGTACGATGGCTATCATCAATTGAACAAAACTTTGAAAATCATGCTCAAAGAAGAACGAGAAGAACCCACATCCATTTAGATCTCAAAATTATATTTTTGCTCTTGGTGGCAATTTTTCGGAAAATTGTCACAGATAAAACTTAGAGGTTCAAGTTTCAACTACAAACTTTCACTGAGAAATTAAAAAATGACACCATTGATGGCACAAGTAAAATTATCTTACAAGAATTTTCAGACATATTGTTGCCACATACTTACTTTCGTTCATTTCAACATGCAGGATCCCTTAAAATTTGTACTATCCGCAGGAATTGGAACACTACTACTGGTTTCCATAGTTGTCTTGCGCATATACCTGGTATCTTTCTTGTTGTGCGAACTCTTGAGTATGTGCATTTTGATGACTAATAACGTAGAATCATCTTTATCTCAATAATCATCAGACACTCAGCGACTCAGAGCATTTATTTTGAAGTTTTCTATATAAGATCATCCTTCGTGGTCGTCTCTAACATTAATAATTGAAGAAAAACAGATTATAAACATTAACTTTCCTTGCTCATAAATCCGAGATACATCTAGCCAGATAATTTCAAAAACTGCAGTAATGAACAGGCACCTTGAAACACAAGATGACGTTCCCTCCTACCATAGTATACCCGTAAAAGAGGAAAACCAGGCCATATAGAGCAGTATTAGGACAGAAAGCTCAGATCTCAACCCTCTTACCATACAAATATGCTCCAGGTAAATGACCAGAATACCCGTTCCCAGTTTCTAGTCGGCTTTATGACTAATATTGGCATAATCGTCTGAAAGTTAATGTCACATTTGCATGTGAATGCACGGTGCTCTCAAAATTCCCCCTGTATATGTCCATCCCTTGAAACCGAAGAGGCCTATTGGATGTTGAAAAAAAGTGCACTCTCTACTAACCGTTTCCCCTCTATAATTATACAGGGGTGGAGTTATGTTGGCGACAGGCTGTTGTCAGCAGTGATACCCTACGAAGAGAGTGGATGGTATGACGGACAGATGTGGGTGAAGCCGCCAGAGGTATGTATGTCTCAGTATACACCAGTAAGGCCAAAAGTTAAAGGCTCTTCATGAAGTATGTATTTGGAAGGAATGATCTGGACATAATAGAACCAGATAATTACTCGATCAGCTTACATATCGATGAAAAGAATTGAAGGAGAAATGATGACCTAGTATCATCTTCAACTGACAATAGTAATGGTTAAATCAATCAACTATGTTTTTTCTGGAACAAAAAAAAAAGATACAGATCGTACATTTTTCCACTCTGAAACGCATGGGATGAAAATGAATATTCAAAAGATAGACCAGTCATATGTAGCATTAATTCAGAATTCATTGCACGCACAGAACAGAAGAGCCGATCTTGGTTTCATGCATATCATCACCGCCTTTACGAGTGTTTGTTCTCTCATCCCATAGCATAACGTCCATGAATATTCTGTAAACACAGAGCAGTCCAAAATGCCCAAATATGGCATCTTAAGCGTCTCATATTGCATCTCCAACAATGCTGACACAAAATTATAATATCGTAAATGCAACACTGGATATGTGTTAAAACGTCTCTTCATTCTTACCTTTTGCGTACAGTTATAATATCAGACTAATTACAGTTTCTATTGGATACCGATCTAGGTGTTGGCTCGCGATAGGTTGCTGGGTTCCTACAAGGTACAGACTAGCATCTCTTATTTTAGCCTCCATATGGAACTTTGAACAAGTTGGCCCAGGGCCTAAAAAATAGAATCCCAAAAAAAAATGAATTTGGCTATTATATGCATAGTGGGATGGTTCAAGGCCCCCCCTCCTATTATATCTTTCTCATTTTGCATTGCATCAACTCTCATGTCTTTCTTACGCCAGGTGAAACCAGTGATCAAATTGTTGAAACGAACACTACTGGGGACAGGAATTCTCCTTGCCACAGCCGTATCCCTTTTGATATTTGCAACCCCAGTAGAGAATTTCTTACAGTCACTTTCGCATGCAAACGAAAGTGGTTTAGTTGTATCCGCTGCAAAAGCACCTGACCTCAAGTAAGTGACTGATTGCTGAGAGCTTACTTCACAGACCACATTTTTCCTATCTGATTCTGCTGGAAATTTTCAGAAAGGAGGAATTACTAAGGTTGCCAGTGGAAGTGATGAACGATGACGATCTAGCAGCTGCTGCGGCTGAGGCTGCTGATGGAAGGCCAGTGTATTGCAGATCTCGTCTCTATCGTGCATTAGCAGGTGGACAGTATTGCAAGTGGGATGATCTACTTAACTGATTCAAGAAGCTGAAATGGTTCATATTTTTCTAGAAATTGTAGCGAGTATGCACAGCAAACAGACAGCAGTTTGCTTTCTCAAGAAGTATTTTTGTTCGGGAAGTGGGCTCTACCACATATTCATTAATGTTTAAGGAAAAAAGAGCCTAGAACTCCCATGAGCTAGCAAAAGTCCTCACTATGAAACCTATCGAATCTTCAAAAAAGTAATGAAGGACCCAAGCTTCTCAACATTGAGTTTTCATTACGAAAAGTCATAACAAATCAAAACACAGAAAAGAAGAACTGTGATATCAAGAATACATGTCCTCTGAAAGACGATCGGAGAACAGACACCTAAACTTACAAGGAGCTAACTGCACCACTGCCAATTTGAGTCCCTATAAATATGTGCACGATAAAGATTCATTGTTTAATGAAGCTAGAATACTTGACTTCCACCGGAGATCTTATCACAATGGAAATACAAATGAATCAAGCAGTAGCTACACAAAAGTTGGATTGTGTAGATTGAACGTTTAAAACAACCAATCAATAGGAAACCTGACAGAAAATAACTGCGCGTCAGATTGAGCGGAATTAGTGGCATATCACAACAAGCCTAATTCTCCAGTTTGAACGCAAAGTTTCAGTAGGAACGCCAGATTAATAGTTTGCAGGTGCAACTCGTATTATAATTGGAATAGTAGGGGTCCAGAAGTAGAGGTTATTGATAGCGAAACACATTGGATTAGTAAATCCTAGAACTTGTTCTCGATCCACAAATTGTTTCGTTCTGAATCGCAAAAAAATGGTTAACGTGATGTACATTTTTTTTTCTACTTAGTTCGAATAGTATTTGATTTTCTTTCATGTTTACGCAGCAGAATCTTGAAATGTTGGCTAGAGTTGTGCATCCTAGGTTTACTAGTTAACTTTCAAGAAAAAATCTACCGAAGAAAATTGTATCCTCCTTTTTCCAAGATTTAGATTCTCATTCAATGGGACCACAAAAGATTAACATGTTAGACCGCTATATTATGAAATATAAATAGAATTCCTTCCCTATTGTTAGAGCCCCTGGAGAAAATGAAACAATCAGTTAACCTACAGATTCACTGTTTTGAGCCTTCAATTGAAACAAGTCATTTTCTCTTAACGTGGTTTAAAGACAAGAGTCTACCACAATATTATAGGTCCTGATTGAGATAATGGGAGGTCAAAAAGGCAATGCAAGAAACCAAACTACTTCTGCAGAGAAGTCACTGCCTAGGAAAATCAACAGTAATCTACATTTGCGAGCGTCCAATGACCAAATGTTTTGTACCACGGATTGAAATGGTTCCAGAAAAAAACAGAACTGAAGTAAATACAACCCATAATACAAATTTTGGTAGAATTTGAGAAACGACGTCTAGTGGTAGAATTTTGCCTACAAATGTTTTACTATCTTCTGATCCTGGAAAGCCTTGTTCCAACAAAAGTATCTGTCTTTCAGGTGCTTCGAATTTTTAATTAAATAATCATCCTCCTGCCACTTCAACCTTTAAAAACCACCTATCTTTGAGGAAGACACGAGAACATAAAGCCTGATTCATTCTTATTCAGAGATCGCAAAACAAGAAGTACAGAGGATACTGCTGATGCTTCCACATGGAGGATTGCTCACAAAACCAGTTCTTTGAAATTTCTACATTTTCAGTGTATGCAACCTCGTAGTGGAGTATAATTGAATCTTATATCGCCAGTTTAATGCTAAATTCCCTTCTTCTATCTTCCAATTCTCTCAGCTAAACCAGTCTCTTGCACCAATGGAATAGATTAGAGACAGTAGATCCGACTATATCTCTCAAGGGTCTCTTCTGCCTTTTTGCGAACTCAAGATCTAAAGTTTTATATGCAAGGGCCACCAAATACATAGCAGGATGCAACCTCCTGCACAACATTAAAGTATCAGGTTAGAAGATGGACTGAAAAAGAAGACCGTCATTGAAAAACTATACCTGTGTACATGAAATATCTTTTTCAAGAGGCTAGATACCCAAAAATATAACTAACATAAACAAGAGAATTACACAAAAAATTTACTAATATACAATCCCTTGTGAAACATTTTATTATCATGGCTCAAATGTGAATCACAGGAGAAATCCTCACCAATCATATGCATGTACAGGTACGCTAATGTGAGTACTATAACATTATATATAACAGAATTCTCAATCTCAAAGTCGCAAACAATTATGCAGAAATATTGGGTTTAAAATTAACATGTGCACACTTACTTTTCATTATGCTCCATTGTGCCATCCCACTCCCTTTTTGATGGGGTCGTCCGGCCTCTCTTGTCTCGGCCAAATGTTTCAACATACCAACCACCAATATCATGCATGCAACTACGGGGCTCAAATAACCAAAATCTGCACCAGAAACTGCCTAAAAACTCAAAAGAACTCCAGACTTGATGTAAGCATCATGACATAGGAAAGTAAAAATCAAGTGGTGACCAGTCTAGTTCGCCAGGTTCAAATCAAAGATGAAGGGGCGCGAGCGCAAAAGTTTGAAATTGAATCCTTTCCAAAAGGCTTTTACTTTCAAAACCATTAAAAAAAGGCTCTTGGCAAATATATTTAATCTCAACTTCATAGTTCATGGAGTATTGGTTCCCAAACAAGAGAGCCAGTGGACATACTTACAAGCAGGTTGTACAGACACTCAACATTCCATGTTTTATAATTCAACCACGAAACCAACTCTCAGAAATTAGAAGTTACATGATCGTGAAAGATACTTGTAATCATAATCTAGTTAAAACTCGGCGAAGGGATATGAACAAACTAACCTACTAGGAGGTAGTCGGGCACGACTGCATCTACATTCACAAGTTGCAATTTCTTCTCCGATTGCATACCAGTGCATGTGTTTCACCTGAAAAGAATGAAGCGCAGGGTCATTAACTTGTAGAGTAAAATATGGACCGACTTTTCATGTGCAATTACTCGATAAAACACAAAGAAATCGATTCCTTGCTTCCCCACTTAATGTGATAGGTATTCGTGTGAGAGAGAAAAACAGCAGAAAATTTTGATCATATTCAAAATTCATAAATTATCAACAAAATAAAATCCCCCATAAAGATCTCAACCATAGTGACCTGCCTATTCTATCAGGAAAGATACCCCATGCATAACATAAAACAAATGGCAGAAAATTGAACATTCTCTGCGTTAAAGAAAATGTTTAGTATACCCAGCATGCCATATGTCAAACATCGTCAACTAGTTTCGCATATCGCAGTCATAGTTCGATTCAAGTATTACGAAAACCTACATCTACACTTAGCTTGACATTTGGTTTCCCAATTTGACAGGTTAGTATGTCAAGTAACTATAGCCAAGGGAGCAGCTTCTTCCTACTCTAGAAAGGCACTGAAGTCTGACTGGTTGGAGATGTACTTTCAACTTGTGCAGGTGCAGAAAATCCTATAAAACAACAAGGTCACCTTTGTCATGTTTTCGCCCGCATATTTCACCAAATGAAAAATGAATATTCACACAGTTCATCATACACCTGAACATTAAATCATTTACAAAATAAGATGTATCCCACCAGCTGTGCTATAGATACAAATGCTCTTTCATCCGAACTCTATTGACCCTTAATTATCTGCTAAGAGAAGTCAGATATTGCGTGTACTTGTTCTCAACCTTTCCTCTGTTTGCTCATTCTAGTAGCCAACTCAGATACAAACAAATAAGAAGGTTTTTTATAGTCTCAAAAACTAACCCATAAAAATCAACATCAGCTTCTAGAATGGGCCCTTTATTCATTAAATAAAAAAATCCTTAGAAACTTTAATAAATTTCGGTTGCAGATTGGATTAGCCCCAGAGTAAAAAAAAAAAAAACGGATTCAGTTTTGTACGAAGAAATTGAAAAAACCAAAGGCTCTTTATGCGGTGAGAAAATTCACATGGCTATCTAGCAGCGAACGAAAAAATTTACCCTCAACCACAGTAAAGAGATAATTTAAGAATATTAAAAACACAAACCTATTTCTGAAAGAAAAAAGTACATCAATCCTGAGGGAGGTAAGACAGTGAAGTATTGCAGATAATAGTTTCACATACCAGTAACGTTCTATGTTTCATAATCACATGAGTTTTTGCACCATTATTGTCGTAGACATAACAGGATCCTTCCTCAGAAGTGGTTCCTAGTCCTCTTATTGTTCCCAGTAGGTTACTTGTTCCAACTGTCGTATATGGCATGACCCCCGCTGGATCTATTTCCCTTCTCTCTGCTTTGTCTCTACTGCTTCCAAGAAAAACACGTATGCAATCCTCAGAACAGCCTGCTGTAGCGTTCTTGATATGATGATCTCCAGGAGGATCCCTAGTCGCTGTGGCTATTAGTCTACCAGATATATAGACTTCTAGTTCTCTGTAAGCATCAGGCAAATGATCGTCGCAATGTCCACCATGAAATTCATTACTGTCAAAACCTTCCGGAGAAACAGAAATTATTTTGGTGTTTATGTCCTCATGAGATTGGCGAGGCTGAGGACACTTCAAGGAAGAAGAATCTAACTTTCCAACACTGCCGTGGGATAACCGAGGAACGCTATCAGCAATGTAAACAATCCCCAGGAGATCACGACCAGAAACTAGGTGCAACACCTCGAGAGTCTGCTCACCGGATCTCTCCTCCGCTTCAAAGGAATCTGGGAGATGACCGGCGGACTCTATCACAGGACCGTAATAAGCCGCACGAATGGCTGAATACAACTCGTTCTCGAGTTCTCCGAAATAGCCCGTCCCTGAAGCAACTTTCCTCTGCGAAATGACATCACCTACAGCAAGTCTATACCATTCCAACCACTCTACAACGTCAGCTTGTTTTGGCACTGCTACATAGGAGCTGTGTCTGTATGCATACACCGGTGAGCTGCCGACCCCTGGCTGCTTCTCAAGAATCTGCCTCTGAGAGAAGAGAAAGCTATCATAATCAGCCCTCTTCTCCGAATCGGAGAGAATCTGCGATCCAAGATCATCCGTCAAAGAGCTTTCAAGGGATAAATCTTTTACAACGAGAAGTCGTAACTATTGATGCTAATTTCGGAACGAGGAGTAAAAAACTAGAACCCCCCCCCACTTCTCATCTCCCATCCATCACCACAGGCCATCTCGCTAACAAACCGAACAGTCTCTAAGCATCCACAAAACAAATTTATAACGCCCGCCGACCACTGGATGCGCCTATCATTCCAGAACCAACCTCGTAAGCCGCGAGGATCTTGAGGAACCGATGGGAGGCGACGGACGGCTCGGAGATGGGGGAAACATCGGGGTGCGTCTCCTTCGCCAACTTGCGGAAGGACGCCTTGATCTCGGAGAACGAGCTTGTCTCCGGCACCCCGAGCACTTCGTAGGCGGTCTGGCCCGAGAACACGTCGCCAATCCCCGAGCACAACCACCTCCTGCCGCCACCTGCCATTGAGGAGACGGAGGAGACGGAGGAAGGGGAGAAGAGCACTGCCATCTTGCACCGATAAAATCAGCGTAGACGATTCTGCAGAAAGCAGGATACTGTGGCCTTCTGCTGATTAATTGGATATTGATTCGAGTGGCCCAACTCAAAAGCCCATAATGGGCCCGCTTCACATATTGGGCCCAAATAAGGCTCATCGCGTCAGAAATGATTCTGTTGGGCCGGTCCGACACAAATTCAGCTCCCCCAGAGATTCTGTAAAGGAGGGGGTCTTTGTGGATCCTGGAACTCTGCGGCACACATAGAAACTCTACGTCTGGGAGGAAGACGACGACAGATTTTCCTCCATCTATCTACTTCGCCGGACTGAGGTTCTGAAATTCGGTCTGCCCGGCCGGAGGAGCCGTGCGATGACTTCCTGCCGCCACCACGCTCTGATCCCAGAAAACGCCAACGAGGTGCAGGTACGCCTGTTCGTAGCTTCCGGGCGGAAGCGACGACAGCCAGCTCTGCGTTTGGCCTCCGCAGCCAGCCTCTCGACGCGCTACGCGTCCGCTAGCGACGGGAGACTGGACCAGCGGGCAAGTGGCAACCATCCGTTCATCTGGTTCTGGGAATAGTAGGAAGGGGAGTAAAGCTGACGGGTCTCTGACCGACAACCGTGGCCGGCTGTCATCCCATCGCCGTCCGCCCCGTGCCGGCCGGCGAGCTGGGAGGCACCACAGTTCGCCTCCATGTGAGTGCTACAATAATTTTGAGAGTGATCGGGCCGTGTGCCAAGGCGTTGAGGAGTCAGTCCGTAGGTCCTGATAGGAGCACGGTTGGTGGAGTGCAAGACCCACCGTTGACGACGGGGAATCCCACAGGACGGCCCTACCAGGTCGGTGCCGGCCGCCTTGTTTCCCATTCTCTCCGGCGGCCAAGAACCCTCCTCGCTTTCACAGAGGGGAGTGACTGCACTCATCTCCGAACACGATGGATCCGAATCTTCACCGACCCAATTATCGCTGGTCGCTGTCCGACGGAGCTCGCCAGCGGAGCCGTCGCCCCACCGTCTTTAATGACAGATAGGCTCCCGATCGTCGCTTCTACCTATTTAACCCACTTCCTTATCCCGATCGCCGGCATCCGTCGGTGGGAGGAAGATACGTGACCGCGACAACTTCGGCCACCCCTTGCAGACTCCTCCACCGGAGTGTGCCGTCTCGTCGGATAATATATAATGAATTATTGGTGTAAAAATAATACGGTAAATCCTGATGCCATTTATGATGCTTTAATACTTAATATTCGATAGGTTAGAAATGCCACACTGCCTGCGGAGCTGGCATTTTCCTCGTAGCGCCACTGTCACCTGAATACATGTCTCCCAGAAAAATGACAGCTCGGCTGCGGGGGTGCCCGTTAGCTGGATATAATTTCCGCGTCCACATCCAGCCTCACATAGGCATACCCGTCTAAATACTAGTAAGTAAAAGACGAATTAAAATTACTCACGTCACGTTGACGTGGGGGACGCACGTGTCAGCAACTGTCTTGGCCATGCCTCGTACGATGACCCATTGGAGCCGCCGCCTCCGCGCGCGCGCGCGCGCACCCGGTGCGATCCGCATCGCTAGACACTAATTTCTGGCATCCGACCGCCCCTCGACGGAATCGATCGCCGGTAATCAAGCGGATCACATTTATTGACCGATGTCCCGAGCCATGATCGAGCCGTGGGCGTAAACTGATTGGGTCCCATGAATTCCCCTTAATTAGGTGCGCTGACGGACCTGATCCGGCGAGTGAGAGCGACGCGAGGCACCGCGAAGGTGGGTGGTCCGTTGAGGCCACCAGCGTAACCCGACATAAGAATGTGGCAGCGTTAATTGACGACGTTATTAAAGAATCCTGAATCTTTCTTTTTCTCTCTCTCCGGGGCGGGTGCCATAACGCAGACCGTCGTCCCTTCGGTCCGGTCTCGGGCGTTGACGATGGCGACGTGCCACCCGCCACGAGTCGTATCCGGGCCACGGTGGGACCCGCAGTCAGCGGGACCAATCACGCTAAGCGGAGGGAGAGCCGGCTCGGCGGATCTACCTTCTTCACGGCACGTCACGCTGCCTGTCGCCGCCGCCGAAACTGCCGGGCCGGGAACGGCGCGCACGTCGGAGCATATGGCCGAGCTTTCCGCGCGGGGCTGCGCGATGCCTGCGACCTTAGATTCTTTTTGAACGGCAGATCGATCATCATTCGTCTATTTAGCTTTTTTTATGGTCGCCTCCTGTTGGCCTCGGGACTGACGAGCAAAACCCCCGCGTTCCTTCCCACGGGGAATCTTCCCGGGCCACGTCGCCGGAAGGGCGGATAACGTTTAGTCCTAAGCGTCACGATGTAGAGATGTTTTGCTTCCTAAGCTTGGATTAATCGGGAATCTTTCGCCATTAATTCCACGGGAAGAGGTGGGGAGACCGGGAAGCGACCTTTTGACCGGAACCTCGTTTTCAGCAGACGAGAGATACTGGAGACCGGAAGGTCGGACTCGTCGACCAAGTGGGTCGAGGAAGGGACCGCAGGGTTATCTTACCGGTTTCTACATGGCGGGTCGTCCGAGCCACTGCTATCCCACGCCTGCAGTTTCTGTCGCCGCCGCTCCCCACACAAAATTCCATCTTTCACTCTGTCACTAACATCCCCCCCCCCCCCCCCCCTTAAGCCCGGACGTTCATATCTCGGCCGCTGTCGCCATTTTGTTTTTTTCTCGGACGCAATCATTCCTTCAACGAAGGAAAATCCCTCCCCTACTCTTTGCCCCGACGCAGCCGGCTTCTAGGTGTTGTTGCAAGGAACGGCGGAGGAGCAGTGGCGGGGTAGCGGAGACGGTGACGAACATGGAGGGGTCGAGCAGAGCGCCGACGATCATCTCCTTCTTCCCGCTTCTGCTCCTGCTCTGCTGGATTGAGCCGTGCGTCGGCGCCTCCGCTACCAAGACGTACATCGTCCGCTTCGCCAGATCCGAGATGCCGGCGGAGTTCGTCGAGCACCGCCACTGGTACGACGCCTCCCTCCAGGCGGTCTCCGACTCCGCCGCTGTGCTATACACATACGACACCGTCACCCACGGCTTCTCCGCCCGGCTGACCCCCGACGAGGCCGAGGCCCTGGGTAACCGCCCCGGCGTTGTGGCCGTGATACCGGAGACCCGGTACCAACTGCACACTACTCGCACCCCCGAGTTCCTGGGCCTCTCCAGCGACGCCGGGTTGCAACCGCAGTCGGACTCCGGCACCGACGTGGTCGTGGGCGTCCTCGACACCGGCGTCTGGCCGGAGATCCGGAGCTACGATGACAGTGGGTTCGGTCCGGTGCCGGAAACCTGGAAGGGAGGATGCGACGATTCCAAGAACTTCAAGGCGGCGGTGGCCTGCAACAAGAAACTGATCGGGGCGCGCTTCTTCTCCAAGGGGTACGAGGCCAGCATGGGGCCCATCGATGAGTCCAAAGAGTCCAAGTCCCCCCGCGACGACGACGGCCATGGCACGCATACTTCCACCACCGCCGCCGGATCCTTCGTCCCGGACGCCAGCCTCTTCGGATTTGCCTCCGGCACGGCTCGAGGCATGGCCGCCCGCGCCCGGATTGCCGTCTACAAGGTCTGTTGGGCCGGCGGGTGCTTCAGCTCCGACATCCTCGCCGCCATGGACAAGGCGGTGGAGGACGGCGTCAACGTCCTCTCCCTGTCGCTCGGGGGTGGCCAAGCCGACTACTACCGGGACGGCGTCGCTGTCGGCGCTTTCGCCGCCATGGAGAAGGGCATCTTGGTGTCGTGCTCGGCGGGCAATGCAGGCCCCGGTGACGCCACTCTCTCCAACGTGGCTCCTTGGATCACCACCGTGGGGGCCGGGACGATCGACCGCGACTTCCCGGCCTTTATCGCGCTCGGCAACGGCAAGAACTACTCTGGAGTGTCTCTGTATAGCGGGAACCTCCTTCCCAACGAGGCGCTCCCGCTCATCTACGCCGGGAACGCCACCAACGCCACCAACGGGAATCTCTGCCTCTCTGGCACCCTGATCCCGGAGAAGGTCGCCGGGAAGATCGTGCTGTGCGACCGCGGCGTGAGCCCCAGGGTGCAGAAGGGTTTCGTCGTGAAAGCCGCGGGAGGTCTGGGGATGGTCTTGTCGAACACCGCCATAAACGGAGAGGAGCTGGTGGCGGACGCCCACATCCTACCGGCGGCGGCGGTGGGAGAGAAGATGGGGAACGCCATCAGGTCGTACGCCTTGTCCGACCCGGCCCCGACGGCGACGATCGTGTTCGCCGGCACCAAGGTGGGGGTGCAGCCGTCCCCGGTGGTGGCGGCGTTCTCCTCGCGGGGGCCCAACGCCATCACCCCGGGGATCCTGAAGCCCGATCTTATCGCCCCCGGAGTGAACATCCTCGCCGGTTGGAGCGGCGGAGTAGGGCCTACCGGATTGGCGTCGGACAGCCGGCGGACGGAGTTTAACATCATCTCCGGCACCTCCATGTCGTGCCCACATGTGAGCGGGCTGGCGGCGCTGCTCAAGGGGGCCCACCCGGATTGGAGTCCCGCGGCCATAAAATCCGCCCTCATGACCACCGCCTACGACACCTACAAGGGCGGCGACCAGCTGCTCGACATTTCCACCGGGAAGCCGGCCACGCCCTTCGACGTCGGCGCCGGTCACGTGGATCCCGTCCGGGCGCTCGACCCGGGTCTCGTCTACGACCTCTCGGTGGAGGACTATCTCGGGTTCCTCTGCGCGCTCGGCTACACGCCGCTGCAGGTCGCCGCCATGAGCAACCGCAACTTCTCGTGCGATTCCGGGAAGAAGCACACCATCTCCGACTTCAACTACCCCTCCTTCTCGGTGCCGTTCCAGACGGCGATCTTCGGCGGCGGCGCGTCCGGCGTGACGACGGTGAAGCACACGAGGACCCTGACCAACGTGGGGACACCTGGGATCTACAAGGCCACAGTATCCACTAGCACCAACGATGTGAAGGTGTTGGTGGAGCCCTCCGAGCTGAGCTTCGAGCAGCAGGGAGAAAAGAAAACCTACACCGTGACCTTCTCCGCGCCATCGCAGCCGTCGGGCTCGTCGAGCTTCGGGAGGCTAGTGTGGTCAGACGGGAGGCACACGGTGTCGAGCCCCGTCGCCTTCACCTGGACTTGATGAGCGACGACGGAGTCCGCGTCGCCGGGGAGAAGCCACGTTTAGCCTTCCCAATCGAGCGCTTTAATTGTACGTTAGGGTGGTGGTGATGGGGATTGACGACGCTGGAAAGGACGGGCGGAATGGAGGTGGCGACGATGGTGAGCCGTCCGTGACTATGTTCGCCTTCCTCTCTCGAGTTAAGGTGTACGAAAGAAGGAAGGTGGACGATAGTGGTGTGGGCAAAAACCGATTACTATGCTTCACAGATAAAAGAAAGCCCGGGGTGGGGGAGAAGAAGCTGTGGCCCCTACCTCTGCTCTCTCTTTCTCATTCTCTGACTTAAATCAGTATGATTTTATGATTTAATAATGTCCTAATTCGGAAATAAGAAGGCTTGTTTATTTACACATCCGTAAATAATATTATACATATATGTATGAATTTGTTATCAAACGTTGTCGTGATTGGGCCAGAGCTGACCACACGGGTTCGGACCATAAGCGGACCCCACACACGGTATTCGACCCTCCCCAAGTACATCGATTCGTGAGCCACAGAAGACAAGAGACTGACTACTTTGACGACCGTTCATTAGGCTCATTTAATTTTCCATTCACGTATTTAATAATCATCGGACCGTATAATAATACTCTGGGAGACAAGAGAGAATCTAATTAATAATTTTCTGGGTAAACTAATAAATTTTTATTTGATGGTTTTGACAGACTGCTCCGTTTTATATCCTGGTAGCAAAATTAATCAATTCCTCACCTGACTACCGCTGATTGCGATATATTTTAAAAGAAATGTCTGCCGGGGAGATGTAGCCTTCTCCCCTAGACCCAATTAGAAAAATATCATATTGGGCCGGGCGCCGACAGCGGAAAAAGTCCATCGTTGAGCCCAATGGACTTCAAACACGCACGCAGAAAATTTCCGAAAGATTTAAGAGACTGAAAAACGGGTGGACGGATTTAATAAATAAAAAATCCAAAGAGTGCGAATATTATTAATGGGTAGACAAAAAATTGACCGTAAAGTTTTCAGTTTTAACTTTATACGGAGTACGGTCAACTATATTTGAATGATTGACTGAAACAATGCATTTTTGGACACCCGACAAACTACCGACCCTGCGGCGCCGCTGGAGAATCATTGCCGTCCGGGTTCGGTGTCTCCCCCGCGCACTCAATTCTCCACTTCAAGTCTGCAGCCCTGTCGAATCACGGAACCCGCTCGATCTCCGCCGCCGGACGATGCTCGACTCTGTGGGAACCAAGTGCGGACTGTCGGCGTCCTCTCGCCGGGAATGTTCCTCCCCTCCCAACCTTTCCTCACGCCGGCGAAACTCGTGGCCCTTCGCTCTCCGGCGATATCCGACCGAGATTTATGGCCCGCAGACACCTGATTCCGAGTTCTACGTGGTTATATGTACCAGACGAGGGGGCTTAGAGTCGCCGGCGAAGCAGAAACCTTCACCGGGGTTGAATGACGGCGGCGACGGCTAGGCTTGCGGCCCTCGCTGTGCGGTAATACCTACATCTGAAGGCTCGTCGGAGTGTTTTAGTTACTCGCTGCACTATCCCCCGTTTGTTGCAGGAACGGGAGGGCAGGAACAAACTACGCGAAAAGAGCCACCGTGGCCGCAGGCGAAGGGCGAGTGAGGGAGCCCGGCGGCGCCGCCGGGTCTTCGACCTGGGTTCCGCATCCAAGGACGGGAATCTACTATCCCAAGGGACAGGAGTGGGTGATGGAGGACGTCACCGGCGGCGGCGCCACTCTCCGTCAGACCTACTGGCTGCGCGACCTGGAAGGGGTTGACCGTCCCTTACAGTCGGACTGAGAAGACTTCTGGATGCCGCCGTGGACGTCTCTCTAACATTGGAAGCTACTAAGAGCTACTGCTCCGTCGGTAATTCCGGTCTGCTGTGTCTACGCGTCCAAAGTGTTTGATGGCCCTCGTTCGAACACTCTCCACTTTGACCCCGAGACGAGAGCCGCCGGCTTTGACTGACTCCAGGTCAGCGTTTACAGGGCCACGCGTGCCTCGTGCTGATCCCCTTGCGCGGGGGTCCAGTCAATAGAGCGATTTTTTTGGACCCCGCTGCCGACGGGTCGCAGGCCACAAATCGTTCCTCTCCCCTGCGCACCATTCATTAACTATTTGTCAACGCAATTAAGTACCGTTGACGACTCTGGATGCTGTCTGAAAACCCAAATTCGCCCTTCAAAAATAAATCCTTTCTGTCTCAACAAAAACGATTGCTCCATCAATTTGGCCACGTGTTTCTCAAGAATGTTTACTAATATTATATATTTTTTAATAAAGTTTGATTTTCTTTTGCCGTCATATCGATTTTAGACAACTCAAACTATTTATACAATGTGGGAAAGCCTGGCTTTTGCCACGCGCATCGGACTTACGATTGGGTTGACTTAATGTCTCGGTGTTCTTCATGATACGAAACTTTGCCGACAATTCCAACCCAGCTCATCATCTAGAAGCTGGCATTATCTCGCATTTATTTATTGGGAATCGCCGACTTTCATGTAATCACGGGGTCGGTAACTCTGTTAGGAGCTCGATTAGTTGACTTCGATGTTATCAGTGAAAGCAGCATCATAATTGGGTGATCAACGTGGAATCTGAGCATTTAAATTGGAGCGGGGCAGGGGAAATCTAGATTTGATCGATCGAGAAAGACAGACGCTTTTTCTCGCTCTCGTTCGCATTGGGGTATTCTCCGACGGAGACGAGGGGCCGTGCTACGAGGCAAGACGAGTCCCCACCTCTGTTCCGTAACCCCGCGTTTACACAGCCGCGGGCCCAGTTGACGAAGCTTCATCTCCGCCTGTCGTTCTCCCCTCTCTCTCTCTCTCTTCGTGCCGTGGTTTTATCGGCCCGTTCCCCAGCCGGGGTTGAAAATTGAAGTGCGTGTTCTTTGTCGTTCCCCTCGCTCGGCATCGAGGTGCTAGGGCTCTTCGGAAACAGGAAGCGGATAAACGACTTTCAGGATTGTTGATTGCAGTCTCCTCTAGGTAGCAGCAACGCCGGACGCAGTGATGACCTCGACGTCGACGTTCGACCGGTGGGAGAAGGATCCCTTCTTCGCCGTCGCGGAGGAAGTTCAGGAATCCGCCGACAGGTTTGGGGATTCCGTCTAATATCGTTTTGATGTTTTATCATCCGATGTGGTTTTTAGAGTTATTTGAGTTTTTTTGCCGTTCCCTTTGTAGGATGGAATCCATCTATAGGAGATGGATGCACGAGAAGAAAGGCCATCCAAAGCTCGAAGGAGAGGAAGAAGCCTCCGGGGAACCAGAGCTCCGTAGAGAGCTTCACGCGGCGCTGGGGACCGCAAAATGGCAGGTATTTTTTTTTCAGAAACCTTCGGCCATTTCTTCTCACAGAGGTTGCGGACAGGGGATCTGAAGTGCGAGGTTATCCTTTATCAGCTCGAAGAATTCGATCGAGCATCTCGGTCAAATGGTCCGGCAAATGAGACAGACGATGATTCCAGGAAACGGCACAGCCAATTCGTGGCGGCTATTGGGAATCAGATACTGGCCGTAGAGGGCGCCTTGAAAGATTTGGAAATTGAGGGCGGACGCACGCCACTGGTTTGGGTGCGTTTAGACGAGGGGGAGCGTGATGAGCTCGCCATGTTCCTCTCAGGTCCACAGTCCTCTATTGAACAGAAGATGCGGCTTGTAGCTCCATGTACAGCATTGAACGAGGGGAAAAAAATACCTCCCCTTGCCCCAGGCAGTGGAAATGGATGGAGTGAGACAAAGGGCATCAATAGAGAGGTCAGGATTGATCTCCCGAAGAGCTCCGTGGTCTCAAATGAACCGGGTGCGAAGGATGCCCGGGAGGAGAGGAAACACGGGCATCGCAGAGCAGCAAGTGTTGGTGCGGATTTGGGGACGTGGAAGAGTTCAATTTCAAATGAAGATTCCCCGCGGAGATCTTTGAATGAGCGGCCTGATATGCCACCTCCAAAAGTCCTAAGTTTCTCAGGACTGTCAATGGCTGCAGAGTCAACATGGAGGATTAAGTGGGTTAAGAATGGCTTCCGGAAATGGAAAGGCAGTGATCAACATCACACTTCAGATTCCATACCCCTGAAAACCAATCAGTACAGCCAGGTAGGTCGTCAACTTGTTATGCTCTATGTTCATTTTCATTGGTTATCACAAAAGGGTTGGCCGCAATTGATGACATCTAATGGTGAATTTTTGAATTGAAGGACCTCGACACATTCTGTGAAAAGGGTAAGAGCTGTCTCAGTGACTGTGGTGATGAATCATACGACAAGCAGATTTATGGATGCATTGGAACTTTCCAGAGACAGCTTCAGAGGTCACAATATCAGATTCAGTATGGCCGACCGATTCAAGTGATTTTCTGGGTGGCACTTGCCTTTCTTTTGATCAGTAAGTTTGAAATTTTTCGTGTTTTTGGAAATTCGTGGATCATGTGGTCAAGAATTAAACGTGGAGTTCTGTCAGTTTTCCAAACCTCTTTCCAAACCACGATTGCAGACATCTTTGGGTTGCCAAAATGTGAAATTACATGAACAAATGGATTATTTCCATCTTCAAGAATACTGCAATATTGTCCTGTCTAATTTGTGAGTTTTTAATTTATTTAAAAAAGAATACCACTTCCTAGTAGGGCGATTACTGTACCCCAGGGACATAGATCTCATGGAATTCTCCGTATTATAACTTTTTTTTTTTTTCTCTCTGAGGAGAGTTTGTCCGCTCACCGGTTGGAACTGATTTTCGTTAAAAATGTAAAAGGACATTTGATTTTCATTTGGACATGCCGACATTATAAGAATTCCACCACATTACATATTCCTTGGACAGATTCACGGGAAAGCTTGTGTCGGCCAGAGTGGCTGGTCTGGGGAAAAGTCCAACTTGGATTAAAATAGCCATGACTATGGTAGGATTTTAAAGTTTGATCTTAATTAATATCCTATGCTAATTGAAGTCCAACTAGCATTCCTACTCTATGGTTCCCACAAGGAACAGACCTACAAGAGATAATATCATTGGACTTGGCTGCATCGGTTGGTAGAGGGAAGTAGTGGTACTTGCTAGTTGGTAGCAGCTAGGGATGGCAGTTCTTTTCCTTTTTTTGTTCTTTCTTCCTCAGGCGTTTGCCCTTTCTTTCCACGACCTTCAGTCAGTAGGCTCCAAGTTGGCGCTTCTTTTTTTTACTAATCGAACCGCCATATTTGGTCTAGAACCAAACAATTTAATTGAGAGATTGGTTGATTTTTGCCTGTTTTGTGCTTCCCCTTTAGTTTGGATCAATTCTCCCAGTTTCGATTGAATTAGTCCATTCTCCAGTCATGTTTTTCTGTGATCTTAATTTTCAAGAGGAAGATTGTCTGTCCATTGCCTTGGATCTGCATCTAAATCAAGTGGAAGAGGTAACATAGGTCAGAGGGTTGTGGCCTATGGAGAAGGTGATATACGATGGAGACGATTGTTAAAAGTTATTGGACTAAGCATTATTACTCAAAACTACTTGGCAATGAATGATATACGTCCATCTTTATAAGCTCAGTTTTACTTTTTGGTAACAACCAATACAATATTATCCTCGATGAAAGCCAATTTTTAACCTTGGACAAGTAGATAACATCACTAGAGAGGATGAAGCTCTGGAGCACCTATGGGTTCGTGGACCATTTCATATTTAATGGGCTGTCCAACTCAAGAACCAAAGATAATGAGTGAAATATGATTATCTTATGGGACATTTTATTTTTAACCAATTTTGAAAATGTGTGCATCCACGTCATTCGGATGGATTTTTTGCTAATCATTTTGTCAGATTCCTTCCACGATTTATCGATTAATTGCTTTCTGCTTGATTATATGTGAAGATTCCGTTAGGAGGTAGTGAAGATAGTTATCCATCCGGATCTTACTGCAAAATTGGAGCATTTTTGCGATTATTCTTATTTTAGAAAATAGTTGGTGCGAGATTAAATCTGAAGAGTACTGTGATATTCCCTGTTCGTCAGTGTCTTATTTACATTTGCTGTCTCTTATGTTTCGGCATTGTTTATCTGTCTTCTTAAGATCTTGCTATTTCTGGCCATTGAATTGATCGAAACACCTTGGACTTTCCAATAACCCACGGCCATGTTTCTATCTACAGCGTCTCTAAATCAACTAAACCTACCCAATGAAAAGTATCCGAAAGGAAATTCTGTCTGCGCGGAATACTGATCACTTGCACATATTTCTCTTTTGCAGTCATATTCACACTTCGGGCAATCTGAAGGATTCGAGAACATTTTATTTATATATAACAGCGCTATCAGCGCCCGGAGAGCGTTTCTGTCCACTTTTGGTAGCTACTGCGACATAGCTGCCCTTATGAGCACCTTGGAGCATATCTGATGGCGGATTGCCCGATTCAAGACAGAGCCCTTATTCCTTATTCCAGGGATGGCCCTGGAGCAACCAACTGGACTTCAGCGGTCAGTTCATTGCACACTGCATTCGGCTACAGGTGTAAAGTATGGCTCTCTGCATCTCCAAATCCCTACTGGTTAAAGGTACAAGATTCCATGCATCGCCAACTGTGTTATCCCAGAGGATGATGGACCAATTAGCCGCGAGCCCTTCGCTGCATTGCTGGATTGAAGATACTTAGAAGCACCAGTTGTATATTTCATCAGCTTGTCTCACTCTTTGTACCCACTTGCGCTAGAAAGAAGATCTCGGGTCTCCATGTCCATGATCACCCTCTTCAGTTCTTTCAATTTTTATTGGTTAACAAATGGCCATGAACTGTGAGGTTCATTGCTGTCGCTCGAGTCCCAATTGATCATTAGAGTTTGCTGCATTGAATGGGGGATCTTGATGTAGAACTTGATCAAGGAGATATCTTGGTCCCGTTCTCATGTGATTTGCATATAATTGGATACATCCACACTAAGATCGAATCGGACATCTCCAACTTATTTGGTGGTGGGGGTTTCTTGTAATTCTGTATTTCGGGCCAACCAGTTTGTAGCATCAGTAATCCTGCCTGAAGATCCATAGGTGCACAAAGGATGGCTGAAGGAGAGATTTTAATGAAGATTGGGTGTGTAGTAAGGATTGTGGAAAACATCTGCTTATGAGACTAGCGGCAGTCTATGCGTGCACTATTATAATAGCTAGTGATAAAAAAATGGAATTTATCTTGGTAGGTCCCCTAACAGTGGAAATTTGTAAGGAGAGATAGACATCAATTCGTACAGAAACTGAATTCACTATAGTAACTCTTTCCTCCTTGACATCAAGATGGAGAACATGGAATTAAGGCACAAAGAATGACTAACTAGAGAGAAGGTTAGAGGTGGCTGGTCTTCCCTTAAGGCTTTCATCTTGTCTGAAAGATGAAATTCTGGAAAGTTATGTTAAATAACCTTTGTGGGTTCTCAAGTGGTGTTGAAGTATGGAAGGTTGAGCCATTTGTCAAGTACTTTGAGACCTTGAGACCATGTCTTGAAGTGAGCACCTCGGGTGGTTGGGCAGTCTAGTAGAGATCCTCTTGGGGACTCAATGGACTAGGCTACATTGGAGAGAAGGTTTCAATTGCCCATTTAAGTTAAGACATGTGGAACATGAGGGGGATGTCGATGGTGGTTGACAAATTTAGGCAGTAGATGGCTGGCCAAATACACTCTAGAATCTTATAAAGGTTGAAGAAATATAACCACAACTTCTCATAAGGTTAATGGCTAAGAGTTTTGATGTTAGGGAAGTAAAAACAAAAGGATAAGATTGCTGATGGCAAATTCAATATCATGCCGCTTCTTATCTGCAAAGCTCTTCATTTAGGCTTGAGTTTGAGCCAAGAGAGTTTGAGTTTTTCCAAGGAGAAATCTTGATCATGTAATGAATGACCCACTTTGTCATCTCATGTTGAATGATCATATCAAATGAGGGTTACAAGATCCAATTTGTAGAGATTTTTTGAAGAAAATAGTACCAATTGAGAAATTAAAATTAATGTCGAACCAATATTATGACTAATATAACTTCGTGTATCATTGTCAAAGGTGATTGTCATTAATATAACATGATAGTCTCAAGGTCATGGTTGACAATTTTTATTTGATTGTTTAACTATGAATGATAGTCAATTGTTTACCCTAGAAGGGTACCTTGTGATTAGAAAAGTTTGTTAAAAAATGTGCTCATAATAATATGAATGTGATCACTAAGGTTTGAAGCCAAAATATCATTTATAGGCAACTCAAGCCACTTGTTGTGAAGTGAATGAATGTTTAAGGGTAGACAAGTGTACATATTTGCTAAGTTTGTCGACCACGATAAATATTGAATTGAATCAATTTAATTTTGGTAGCCTTTCGATAAAATAATTTGAAATATCTTTCTAAATTTTGTTGAGAATGTGAAACTAGTTGATGATCTGGATTTGAATTAATTTTTTTGATACATTAGATAATCTGCAATATATCTTTTGATATAATTTTCTATCCCACTCTAATAAACATTTTGTGTGATATGTTTGTAAGGGCATAGGAATCTAAAGTTCCCCCCATAATAGAGTCAAAAATTATTGTAGAATTGATTATATGATTGCTGAGCTTTTGGAGTCTACAATTTGACCTCATTAGATTAAAATTCTCTAATGTATATAAAGGTTTATTATTAGATGATTTTCCAATTCATCTATGTTAACAACTAATTGCGTGTTCATCTAATTTACCACATAATCTACTCAAAATTGAGTAACTTAGATCAAGATAACTCCATGTTCTATAGAGAACAAGAATCAAGTTATCGAGATAAAACATCATATGCCTTGTTTTTAGTTCCCATTACATTCAATCTCAAATTTGAAGCTAATTCTTTTAGTAAATCATTTTTAGTAATATAGAAGAATTTGTCATCTTCAAAGTGATATTTACTCTATATTGATTAGTAAAAAATTTAAATTTCATGCTAAGTAGATAATGGTTCCATTTTAGTGTGGTAATGACATTTTCTATTAGCTCCAATTCATAAATTATTTTGTATTTACTATAAGATGCTATAACTTGGCTGAAAAGTCACTTATTTTGCATGAGCACTGTCCACACTCCTCTATTAAAAGTATTGACTTTGGGTTCGAAACCTTGAAGAAATTAAGAAAAAGTAATATTAACATTATTGTGAGAGAACTTATCAGTATTTGGAAGAAAGATTTTGCTTTTGAATTCTATTTTAATGCATTGCATTTGAAGAGTTGAGAAAACATCCATGTGATACATCTATGGCCTTTGATGAAATGCCAATAGTCTAAGGAAGTCACAAAATTCTTTCAAGTTGGTAAGAGAAGGTCGTTAGAGTACTATTTCTACTTTGTTCGTATTAATCACACCTTGTTAGTAGAAACCTAGTGACCCAAATATGTGATTTTTGACTACCCAAAGATATATATTTTTGGGTTAACAAATAAATGATTGAATAGGAGAACATGAAAGACTTGTGATAGATACTACTCCTATGTTATTAGATTAATACTATAAATTAAGTTGTCATAGAATAAGAGCAACATAAATTTACTTAGAATTTTGTTAAAAAATTAGTTAATAAGAGCTTAGAATGTGGGGTGTTTGATAACTTGAATGACATTATAAGAAACCCATGATATCTCTTATACATTTCAAAAGTGATTTGAGAAAAATTTCTCATATATTCAAATTTGATGATACCTCAAATGTAAATCTAGCTTGAAAGATATAATCACTATGTAACCCTTTAGTTCTTCTACAACTAGAATAGAATACCAATGCAATGGTCACCAATCGTCTTTCTTCATCATGAATATCACCTTATTGAAATAAGGGCTATTTGAGTATTGAACCACTTCAGCTTTAAGCATTTATCTTGTGAGTTTCTCAATTTCAGATTTTTGAAAATAGAAAATTAAATGATCTAATGTTGATGGCCAATGCATTATTATTCATTGGAATTTTATGTTTAGGTGAAAGGCCAATGACATCTTTAAAAACATGAATAAATTTTTCTTTGTAGTTATACTTTCAAGCTAGATAATCTGCTATGAAGTTCTTGATGATCCACTTGATAGAGTTTGATGAAAAAAAATTCATTCTTTGGAACATTGGGTAATCCTGATTTATAGCTCATTTACTATTTGAAGTTGAGTTTGATTTTCTTCATTATATGCATTTATTTTTGACTTAATATTGATATCAACTATGGATAACAATATAAATAATAGGTTTTCACAAACTATGAGAGTTTGAAGCTCATATGGTCCATTTGTAAATTTTAGAGTAGAGTACCTATTCATTGGTACTGATGATCACTTGGTAGTCATGTGTAAACTTCACCAGAAGCCCCAATGATTAGGTTATGCCTTGAGATAGAAACTTATGAGTTGCTCTAATATCAATTAACAAAGTGACTACTCAACAATATATTTTTCCTTGAAACTTAAGAGCACACTTTAAAGACTATTTAGTGATTGAATTGAGTAACAATTTGATCATTGCAAGATCTTCCTCAATAATTTGATTGTTGCTAGTATCATTTTATCCCTCATTAATAAAATCTTAATGGATGGCAAAAATCTATAATTTCCTATGACATCTATGTCTTAGAGAAAAGTTTCATTACAGGAGAAAAGATTTATCTTCTTACCGTAGATAATTGTTCTGTGTAGAATGAGTCATTTATGCTTAGAGTCTTGTTGCTACTATTTCTAGGTGGGGGATATAATAAATTTAGTTATTTACTCATGCAAAGACTATCCAAAGTAGAAGCATCTAAGAGTTTTAAATCTCAATGTTTGCTAGTGCTCTCAAGATGTCTAATTGTATTATTTTCACTTTCACGTTCTAAGAAACTCTCATTATAACCCTTAACCCAACTGGATCAAAGAATAATACCTTTGATTGAATGTCTCCTTGTAATCCTTTGAGAAATATATTATTGAACATATGTTTTAGAAGATCTACTGCTATGACAATCATTAATTTAAACTATTATTAGTATTCCGTTGCTGATTCTATGTGTATACATTTTAGAAATTTCTAAAAGAAGGATCTAGTTTGATTGAAACTAAAGTGGTCAAGTAATTTCGCATTAATTACTTCTAATTAAATATTTGCATCTCAAGGTTCCTCCATGATGCTTGCAGGAATAGGTTTAATCTCCAATATTGGCTTAGTTGTGAGTGTGTCAATCTTGACTAGATTGATCAGAATTTTGGTCTTGTGGGAGATCCCATTGTGATGATAGTGTGGGCTAACAACATAGGTCCTTAAATGTTTGAAGAAATAATTTTGAGATGTTGTATAATCACTGAAATCTCTACGTGGTTTTTCTTGTTGCTTGCGAGTAATGTAGCTGCGTTCTACTGAAAATCCTAGAGAAAATCGTCCATCTCCTTTTTGAATAATTCTATTTTTGTATTGCCTATATTGGGAGGCATCACTTTGACACAAGTTTGGTAGGGCCCTAAACAATGAAAATTTGTAATCAGAAGAAGACAATAATTTGTACTAAAATTGAATTTACTGCAATAACCATTCTCTCCTTGACGTCAAGAAGGAGAACATGAAATTGAGACATTGAGAATGATTAACTAGAGAGAAGGGAGAAATAAAGGAGGACAATTGAAGACACTAACATAATTGGCCAATTCTCAATGGCTGATCTCCCTACGCTACCACTCTCCCACTCACCCCCTCTCTCTTCCTGTGGATGTCACCCCCGTTTTTATAGGTCTTAATGGTAGCTTAATTCTTTTACTTCGATAGCTGTTAGTATTGTTGGCCCGTGATCATCTCCTTTTCCTTTGCGGTGGGTTTGGTAGAGCGAGTGGCTAATCATATTCCAATGAAATTATGCCTACGGATGGCCCGCTGAGGTAAGTTACATAAAACCTTCAGAGAATTTTTGTCCTTATTGAAAACTTTTTATCCAATTGAGAATTTATATTTTCTGATGGCCCATGAGAAAACAAATTGGCGGGGCATTTGATGCGATTTTTTGCATCATTCTCACTGCAAAAATGGACAAAAAACACAAGACCATGCACCTTCTATTAAAACCCATAATTCAAGAGGTTGACCAACGAGAGGTAGAAACTTTTAAGATTACCAATTTGGAACGAGTGGATTATTCAGTCCACCCCACTACTTGATAGATAAAGAGCATAATTCGTTGACCTAATTTATTGTGTCATCGATGAATAATGGGACAAAGAAGAAAAGCTTCAAGAGCAGAGACTTTGGAGTTAAAACTGGTCCAAGATTAGGCCCAACATGGCAGTCGTAACATTCTAGAAAAGTAAAATTAAAAAAATATATTTTAATATCCGGACTATACTCTTTATTGAATCTTCACCCTTAAGGGAGTATTTCCATCGAACCAGACGGTGGTATTTTTTTGTTCATGAAGTTCATCTGGGCTCTTGAGCTCTTAAAATCTTCACGTTCTAGCCTGCCCGGCCGAGTTGCATGGCCGTGTTTCCCAGTTTCCAGAGAGACGTCTTTGGAGTTCCACTTTCTTTTCACTAATCCTCTCCGGCGGGAAGGATCGTCTTCTCCGTGGTTCCGAACGCCAGCTCGGTCCCTGTCGGCGGCTCAATCTCCTGCTTCCCATCGACTAAAGAACATCCATGGGCCGCAGACCCCTCTTCGAAAGACAGGGGGGCTCCCGTAACCTTTACCACTTTGCTTCCAAAGCGGCGGACATGGTGCATCTTCCTTTTAAAAGGAGGCCGGTCGGCGTGGAGGGAAGAGGACGGATACCGGGAGATGTTGTCAGGGCTACACCACCCACCCGCTCTCCCTTTCCCGAAGTTGCTTTCTTCGTCCCCGCTGGCTGTCCTCCAAGTCTGAGCTCGTCGTCATCCGATCTACCCTCTGGCGGGCCAGTTTACCCTTGGCGGCGCTTTCTCCGGCGGCCGGCTCTGTATTATAGAGTACGGTGAGTCCGGCGACCTCGCGTGGAAAGGGAGACCCTTGTCGTCATACCAGGTTCTTGTTGGATTGGACTCGAATAAGAGCCCTTCTACAGCAAGGCTGCGTCACTACGGGAAGACGTTGCAGTGGAGCCTTACAAATGATTTCTTCCTTCGGACTTGCGGTGGACGCCGACGGCCAAGAACATCGCTCCCATTGACCCCCCCCACCCGGAGCTCGCCAGCGTCGCCGATGGCCGTTCCTCCTTTGAGATGGCTGCCTGGGGGAGGAAGGCATCCCCTACAATGCGTGCTTATCGGGCTGTACTGCAGGAGCTTTTGCTTCTTCGGGTGTCCTCCGACAACTCGAAAGGGCTCTTCCGTGAGCTCGCTTTACGCTCGCTCCGTTCTCCATGGACAGAGAAGCGAGTCGTCTGTCCAGGAGATAGGTGGCAAATCGTGGCCGGCTTCTGGCTAAACCTGTTCGGAAGCGGAGAATTTAGGGTTCTTCCCGTGAGGCTAGATGATGACAGCCCGGCGAACTCCGACCACCATCGGTCTCAGGGCTCTCGCTTTAATTATGATGTCCGATGCACGAACGAATGTTACAGGAGGGAAGAGAAGTCGGAGGAGGGGAAAAGGTCTGGGAGGGGGGCATGGTTTCAACAAGGACTGTCATGACTGTCGTGAGTGAGTACAGCCACAGCCGGGAACAAGAAAGTTACAAACGCAGGCGAAGAGGGGGGAGTGAAGAGGAAAAGGGAAACGGAATAGTGGAAGTCCCGTCCCTCCCAGATCACTCCGTCACCATCTTCGCTGCCGCCAGATACCGGGGAAACTATGCCGCCGGTGCTTTCGGTGCCGGCAGCTCCGTCAGCCACTCGAAGGTCCGGCTATAGCACATTACCTTCCGGGCGCAGTTCAAACTCGAACTTGTCGTCGGGCGGCGCCATCCTTCCCTCCTCGCCGTTCCGTCCATCATGACCCCCGACCAGCGGGGGATGACGGCGTCATCCGGCGAGCACCTGCAACGGAGACGGCTGCCGAAGGATCTCGACGACTGTCTCCTCGTCCCCGGGTTCTTCTCCTCAGGACAGCCCCCACCACCGCCGCGCGGTTTGCCCTCCTTGCCGCTGCCATTGCCCTGTTTAGGAGGCTTCTTTTCTAACGTGGGGCCATCGTGGTCGCCGGCTTTCCAGAGCTCCGCCACTGTGCGGCCGGCGCTGGCCTTTCGCAGCCTCAGGTCGTCGAGGTTGATCTCGGGGGTCCTCAGCAGGCCCAACCGGAGAAGTCCCCAGCCGGCGCCGGCCGCAGAGGAGCTCTTCCTGGCCGGGCCGGTAGCGCTCTTCCTCCGGGAGTAGACGTGGGGTTTCGGGCTGGGGAGGGCGCAGAAGTTGCCGGCGACGGGGAGCCGGGTCGTTACCTCGTTGGGAGAGGAGGAGCTGTGGGACGAGCGCGTTGACTGGCTCCTGCTGATGCTGCTGCTGCTCCGACCGCTGAGGCTCCTGCTGCTCTCAAAACCTAGGCTCCCTGCTGCGGAGGAGAGCCGCTCCATGGATTCCGATCTCGAGCCGCAGCGGCTTGCGGTGAAGACGCCGCCGTCTGAGCTCACGGACGGCCTCAGCGGAAGGATCTGGCCCTGGAAGAACACCTCGTCGGCTGCACACATGCAAGCCTCGGCTGCGTCGAGTTCGCCACTGAACGTGCGGAACTCGAAATCATCCGCTTCCGGAGCTTTGGTCAGCTCCGCCGCGTCGTCGCCTCCACAGCCGCCGGTGCGATCCTCCCCACAGTCAACGACAGGGAGATCGATTAGAGACAGCGCCTCCTCGTCCTCTTCGGAGGCGTCCCACGTCTCTTCCTCCCTTCGGGCGGCCGCCACCATCTCGTCGAAGACCAAGCCTCCGCCTCCTCCTCTTCCCAGAAAAGATGGGCAGCCGCGGAGAGGACGAAGACGCGGACGCGCCGCCGGCTCAGCAATTCGGTCTACGGGGAGAAGACATTCCCCTCTTAAATATTCCTCCCCTCTGCGTCCGGTGGTCAGGCCATTACTGGAACCTTTATAGACATTTGAACCCGCCATGGGGCCGCGTGTGCCGCCATGCCCGCCTGGAGAGCCTATCTTCTCGACCCCCCACAGGGACCGGCTTTTAAGGAGAACCTCTCCAACGGAGGATTAGAAGCAAAGAACACATCCCCGCCCTTTCAATGAGCTTCCCTTTCCGTAATGGCTGCGACGGCGTGGCAGGGAAAGTTCCCCGCCGGTCGACGCCGCGACGTTGAACACCAGAATTCGAATAGTGTTATTAAGTGAGATCACGGACCCCCCGGGGGACAGGGAGGGTGGCAGGCGATCCGGCGTCTCCTCTCCCGTGAGAGCCTCCCCCTTCTGACTCGCCTCCCTCCCCGCTTCTGTGGCACTGTTCTTCTCTACCCTCTTTAATGGATACATCTGTGGATGACCGCAACAACTTATAAACACACGGGAACAAACTCACAACGATCGATGATCGCGCATCGAAGACCTCGGCAGGCATGGTGCAAGATGGAGTATTGTAGATAACCCATTCACAGTCTCCGCTGCTGCTCCATTCGATCGAGGTGGATGTAGTCGACGACGGTCCTCCAGACAGCTTAAAGAGTCGGAGACGTCATCGTCGGTCCTCGTTTAATACCTCCTGCAAGTGGGGCCTCCCTCAACCATCCGACTCTCCTGTTCCTCCTAGCTAAGCCGCCATGAATTCAAAATTTTCAAACTCCCTTCGACGTTCGTCCAAGACTTCTTCCCCGTGCATTAACTAGATTTCCGACATACGCCGGCAAAACACTGAAATAGGTGTGTGCATATGATCACGGTCTTGATCTTATCTTCATAGCTTTGGGGTTACTTAACTCTTGACACTCGCTCCTACGTCCAAAGTTAACTAATATCAGTTCCGTTCTTCGGATAATTATTCTGGATAATTTCCAACTACGTCCCCCCTCGACGGATTAGACGGCACGGGCCGCAAGTCTCCTTTTTGTCCTCCTGTACGGTGGCCGTACTCCCGTGAAAGCGGATGCCATTCAGCGGCTAACTCCAAGCGCGTCGACAGCCATGGGAGAGGAGCATCGTGAGATGTCGAGAGAAGAGAAGCCAGAGTCGGCGGAGGAAAAGGTCGAAGATGCGGAGGTGGACGTCGCCGTCGTTGGCGTCGTCCGCCTCTGCATTATAAGAGACGTCCCCGGAAAGGCTTTGTCCTCCGCCACGAAGCAAAAAATAGTTCTGGCTCTATCTTAAAAAGTCGTAATATTTTGGAAGCATCTATCTTTAAATGTGACCTTATAAATTTAAAAATATATAAAGAAATTATGGGGAAAAGTTTCCGTGGACGCGGTATTTACTATACCTTATTTCGGAGGTAAATATTCTCATATATAATCTGTATACTAAAGTCGAATCCTTTCATTTTTCTTGCTCTATTACGTCCACAATGCTCTGCTCTTTCACGCAGTTAGTTGAATAGGGATCCAAACCCACACACAACGGAGGATGGAAAACACAGTCAACTCTCAGCCGCCGTCTTTGCATGGACTTGTCAAAGATAATTAAATATTTTCACGGTGAAATCTAATGTACTGGTGAGTTAGTTTACCAGTTCAAAGACCCTATTATTAGTTGTGGAAGTTCTCCCTTGGAGTAACTAGTACCGAGGAAAAGGTGGCATAGGAGGAGACGACAGGGGGGACGGACGGCGCCGTCGTGGACGATCATCGGCGAGACGGAGAAGATACTTGAACTCGACTTACAATTAGCCAAGGTCCGGAGGGAGGGAGGGAGGGAGGGAGGAAGGGGAAGGATGTTGCGCTATCAATCGGGAAGAAAATTCGAAAATGACGCCAAGTAATTTTCATGAGACGATCATCTGTATTCTCTAAATATTCGAAAATTGAACCTACAGCGCCGAAAGCAGCGATCTTTGGTGGGATTGCCGCAGCATAATTCGCCGCCGGGGCCGCGAAGGTTCGGTTCCTCGTTCATGTCTTTCTCGTCCACGGAAGCTTTGCTTCTTCCCGGGCGGTATAAGACTGGTGGCTCGCCAGAGAAAGGGACTACGTCGGCGCAGGTGCGTCCCCCCTGGCCAACCCCACTCACATCCTCGCTTCGTTGGCCGAGAGGAGAGAGAGTATGACGTAGGGGAGGGAGGAGGAGGGCGGATCGCGATGTCTCCACCATCCTCGCGAGATCCAACTGGTGAGGGAGAAAATTCAGGCGGGTGCCGGCTGGGGCAGGTTGCTCCTCACAGTCGTTAACATCGAAGTCCAATATTTCTTTTCTTCTCGGAGAGACCGGCGGATCTTCCCTCCAGGGGCAAAGCCCATCGACTACTGCCTACGGTGGGCAACTCCCCACGTCATCCCCCCCATCTGGGTTTCCCCCATCGCTGAGGTCCACCGTCCGTGCAGCGTATGGAACTCGGAGAATAAAATATTGGGGGTGGTGATCTATCGGTAGGCGGTCGGGAAAGGGAAGCCGAGGCGGAGCGGAGGTGGGGGGGCTGCCGGAAGAAGGCAAATGGGGATGGGGATTCTTCAGGAAGCTCACAACGTGAGGGTGCTGGGGAGCGGCAACCCGACGGTGGTGTTGGCACACGGATTCGGAACAGACCAGTCGGTGTGGAAGCACCTGGTGCCGCACCTGGTAGGGGATCACCGGGTAGTTCTCTATGACAACATGGGGGCCGGGCCGACCAACCCAGACTACTTCGACTTCGAACGTTACGCCACCATCGAGGGCTACGCCTACGACCTGCTCGCCATCCTCGAGGAGCTCCGGATCACCTCCTGCATCTTCGTCGGCCACTCCGTCTCCGCCATCATCGGTCTCCTCGCCTCCATCTCCCGCCCGGATCTCTTCTCCAAGATCGTCACGGTCTCCGCATCCCCTAGGTATGATTCCTGTCTTCGCCCGCAAACCATGGTATCTGAATACAGCAATCCGCCCGTTTCCTCTAATTTCTCCGGATAATTTAATCATCTCACGAAGAAAGTTCGAGCTCTTCTGCCTTCGCCCCGATCTTAACTCAATACAATTACTCCGAGTCCCCGGGGATCTGGAAGAGACTTCTCCTAGCCTGTTTTTTCCCCCTTGTTGTTTGTCGATCTGCTTGCTATTTTTTATTATCATTATTTTTTTAGAAGGCTTTTTGATGACCGAGCAGTCTTATCATGTAGAATGCAAAATTTTCCGATTCCTGTCATTCAATCATATCATCTTTAACTTTGCTAAGCCCCCCAGTCAGGATTTAGTTGATGGAATAGAAACCATCGCTAACTTTTTCGTCTTTGCCAACTCAAGTCGAGATTCTCCAGCCGAGGCACGGCCCCTTCTTCGGCATCGATCATACCTAATTTTATCAAGTTTCCGAAGAATAAACAGATTTCAGAACTAAAAGTTGTGTATAACGCATATTTTTTTGCGCGGATCATCTTCAACCCAGATGACCCAAGGATTTTAAGTCCGAACGGTGAGGGTAGGCGATCGATCGTTGACTTTGGTCCGCACTGGCCGAAATCCCCGTTCACCACCATCGTACCGCGTATTTTGACATTATGACGATCAAATATCCCCATTCCTCACATCGGAGAGAACGGGCGTTGCGCAGGTACCTGAACGACGTAGATTACTTCGGGGGGTTCGAGCAGGGGGAGCTGAACCAGCTCTTCGAGGCCATGAAATCCAACTACAAGGCGTGGGTGTCGGGGTTCGCCCCCTTGGCCGTCGGCGACGACTTGAACTCGGTGGCGGTTCAGGAGTTCAGCCGGACGCTGTTCAACATCCGGCCAGATATCGCGCTGAACGTGGCCCAGACGATCTTCATGTGCGATCTGAGGCAGTACCTGGGGATGGTCACCGTACCCTGCCACATCCTTCAGAGCTCGAAGGACCTGGCCGTGCCCGTCGTCGTCTCCGAGTACCTCCACCGTCACCTCCGCTGCATGTCCATCGTCGAGGTCATGAGCTCGGAGGGCCACCTACCGCAGCTGAGCTCCCCCGATATCGTCATCCCTGTTCTTCTCAAACACATAAAGTACGACATCGCTCTATGACTCCCGCCGGCCCGATGCCTGCCGAGTCGCCGGCGACAGAGTTTCTCAATCTCCCTGCACACTGCTCCGCCAGCCGATCCGCCGGCGCCGGCACCGGTGCCATGCAGCTGATCTCATGGGCCATGGTGTAAACCTCTGTGGCGTCCTCCCCAGTCGGCGTTCGGCTGCTAAACTATTATCCGCGGGAGAAGAGGGATGAATAATTACACTTGCTCAACTTTGAGGTAGATCTTAGTGAAAATCACCTCCGCTGAACAGCCTATGTCGATGGATATCAGAGCCCGCAATTATCTTGAGATTGAATTTTAATGAAAAAACTTTGGGTGTCGCTGGATTTTGTCCAATTATGACAGCCAAGGCCTCTTAATCTCTCACCTTATCATGCCTATATATCTCTGCAGATAGAGCAAGGTAGAGTTTTCAAGTTTAAATGGGTCCTGTCCAGATCTTGGTGAAAAGTATGGACCATGTGGACCGTTCGCTTGCCCCCCGAAGAGCAGCTGCTGGTCATAGTATTGCTACAGCATTCGAACCTTCAATAATGAACGTCGACATGTTTGACCTTTGACGAATCTCGCGTGAGTTCCAGAACTCCGACAAGTAATGGCCTTCCGCCAAACTAACTGAGAGCGGCCCGCCCCGTCTCGGAATTGAAGGCGCAGAGCTCAGATCGTACAAGCCGGCATCCATTCGGCGGCGTTCACACGAGGGCTCGAGTCAACGTAGGGTTGGAGCGGATGACGCTCAGAAATCTTTCCCCATCATCTCCCTCGTGGGAATTTCCACCACTCCGATTCCCTCAGCTCCGCCGCCGTCCGGAGGATGCCCCGCTTAGACGGCTCTTGGCTATGTCGCTCACCGCGAAACGGCGAGCGGGACCAGCTGGAAAACGAAAGGAGCAGCTCGTTAATGAGACTAGAATGGGCGACGGCCGCATGGCACTTTCATGTAAACTAAGACATCTTCCTCCGGTCGGAAGGTCACGCGTCGAGGCCGCGTTCCGGCGGGCTGTCGGCCACGAGACAAGTGCGGCGGCATAAAACTGCTGCCTTCCCAATCTTCGCCGTCGGCACGGAGGGCTGTTGATCTTAGAAAGAAAACCAGGGAAGGATAATGACCTATCGTTGAAGACGACCGAGTCGTCTACGCTTCAGAACAGGCGCCGCTGACAATAGAAAGAGCCAATCATCTCCTCTTCGCCCCCATGTCTCTCCTTCCTGTTGCCGACGTGTCAACGCTCAGGACCAGGTAGGTGGCCGTAGCCAACCCCGAAGACCCGCTGCAGAACTTCACCCCTCCTCCGCGCACGTGCGCTTCCCACCGGCCCGGAGCGTGGGGCCCTGGGAACAGAATTTCATTGATAAAATAGGGGCTAAAGAGCTGTTCTCCTTTGTATTGGCGACTCATGCCATAATAACAATACTCGATTTTCTTTTTTAATAGGACGAATGATATTATAAAAAAAAACCGATTTTGTAAAAAAAAAGATGTCCGATGGTTCCCGGTGTTGCCCATTTTTGAGAGTATCTGAAAGATAAAATCAGGGGCAACTCAAGTCATCTACTTCGAGTTCTCGTCGTTAGTTATCTTCCTCTTTAAGCTCAATGCCCAGAGAAAAATCCGGAATTCGCAGTGTGCTTGACTTAAAATATTGCGGTGACGTTGACAATAATCTTGGTAAATGCTAATACCTGTTTTTTATAATTTATCGTGAAATTATACATCTCATTTTATTATATTTTAATATAATTTGCAACACTCCCCGCCGGTGCCAAGGTACCGTCGCCACGTTTTCCTCTTCCCGGCGCCCATCGGGCCTACGGCAGAACTTGGTCCCCGCTCACGTCATCATCGAGGGGCTCGGGCGCTCTCCGATGACGAGACTCGGCGACCGTCCCGCCATCGATTGCCGATCCATTTAATAACGCCTCCCAACCGAGGCGCCACTTGCATGCCGATGACCACGTCATTAGACGAGAGAGAGAGGGGGAGAGAGAGAGAGATAAGAGAGAGAGGGGGGGGGGGGACGGGAGAGAGAGACATAAGAGAGAGAGGGGGGAGAGAGAGAGCTATCGCCTAGTGAGGGCCGTCCGATCTGGCGCGGGGGGGTGCGCATCCGTAGTGAAGAACCTGGAGGTTGGACCTTGGGAGAAGATAAAAGGATTAAAAACGGTAGGAAACTACAGAGAAAACGGTGAAAGGAGCGTCACCGTAACAGAGCGTTTTCACTGCCGCGGATCTCCCCTCCTCCATTCCTCTCGATCTGGGTGGGACTCGGTGGCGGATCGAGCATGTGCTCTCCGTTCGTTCGGGCCTTTATGCGTTAGCTTGCGGGGGTTCTTCCCCTTGCTGCCCGCGGTGCGGCGGTAGAGTGGTCAGGAAAGGGAGGAGGGAAAAGGGTGTGGCGGATTTCATGGCCTCCGGGAATGAGAGGCGGGAGCTGGCGAAGCTCTGCAGCGCCAAGGACTGGTCCAAGGCCATTCGTATCCTGGACAACATCCTGGCCGAGTCCTGCTCCATCCAAGATATCTGGTAATCACGCGTCGCCCGGTCCGCGTCTCTCTCGGTTTCAATTTACGTCGTAATTTGTCATGGAAGATCTGGATAGTTACCAATTTTCCTACGGTCGTTTCTCGGTTGGCAAAGTTCATTGAATCGTTCCTTTTTTTCTCTGTTGGATTCCGCAGCAATAGAGCCTTCTGCTATAGCCAGCTGGAGTTACACAAACACGTGGTAAAGGACTGTGACAAGGCGCTGCAGATCGATTCCAACCTTCTCCAGGCTTACATTCTGAAAGGTAGCATCATAATTGTTATCTCCGATTGGTGAAATGGCCGCCTATTTTCTTCAGAAACCCGTCCCCATTCTGTTGAATGTAAGACGTGTTCCAGTTGTTCTGCAACCGATTATTGTAAATGGAGAACCTAGAGGGTAAGACATCGGAAGTCTCCCGACTTGCAACGATGAACTCCGAGGGGAGGTGCTTTTCCCTCACGTACAGCATAGTGAACATATCTTGACAGCATTTGGACATGACCTCCATTTCTTGCTACCTCGATGAAGGATTTCTGGGCCATCTGATGACCTATGTGCTACAAGTTTATCATCTATTCATTGTCACCTGATCACTTGGACCAGTGTTGACCTTGTACATGTCTTTTGGAGCAGATTAGAATATGGAACATTTTCTCACTCTGTTGACTAGATATTCTGAGAGAAAAGTATGATGAGATATTTTAGTATGCCAGGCTCCGAAAAACGATGGCTGTATCTATCAATTTGGTTTTTGTTTTTGGACGAGTTTAGAGAATTAAAAATAGCTCTCGAAATTGTGTTCATCTGCCGCTCCAATATCCTAGCAGCTTAGAACCTTTGAATTTGGAGTTCTTGGCTTCTCAATGCAAGTTGTTTAATAAGATTATTTACGCGGATGTATTCGATACGTTTTATTCTCCTGCAGTAACTGTCTTAGATCGAGTCCCAGATATTACTAGCGGCTTCAAACATTCAGAGTTATATAATTATATGATAGGCCTCTCTGCTTGATCCCACAAGTCTATAGTTGTATTGAGAAACAACTGTGAATAAACTCTTTACTGCTGTTTGCTTCATAATCCAAATCTGGACATCTTCATAGTCTCCTCTTTCTATTATTATTAACATCATTGTAGGCTGGTAAAGTATCTGAGTCACTGACAAAACTCTCTGTTCTATGTGACTAATCCAGTAGTTAGTTCAGAAAAATGGGATGACGATGCAAACCCAGTCAAGAATCATGTTAGACGTGCAGACTTAATAGCATTTATCATAATTTCCTAGTTTTAAATTTCTTGCAGCTACTTGGGTTTCATTCGTGCAATGATTGCCTCAAATTTGTTCATTGAGACTGATATTTTGCTATTATCCGATTAGCGTATGAATCGTTTAGATTTATAACTATCATTTGCAGGTCATGCACTGTCAGCTTTAGGAAGAAAAGAGGAAGGCCTTCTTGTTTGGGAGCAAGGCTATGAAAAAGCTGCCAACCAGTCTGCCGATTTGAAGCAGTTTCTGGAGCTGGAAGAGCTCGTTGCTTCTGGAAAGCAGAATAAGGCTATGATTTGCGACCAGCATGTTGTGGACTCCCTTCCATCTGCTTCCGATTTGGTTAGCACTGTGGATTCTAATTCAGCCTCATCTTCTTCAGATACTATTCCACTAGAAACCTCAAGCACAATATCATCTTCCTCTGATGTCATCCCTCTGGACTCTAGTACCATCACTTCTTTATCAAATGGTAGTCCTGTGAGCAACAAAAAATCGAATGAGACAAATGAGACCAACTGGAAACCAGGTAGTCTGTCTGAAATGTGCAACGTCCTGAATGATTCAGTCAAATTCAGTAGGAAGGTCTCTTTTAATGATCTTCCAAAGAGCAAGTCAATAAGCGTGGATTTCCGGCTATCTCGAGGAATATCACGGGTACAGAGCCTCACATCTTTCTGTTGTTTTCTATTAACTTTTAATCAAATTTGAGGTTTCAACTTTAACCGTTTTTATGTTTAGGTACTTTGAATGTGGTTGAACCTTGGTTCTGTGGCTTTATGTGATGCAGTTTCTTCATTCAATTCAATTTGTTGATTATGTGTCGAATCTATCACTTTTTGACCAAGGACTTGTTATGGGCTTTTTTTGGAAAACTAGCTTCGTCAGAAACTAGGGCATATGGGTGTAGGATGAAAGAATTCAGATTGACAATTGAGAGAAATAATTGGAGATCATTCGAGGTTGTGGATTTTGATCTGTTGATATTCCAGTTGAAAGACTTCCATGGCATATTTCATGGCAATATTTTGTGTGATGCACAATCTTGTCTTTTTTATAAACGTGTCCATCTATATCCAATCTTGTCAAATTAGTGGAGCCTCAGGGGGATACCCATACAATGGTAGGCACATTTTTTTATTGAGAAGCAATAAGCATCAGGCGAACTTAACGACTGGATAATTCTTTCACTGGTAAGAGGACAGGTTCACTACACTCAATAAGAATTTGGTGTTTAGCTGTCTATCAGGGTGTCAAATATTCTAGAGTGTACTTTTTTGACAGCATTTGATTCCGAGAGGAATTTGCTTAGTATAATATCGCCTCTACCGGAAAGCATCCCAGTGTGGTATTTACATTGTCATTTGCATTGAATACTTGTCTGAAAAGTGTACTATTGATTGGGCAATTCAGGAGACACTTGGTTTATTTAGACTTGAAAATGACGAAGTGGAAACTTTTGAAGTGAGGACGTTCTGGTTAAGATGAATTGGGTTATAATTGCGATTTTCATTTTCGGAACCTGCAATAGGAAAAAGTCCTTGAGTCTGAAGCTCTGGATAACTGCCATCTGTTGCAAGCTTACTCAGTTTAAATGTTGAAAAAAAAAGAAAAGAAGAGTATGCTTTAAAGACAAAGGACATATGTACGAATGCTTATTAAAAAGAGCTGAGAATGGTTTTGAATGTAATCTATGGCAGAGGCAGAAAACTTGTGATCGATAGCTGTACTTACAGCAGCGAACAATGGAAGTAGAGAAGATGATAGGGACGAAGAAAATAAGAAAGATGAAGAGCACGTGGCATACGATAGATATGAAGGCTACAGTAGCCAGTGAATTCTGTAATCGACGAAGACTGAGCCAATATCTAGTGTGATAGCAGTGGCAGCTAGGCCATTCTTCGTCATTTCTTCTTATATTCCATAAGAAGAAGAATAATATGTTTCACAGGAAGAATAATGTGCCTTCATAGTCGTTCACTAATGTTAGAAAATACATAGAGCTTTCTTAACTCGACACTTGACTGCCTTATTTTGGAAATTTGAACTTTAATTCTTTTATGATACAGAGATACCGTGCTTAACTTGCATACATTAGCAAATAACGTTTCCCAGGTAGCTTCTTTTTTATTTGTTTTCAATTATTTTGCAGGTAAATGAGGGGAAGTATGACAGTGCTGTATCCATATTCAATGAGGTTGTATCTATTTTTTTGCTTATTGGAAGGTCAATGCTGTGAATTTTCTCTGACTTTCTGACATTATCATCATGCTTCCACAGATATTGAGGGATGATCCTGAGTCTCCTGAAGCATTGATCGGAAGGGGTACGGCATATGCATTCCAAAGAAAACTCGATGTGGCTATTTCTGATTTTACAAAGGTAAAATAAGCTTTGTCCGTCTCATGCAAGACATTCCTGAATTCTATATTTTTTTTATGTGGTTAAAACGGTTTTTCCACTTCAGGCAATAGAAGCGAACCCACTAGCTGGAGAGGCATGGAAACGGCGAGGCCAAGCACGTGCTGCTTTGGGGGAACATATGGAGGTTTATCTTATTCATTTATTTATTTATTTGTGAAAAAATACGTTCAGTATTTATTTTTGATAGTGATATTTTATGGTTAAGGGGAGCATTGTGTTGCCAAAGAAGATGAAAACTAGATAACTGCCAGGAGAAAAGATAATTGAGATGTCCTGCTAGAAATGAAGATTTTTTTCTGAACTTTTGGTTGCTAATAGTCGATTTTTTGAAACTTTTGGCGATCTCTCTTTAACTGTTCTGTAATTTCGGTCTCCAAAGCCAAACATGCGTCTGTTTGCTAGATTTTTTTAATTATGTTAAGTCCCCATTTACTAAATCTCAGTTAATGCTTCATGCCGTTTGAGGAGGTAAGATTATTACATTCAGAATTAGAATCGGACTCTTGCTTCTTCTTTTTTGTTATCACAGGAATTTTTTTGGAAAGTATTGTCAATAAAACATGTCTATTGTCTGTAATTCATATATATATATTTACATATAATTTTTAATTTATGAATATTTATTATTTTATCTCATTTTATGCTTGTCATTATGACATGATCACAGCGTCCCCATTATATTCAATAAAATAATAACATGGTAGATATCTAGAGAATAAATAGAAATACCATTCTTTCCGGATACTGGTTAGAAATTACGCTTATGTTTTTCAAAGAAATTGTGCAGGAAACTGGGTAGTTTTTAAAATCTTGGACTAGACCCCATTCCACTGTCGTACATTCCTTGTTAGATTGACCTGGTGTAGTCCTACGCATTTTGTTGATATATTCACCTTGTCTATTTTACAGAAATTATCAATACTGTCTCATATCTGTTGTCCTTTCGTCAGGCGATTCAGGATTTGACAAAAGCATTGGAGTTTGAGCCAAATTCATCAGATATCTTACATGAAAGGGGTAAGTTCAGGACACTTACTTTTTCCCATTGTCTTTTCTTAGACTTTATATTCTAGCTTTCATATCCGATTTCTTCGTTCATATTTCACATAATCTCAATTCTTCATGAAACTAGATATTGGTGAAATACAGTCCTGTTGGTCGGAGTTAGGTTAGGTACCGTATTGGGATGTCATAAAATGTGGAACAGCATTCATGACGACAAAACGATCGACAATGGGATTACTTTGGCGATATATAGCTTCTTAGAGTATTGTTGTATAGTAAGAAAAATCCCTTTCTGAAAGAAAGAAAAATCTCATCTTATTTTTTTTGATTTCCTTACACAAACTTGCGTATGTCTAAGACCGAATCCTTTTGATTTCTAAAAAGGATTACTAATCCTTAACTTTTCTAGGAATCCTCTATCAGTGGTTGTGGATGAATGACTTAAGGGCTAATTATACACGCCTGTTTATCCGTCTATTTCTTTTTTTTTCTACTTGAAGAATTTGTGTTAATATTTTCTAAAGAAATCTGTCGTTCTGTATAAATATAAAGTCTTGGGTAGTATATCCTTGGCCTTCACATTATTATGACGTTTTCCAGATGATTAGTGGATGTGTACATCACTTCAAGAGAAGGATTTGTTCCTTGCTAGTGAGTATCCGTTTGTAACATCATTTTTCTCTTAGGAAAGTCATTACACTCTATGTTAAGAGAGCAGACGAGATAGTCTATTGAGTGTGCATGGAAGTTAGTTGCTCCATGATCACTTAACGGTGAAATGGTGGCTCATGCTATATTGTCGGGTACTTGGAGGGGAATGGATGATTCGACATTCGGTAGTGTCTGCGATTTGCATCTAGAAGCTGGCAGTTCGATTTATATACCCTTGACTTAAGGTCTGTGGTGGGTATGCTGGAATTATTGGAGTGGTTTGGCTAATGGCTATGTAGGTGTTGGCCTATTTTGGTGCGTTTAGTTTGACTTCTTTTCGGATGTATACCTTGACCAAATTATATTCCATCAATTGATACTCGCTAGTACATTTTTAAGTGAATGCATTAAGTTTAACTATTCAGCTAATTGTCGGCTACACAACTTCCTCCCATTCGTTGTATTGATACCTAGAAAGATGGCGGTTTGGAAGCAGGGGGTGTAGTCTTCTAGAAAGCATGAAAACCTCCTAGGTAGTGATGCAGAAGCTTCTAACTAGTGCTTATAGCACGAAAACTGAAAGTTAAATAAAACAAAGTGAGGGAATAGTCTAGTTTTATAGGTGGGTAAGAGGTTTCTGAGGGTAGTGGATACTTTTGCAAGGTATTGATGAACGGGGTAAAAGTTAGAAAGAGATAAAAGAAGAGATTAAGGGGAGATCATTAAGAAACCAAAGGTCTAAACCTTGCATCCACTCTTCCCATACCTATTTTTGAATCTCACCTTGTGCTCATGTCCACCACTCTAATTGTTAATTTCATATTAGGGATGGCATACTTGGTGAGGAAATCAAAACGGTTGTGACGGGAATTATGAATACCCAACGATGATAATCATCTGATTATGCATTACAGAAAGTAAAGGAAAATTTCACTATACTTTTTTGTCTGTTAATAAACTGGATGCCAGTTACTTTCAAGAAAACTCTACTAATTATTGATGCCTCACAAATAAACTTTCAGGGATTGTCAGTTTTAAATTCAAGGATTACAATGCTGCAATAGAGGATCTCTCATCATGTGTGTTGCATGATAAGTGCAATAAATCTGCTTACACTTACTTGGTAAGTCAATCCGGGATTTTCTTGTCCCCTTAGTTGTTGATTGGGACCTGAACTACAATTTTTGATGAAAGAAGTTGTTAAAAAAATACCCTTTGCATTTTGTTGCAGGGTTTGGCGTTATCAGCACTAGGTAAGTATAGTAGAGCAGAAGAAGCATACCTTAAAGCTATACATATTGACGAAACTTTCCTTGAGGGATGGGCTCACCTAGCACAGGTATTACAATAAAATCATTGACTTTCTAAATATGCACCTTCTAATTATGTTTCTTCTCATGGATATTCTTCACCTGTCATTGCAAATGATGGAAAGCTTGCTTTCCTATTTTATTTTATTCTCTCTTTTTTCTTTTAGAACGAAATTAAATGGTGTGAAAATTCCCAGTTAATATTGATAGGTCTAGCAGTTGTTGTGGAATTTCTACTTCATCATTTTAGCGTATTTTTCTATAACAGTTTCCTGCAATTTATTTTTCACACGACATGACAAAATTAGAAACCCATGAAGTCGGACTCTTTACAATTATGTAATACCTTTCTGTCTCTTCTTAGTCTTGACGTACTTTTTAAATACATAAAAAAAAATCCGAAATCAATGCACTTGCTTGTTCAAAACTTGCCGCCATTATTTGGAAATCGCTATTTTCTTTCCCGTTGATGGTAGTTTGTTGTGTACCAAGGAACAAGGAGAAAAAGCCTGGTCTTTTCCTTCCGAAGGTTCGATTTCCTAATATTGATCACAAAAATATCTGTATGCTTCTTGCTCGTTTAGCCTGGTTCACCATCCAATGCCTAAATAAACTATCATTTTGTTCAAATTTAGGAAAATAACATATATTTTGGTCAAATTCAAGGAAAATGAAATGTCATTCGGTCAATTCCGCACACACTTGACATTTAGAGGAAGGATTTACTGTCAATTAGCACCAGAAAAGTTAGAACACATCAGCAGAGTTAATGGAGCATGCAAGTTATCGAGTGAGGAAATTTAATGTCCTTAAAGAGAAAACACACTTGCCTGAGATAAGTGATGTAACCTGCTTTTCTGGGTTCTAATCAACACCCATAAACTAAGAAAACATCCCACATTCCTGTCATATAAATGCTTTTACAGGAAGAAATGAATTCACATCTTGGAGTATCTTTTTTAGATAGAATGTCTTCCAAACTTGCTACAATAAGTTTTCATTGGCTCCGTACATGCTCTTATTTGTTCTTACTCTTCCCTTTATAACCCTCAGAAAATAATTTCCATGTCTGATGTAGGTTGGTGTTAATTGCTTAAAAACGTAACATGCGAGATATGGGATTTGGTGAACGATGCTGAAGCATCTACCCTTTCATCCTTTTCATGAAACTGCATTCTTGTTTAAATTTCGCTTTGAAGCCCAACAATCAGTTTTAGATATTATATCTCATCTTTTAACAGTAATATAGAAGTGAACGTAAGTTTCAAGAGCATGTTCTAAACTGCATAGTGCTTGTTTAATTCATGTTAATCCATATCTCTAATTGCTTTCGTATTCATTAAGAAAGTTTGCTCTGCATGATAGAACCTGTGTACTGAGAACATTTGATGCCTGGTGATTGGGTGGCCGTACATGGCAGTGATTTTTTTTATTTAATTTTCTCTTAATATGTGTTCCAAATATTTCTGTCTTTGCTATGATTGTCGCTATATTTCTCATGTTTTAAGGATTCTTCTACCCATTTGTTGAATTTTTATTCAGTAGCAAAATAACATTTGGATAAATGATTCGTCCATGAATTCTCTATGGACTTCCTGGGAATATGACTGAAGTTTAACCAACATGTGCTGTAGTTTTACCAAGATTTAGCAAATTCAGATAAGGCATTGCAGTGCCTTAAGCAAGCCCTGCATTTTAACGGAAGGTATTTATATGGGGGATCTTTGTTCTCAAGATCTATTCTGCAACGATGATTGGTTGACTCATATTCTTTTGTTGTTTTTCATATGCCATAATCTTTAGGTTTGCCAAGGCGTATCATCTCCGCGGATTACTCCTCCATGGAATGGGCCAACATAGGTAACATATTTTCTATCCATCGAGCTAGTCATAACTATTTTTTCTTTGATGGACAAAGATATGGCGAATTACATATGTAAAAATTGAAGCGACTCCTTTTCTGTTGCCTCTGTTAGACTTTATCCCATCTTTTGGACTGTTGTGCCTGATTGCTGACGTAACAGAAATTTGAAGAATTGATAACCTGATCACGTTTCAGCTGTGGTTGTATATTCTGAAAGCAAAATCATGACCTTGAATCTGAAAGGAACGTGTCTTGGTTGAAAACTCCTTTCCCTGAATCCACAGAATGAAGCGATTTCGCCTCTTGAGTCCACAAGATCAAAAATGGCTCCCTGAGTCCACAGGGATATTGGAATCCACCAGTAGAAGGGGAGAACCTCCAAAAAGGAAGGGAGCTCGAAAAAATTGATTCATAAAAACGTGCCTCCTTGGGGCTACAAGGGGGGACCTATTTATAGGCTGAAAATTCGTTATAACTAACCTATAAAGGGGGGAATCGGTTAAGATCTTAGAAAATAGGGAGAAGAAAACAAAATACGCCTTCCTATGAAAACGGAGGATTCTGTTAGAAGGCCCCTAAGAAATAGGAACGCTCTAAACAGAATAAGGGAAATTTTACATGAATAAAATGTGCAAATTGTAGGATTTAGGTTCACTAAACATGTGACCAAATCTCTTAGTGGACCATTTGAAGCTGAATTTGGGCAGAAGATAGTCTTCACGTCTCTTGAGTCTCTGATTCATCTGAGATGGTCTAAAACTTCATTGCACTTGATTCTATTGTATTTTTAGCCTTTTCGATGCAGATCTTATTACTTTCTCCACCTGGGTCAAAAACCTTCCATTCCTCATTTGACAGCAGTTTCTGGGCTACGTCAATTGCCTCATTGTTATTTGATAGACGTTGTACTGAATACCTTGCGGTTATTGGGACGCAACTAGGACTTAACACTTGCAATTCTGAAGAGTTATATGGTTGCATCTGTTGAATATTGGAATGTAGGGCGATCATAGTTTAATAAAGCTGTTGGGTATGTCGACTGCTTACTGTGTATAAGGGGTAGGAGTGTCGACATTGAGGATAATGATAAACAACAGGAAGGTGATGGCTTGCAAGTTCGTCAAGCATTATTTTCTCTCCTCAATGCTTTTCACTGATTTTCACTCTCATTAATCTCCTTTGTATGTTTGTGCCTGCAGCTGCGTTTTTAAAATGAATCTTGTTTGATCTCCTGACTCCTCTGTAATGTGGGCATGTGCTGACATCAGTACTTGGCTTTCAATAATCGGAATCAACATTAAGTTAGGGTAAAAAATCTGATATAGAGAGATAACAGTTATTCATATTTGACTTGATTACTCTACGTTCTTGTAGAGCATAGATGTCTCTGTACGCATGCCCTGAATGACCCTGAAGTTTAAATTGAGATCTTTGGTGTATTAATTTGTTGGTGTGGTTTCAAAGCAGAAGTTTAATTCGGAAGCATTCCGACAAGCCCTAAAAAAATGTGAATCAGTGTCTGAACTAGGGAAGCGGATCATTTATGCCACTTTAGCATGTCTTGTTGATCAAAGTAGTGTTTGAAACCAAAATTTTCCTTACAATTATTTCTGGGGAGATCACATCAAGTCCAATGAAGAACGACTCTGTTTGGTTGTGCTACTCTTTTTTAGCGAATATAATATTGGGAATTGGGATTATAATTGTCTTTTTAGAGAATTCTAGGGCTCTCCATTGTCCTTTATACAATTACGGGGTCTGGGGCTCACCAGAAGCTTTCAGTTCTCTCTAAATTTTTAGGTTGTGGACTGATGTCTTTTCTCATTTGGTTAATATTTATCTTTTCTAGTTTTATATTTGAAAAATTACTGTGCAGATATGAAGTTGCATTGTGTCATGCAGGAATGCTATTAATGATCTATCTGCTGGGTTGAGCGTAGAAAGTTCGAACATCGAATGCTTGTACTTACGTGCCTCTTGTTACCATGCCATCGGTGAATATAGAAATGCGGTATTTCATATCCTTCCTTGATTTTTTACCCCTTTCCTAATTTAATTTGCCTACAGAAGCACCCTGGCCTCTGCTTGGCTTGATGAATAATTGAGGGATTTCTGTATGGTTTCGATAAACATTCTTAGGCATCTCGGGCATGTTCTTGGTTGTGTATGTGATCTAGTGCAGGAATGATGGGAAAATGTAATGATAGATGCTGCATAGTTACGAGAAATAATGATGGCAATTTTCCTGTTTTTTTGGAAGAAACTACTAGTTTTTTAACATGGAATCCTCTTTATCTGGTGATAGTTGGCTGCTGAATTTTTACATTTTTAGTCCAGTCTTACATGGTATTTAAAGTTAAGGTATCCGATCACATGGTCTCTTTTAGTGAAGCAACCTTATATGTTTTTTGAGGGGATGATAAAGTTTGAACAAAAGTAGCACATGGATTTTGTAGAAAGAAACTCTGAACATGGTGTCAATTTTCCTCGATAAAAAACTCTCATCATGAATTCAAGTTATATCACCGAAAGGTTTTACTAACTAGAAATATCCATTTGATATCTTCTTACTTGTCTTTGTCAGGTGAAAGACTATGATGCTGTCCTGGATCTGGAACTTGACTCTGTAGAAAAGTTTGTACTACAATGTATGGCATTTTATCAGGTAAATTGATGCGTAGCTTCAGTTTTCTAATATATCTTATAAAGTTCTGTTTTCTTGTGGTGGCTTTTCCCTCGTCATTACATTCTCAAATTTTACTTTTTCCTTTTCTCTTGAAATGTTGACGATCAAACTAGGTTTGGTGCACTGGAAAGACCACCCTTGCACCCATGGAGAAAATGTTATTTTTTTTCGAAATGATTATTTACAAAGGGGAATTGTCTGGTATTTATACCAGTCCTTGGAAGGTTCTAGATACAGCTATCATCAAGCTGGCGAGTAGATGTCATCCATTCCCAGCTTAAGGATAATCTTCTGTAGTTGTGTGCGAGAGATACCCTTGGTAAGCATGTCTGCCAGCTGATTGTGCGTAGAGATATATGACATACAAATCAAATTTGCTTCCAACGTTTTTTTGATGAAATGATGACCAGCCTCCACGTGCTTAGTACGATCATGTTGTACTAGATTATGCACAATATTAATTGTTGACTTATTGTTGTAGTAAAGCTTCATAGAACCAGTTAGAGAGATTTAGCTCATCAAGTAAGATCTTTACCCAAAGTAATTCACACACACCATGGGCAAGTTCTCTGAATTTAGCTTCAATACTTGAATGGGTAATCACATTCTATTTCTTACTCCTCCATGTAACAAGGTTGCCTACAATGAATGTGAGATATCTAGAAGCCGATCTTTGGTTAATCGTTGATCTTGCATGGTCTATATCCGTAAATATTTCAATCTCTACTTCCCACTTCCTGTGAAGAGAACTCCTCTGTTCGGTGTGCCTTTCAAGTAATGTAGTACTTGATAGCCGTATGTAGATGAGATTCTTTTGGCGGATGCATACATTCTCTCAATATAGCTACTACATAAGAGGTATCTTGTAGGTGTCAGATAGAGTAGTCAACCAATGAGACGTTTATACATCTCAAGGTCGACAAAAGTCTCTTCCTCTACCATACAGAATTTGAGATTCGGATCAATGGGTATGCTAGCTGGCTTAAATGCCAATTTCCTTGTATCCTTCAACAGATCCATTACGTACCATTTGTGGGGAGGATGAATCGTTAGAGCATTTGTTTCTTGGATGTTCATTTTTCTTACAACTTTTGGAAACACATCTGCATAGAGTAGACACCCAATGGCTGATGCTTGGGATAACATTGGAGCTGTATAACGACTGGTATTGATAGTAAGTACTGTAAGGAAGAGCCACCTCATTAGATGACAAGGTACTTTGTTATGGACTTTATTATGCAAACTTCAGGGAGCATGGTTTGTAGAATGGCCTGCCACTTTTTTGGTATAGACCATGAAAATATTGTATCAAGAGTGTTCATATATATTTGTATTCCTCGTTTAAAATTCAACATGTTTTCGGTATCATCCACTTTCAAAATTTGGGCCAGGGGGTTTACCGTTCAGAACTGAGTTATAGGATTAGAAACAAATATATATTCTGGCCAAAATCTTGGAACTTTAAGGAGACACCATCTCGGAATTCTTGAGTAAGTTGTCATTGTTTTAGATTCTTACTTCCTTTAGCTGATCAGAAAAAAATGTGTTCAGGTGGGGTTCTCTCTGAATTTTTTGTTTATCTTTCTTCTATTTTTCTATCTTTCTATATAAAATAAAAAATGGAAAGAAGACACGAAAGTTGGTGTGAAATTTATGGGACCTTGTCCTAATTCAATGGCAGCAGAGAGATGGTGCTTTTCCAAACCTACCATTTTCTTCTTTTCACTGTGGTGTCTATCAACGTTATTTGTGATAGCCATATCTTTGTTGTTTCGGGAAATTTTCCATGAAAGGCATATTTCAGGGTTTGGACCCTTGGCAGGTAGGATGGACCGATTCAATGATGGCAGATGTAGTGGTCGATTTTGTCTTTTTTATGTCATCTGTTTTATTTTTAAAGGATATTTTCACCAGGTTGTAAAGATTTACATCACTCCATAATGTTCCATGGTTGTAGTCCTGTAAAGCAGTGGCATTTAGGTAGCTGCAGGTCCCCGTAAGTCCGTGCTTTGTCTCTCTTCTTGACTGTCCATAATTGAATAGGCCATTTCTGCTTGGTTTAGATTCTGAATTTTAGTCATAAGGATAATCATAAGGACATTTCTGCTTGCTTCAATTAATGATGTTCTTGCACTAAATTTCATCTGTCTCTTGGAATATTTTTTTTCTCTGTTAATGTGTAATATCTTTAGAAGTCTAAAGGCCTTAAATTTTCTTTTCTTATTCCTGTCATCTTGTCTTTATTCAATTTCTCAGGCAAGCGTCTGACACTGGGAAATGTAATTTGAAATTTAATGCAGAAGGAAATTGTTTTATATACTGCCTCCAGGGCCAACTCTGAGTTCTGCTGGTTCGATATTGATGGTGACATTGATCCTATATTTAAGGTACTAAAATGTAATCTTTTTCTACTTAGTTGCACAGTGGATTTTGCAGGATTCAATGTCAAGTCAGATACCATTGTACGTAGTAGCACCCTTGGAATGCATGTTCTGAGAACCCTTCACATGCTTTTGACCTACATGGGGATGAAGGTGTAGAGATCTTGTAATAGTTGAAGGATTTATGATTATCATGGCTTAGGGATTCATTAGAATTTTCAGTTAGTGACCAAAATATCTTGTCTCTCTGTCGTCAAAGTTCTGAAGCTGTGCCTACAAGGCATTATTTGCAGGGAGTGTTTTTCTCTTCCCTTTGCCCATAGTCTATTGTTTTTATTCCCGTATCCCTACTGCTGTATCTATCCCTTTATCGGCTTTATCTTCTCTGGTTCCGTTCAATTTCTTGGTGATTTCATCAAAGAATGGAAATCTAAAAATAAAATACTTCTTTTGTGAGTGATGATTAATAAGAATTTGAAGAGGAGGGATAGAATATAAGGGAGAACAATAGGGTTCGTAGAGGAGAAGTCACACAAAGCGCACTACTGGATTGGGGCATTTGTTCATCCCATAAGAGTAAACAGTACCCATGCATAGCACATGAGAATATGGATAAAATGGGAAGAACGAGGAGAAAAGTCCGATAATGAATTATTGGGTCAATGATCCTCAATAATCCATTGACAGCTACAGTACGAGAGCAGTCTTCAGCAGTCATGAAGTAACTTCTTTTGGGTTTTGTTATCAAAATTATTGTGTTTCATGATAAATTGCCGTTGTGCAGTTGTTTAACCCATTTCTTAGTGTTGTGAAACTATTATTCAAGCTGTTAATTTTAGCACTTCTTTTCTCTTGGGGCGTAATTTGGCCCAGTGTCTACTAGTTGTGCTTGGCAATTTGAATTATAAAACCCTAGTCCTCTTAGTCTTCTTATAGGCTTGCAAATTGGCTTTGCTTCAGCCCGATTAATGCTTCTTCTTTTGGCTTATCATTTGTGTTTTTGTTGTTGCTTCTTGTCACTGGTAAACTATGCTTCAAGTATGGGAACCACAAATATATCTGTGGTTTGAATTATGCTCTGGCTCAAGGATGATGGAATCTTGGACGAAAAAATCGAGCATGATGTTGGTAGAATGGAAGAAACCCGGAACACAGAACCTCTGTCAGAAAAGGGTTGGATTTTTTTTAAAAATCTGGTCGAATATTTGATTAGGATCTTGTATTTTGGACAGTCGAAATTTGATTTCGTAGGTGAGGATCATGTAGTTAATGCTCCAGTGTAGTTTTACATGAGGAAAGACAGTGCGTGGAAGATGGGATCCTATTCCCCTTTCAAACCAAAATCTTTACTTGGAAAGCAATATGCATTCGGAGCCATATATTTTCCATTTCTTTGAATATTTATCTTTGGAAAATGGCAGATTGCATGTGGTCTCAAGGGGTGTTGGTTTGAGAGGATTGTACAGGGCATTACTAATGTGGTAGTTGTACGGTGTCTTATATTATGTTGATGGAATATTGGAATATTTTATTTATAATTGTAGTAAATTAATCATTCAGCTAAGGAATTTCTTCATGATGTTAATGCACATCTATGTTTCGAATTCTCATATATCTTCGTTCCAAATTTCAGGAGTACTGGTGCAAGAGATTGCATCCCAAGTATGTGTGTGAAAGAGTTTTCAGGCAAACTCCTCTTGCGGAAACTTTGAAAAAGGGTCGCCTTAGAAAGCAAGATTTTATCATTACTAAGCATAAGAGTATTCTACTACAAGCAGCTGATTTGGTTGGCCAGAAAATTCAATACAATTGTCCAGGTTTCTTGTCAAATAGGCGTCAGGTAATGTGGCGTAAACTTGCTGCTGTCATACATTTCTTTGTACTGCCTATTAAAGGCAATTATACTTCTTGCATGGGAGTTTCAGGTTGAATGTCCCTGTGGACACTCTTCCTTTTCCTTTTTTTTTATTTCAAGGTCCTTGGAGGTGATTCAAGGGAAGGCCCCAATTCATGCTAAAAAGAGAAAGGGATTGACAAAGTATGTGTTGGACAGAACACATAATTTGGAGTTCGATTCTTAGTTATACCGTCTGAGTTTGTTGGTTTCCTAGTTTTTAGGCAGTTTCCTTGTTTTGTGGTCTGTACATGTGCACAACAGTCATCTGTGATGTGAATACGAGTTGAGTTTGCACTGTTCACGACATGGAATCAGAGCCAGATTGTATTCTCTGGCTTCCAGAGGATCTAGGGTTTGCTGCCACATGAACACCTGGATCGTGACGTTTTTCTTCTCTTTTGCAGCCTAGGGTTGCCATTGATTTCGTTGTCAGCAATCACAGTAGGTTGAGATTCCCTACTCTTGTTTGCAAAACACTTTTTTGATCATCGACCTTCATTGTTGATCCTTTCAGCCTTGATTGCTGTCACCAAATCTGTTTTTCTAACAACACCAATCCTTTCACTGCAAGTAGCTTTCAGTTTTTCTATAGATGTCAGAAATTGTAGAGATGACCGCTACAACACAATATGAGGGGTTTGTACGGTTTCAGGAATCTGGAGAATTGCCGGGCGTTCAAGCTGCATATAGACTAGACAGAAAAAAAATCCTGAAGTGGTCCCAATATGTTTGCACTGTGCTGAAAGGGAAGGAGAAGATCAGCCATCTCACAGATACAGGGGCAAAACCAGATGATCCTAGGTTTGAGGCATGAGATGAAGAAGATTCCATGATTATGGCATGGTTATGGAATTCAATGGCTCCTGAGATTAGTGACACATTTATGTTCTTGGCTATAACCAAGGATATCTGGGATGCAATCCAACAGACATATTCTAAAGCTATAGATGCAGTTCAAGTCTATGAAGTAAAAGGTGAAGACAATGGCTGCAAAACAGGGAAGGAGAACAGTTACGGACTATGCAAATCAGTTGAAAGTTTTGTGGCAATAAGTTGACCATTATAGGGTAATTAAAACAAAATGTCATGAGGATGTAGCTATCCTAAAAGATTTAATTGAGCAAAACAGAGTCTATGATTTTTTTTAAAGACTCAATCCAGAATCTGATCAAGTAAGAATTCATATTCTCAGCAAAGAGGAGGTTCTCTGCTTTAATGAGGTGGGGGCAGTGATTCGAGGAGAGGAAATCAGAAGCCTGATGCTCGAAGCACAAGGTATCGGCAATGGTGGCTGGACGTGGCAATAATTCAACCACACACGTAGAGAGAGCACGGGTTGATAGAAGTGGAAACTCCATACAAATGAAGCCCTAGAATCGCGACCATAAGGATACCCTTTGTGCCCTTACTAAAGGAGGCATGTCATTCTCGTGAATGGTGCTGGAAGCTTCATTGGAGACCTCTGAGTTAAGAATGGGGACAGAAAAAAGAGCAGTCGAGGAACAGTGGTCAAGCCCATGTCACGATAGTGCAACATATTAAACAGCACCAATCACGATGAGATCAAGAGGGTGAGATCTATTATTGACACTCTTGATAGACCCTGGGAAGATATGCGGAGGAAAGACTCAACTCGTATTCACATCAGAGATGACTGTTATATACGAGTATCAGGCTCACAAAACAAGGAAACTACCTAACAAGTAGGAAACTGACAGACTAGGAAAAGAACCAAAAACCGAACTCCTAATTATACATTCTTTCCTGCAGTATGAACGGTCATATAATGTTAATCGAATGTGCAAAGAATAATCTGTCAGTTCATTGCATTGACGGAAGGAGTTTTTGGGTGGGAATGCATATTTTATGCGATGGCTTCTGGCAGCACCCAGTGGCAGTAGTTGACAGATTTCAGGAGTTCGATTTTTTTCCTCCTTTCTTTCGATCTTGTTCCTTGTGTGGCAGCGGAACTGTGAAAAACCGGTCATTCCAATTAAAAGGTGGTCAGCTAGATCAGCCAGAAGATCGTCCAGTTCTACTTGATGTGGTCTCTTTTCTAATTCTCAGGGATTGCGCCAAAGTTGGACTAGCCAATCTAAATATGGATCATCTGATTCCAAGTAACAACAGTTGGATTCCCCTTCAGATGAAATCAGATTTGATAAGTTACTGCATTTCTTTCCTTGGTTTGTAGTTTGTAAAAGAAGAAATTTTCCCTCTGAAATTCTGATTTATCATCTCAGTGTATTAATGAACATTTTTTTTGAGATAATGGTCACATGACAGAAAGGAAAGGATAATTATCATATCTGTTTTGATCTTTATAATGATCTGTCTCTGCGTTTCTTATTTTCAGTCTATTGCCAAACCTTGGATTCTTAATCCATCGCTCTCTTGATATTTAATAACCCTCTGAAGGTCTTGAGTCTCTGTTTTAAACCCGTCTGCTTACCACATCAAAGATTCTGATGATCTTTATTTTTTTGGGGTTACTTTGCAGGCTTTTCCAGACACTTTACTTGCAATAGTTGGAATGTTTTTTGCATTAGCCAGTATTACTAAAAATCTTCGGCCTGTAAATAATTGCTGCTTATGGCCTATATTTCTGTAATAAGTTTTTGAGGATCTCCCCGGAAGTTAGTAATTATTTATCTGCTTCTTCAACCTTGTGAATTGACATGAACTTTAATGACATCCGTATCTAGCGGGCGAAATGGAATTAGATGAGTCCTGGTGATTTGTTGTCCATCGGGTTTTAATAAGAGGCGAATCATATAGATCATTCTGCAGTGTCGAATAAGATCAATGAGTTTACTCTGTCCCAAAAGAAACTATGCGTACCCCAAAAGATACATTTTGGGGTTCCGATTTAACCATGTTATGTTAGGGAAATCGGAGTTTTCTCTGTGGAGGATTTCATAATGAACGTTTCTTCATCTAATGACTTCACTAGACTGTCTTTACAACAAATTTGGTTAGACTACAGCACTACCAGCTGAAGTGTTATTCATGGCAAAGTCATTTATCCCCTAGAATCTTAGCACGTCTCAGAACTTTTTCCTCATCAATTACTATCTAATCCGAGAGCGAATCTATATCCTTGTCCTGTCAGTAGGCTTTCGCACCTGGTGCTTCTAGTTCTCCATATAGCTTTCGCATGATATTCGATTTTATCATGCTCATCCTCTCCTAAAGCAACTCTAATGTTTCTTTTTTCACTACCTTCTGCTAGGAACTTTTTATGTGCAACTTTTCCCAGATTTTCCCATCTTTCAGGATGGTGTTTTCTATGAATTTTGTTTCATGATGGTTTTAAAAAATAATTGTTCATAAAGTTAATTCGATTGCATGATATTAGTTAAGGATTGGTAGTCTTCAAATGTTTTCGTATTTTTATCGAAAATCCTAGTTATCGAAGAGTATGATGTTGAAGGGTTGTCCAATTCTATTTTCACTTTGCAAATATGTAGCATTCGTGTGAATGACATTGCTATCCATGAATAGTGTGAAAGGTTGTCACAGATTTTCTGTAAATTTGAAGGAATTGAGGTCTGTAACGTGATAGAAATTGTGTGTGATTTTCACTCTAAGAATGCGTGAAGTCGTTGTAGTGCAGTGAGATATGGAATCATTATGACTTTATATATATTAAAAATCATTTTAGTTGTTTGTAATTGATTTTTCTAGAAATATGTTAACAGCACCGAATGGCGGGACTAGCTGCTATTGAGATTGCTCAGAAGGTTTCAAAAATTTGGCGTTCTCTTCAATCAGACTGGAGGCTGTCTAGTAAAAATGGAAAACAAAATGGTAAAAAAACGAGGAGGAAAGAGAAAATCAGTTCGTCCAGTGTTCCTAGCCAAAACAGGGGTGGTGCATGCAGCAGTAGCACTGGTTCCCCAGAAACCGCATCTTCCCATAGTTTCCCTGAAGACAGATCAGGACCAGGGCGCTCTATGTCATGGCAAGAAGTGTATTCTATTGGAGTTAAATGGAGACAGATTTCTGAGCCCTGTGACCCGGTCGTTTGGGTTAACAAACTAAGGTAAATACGGTTGACATTATGTGGCAATATCAATTTACTTTTATATTCATGGATTTATTTTCTTATTCCTTTTGCCGATAATAAAATGGCTCAATTTCTGGTATTCAGTGAGGAATTCAATTCTGGTTTTGGGTCTCACACACCAATGCTTCTCGGACAAGCAAAAGTCGTCCGCTACTATCCAAATTATCAAAGGTATGAGGAATTTTTTTTCTTATCGATGGATAGACGTTTGGAAAATAACTCATTTCTGTCTAAGAATGCAGGGCACTTGATATTTTAAAATCAGTTATGAAGGAAACCATGTGCGTATTCAATGCAGAGGATAAGCCTATTCATCTGTCTAAACCTGATCTGCAAAAGGTTGGTACAGTGAGCTGAAACATTTAAAGACCACTCCATCCGATGTTTAATCTGGGAACAAAGTAAAAATAAGAGTTAGAAGCACATGACTGGATCTAGAATGGTCATTATCAAGAAACTTTCACATGTACTGTATTTACGAAATCCCATCTTAAAACGAATAAAAAAATTATGGTGGAACATTTACGCTGATAATTTTTTTCCCTTTAAACGCGTCCATTTATTATTTGTCATTATCCTATGTTTCATTCCTAAATCGTATTACGTCAATTTTTATTTAGACACTTACTAGTTTGCAAAAATTCCATGTTAGTTTCTTCTTTCAGTGTTAGTAGTTGTGCTCTGTTTTAGATTGTTGTGTAGTCGTGGATTATCTATGCAAAGTTATATATCTTTTTAGATTTTATCAGCTGTAAAACTCATTTTCTATAAAAGTTAAGGTTGATGACACTGCAAATTTCTTAAATTTTATAGCTAATATCTTAAGGGATTACCATTTTCAGATAATAAATGCAAAATCTTGCTCTGATATTTATGGTGTTATTGGTGAAAGCTTTTGGGTGGCAACGAGTTGTGAGAGTACTGCATTTGACGGGTAATTACGTTCAGGACAATTCTTTGACTCCTTTGTCTTCTTGTACTTACCTCCTCGTGCTATGTAATAAGTGTACTACATTTTTTATGATCGCTAATCTTTATACGTTGGAAACATTTCAGAAAGCTTCTCGACGGGACAAGGATCACTCTTCAAAAAATGTAGGGTAAAAGTGAACTTTCGATCTCAGTGAAGGCGTCACCTTTTTTTTCCCAGGTCTGTGATACTTTGTGAATGAAATGCAGGGATACAAGAGGATTTGATTTTGCAATTAGAACACCTTGTACACCTTCCAGATGGATTCAGTACGAAACAGAAATGACGAGTTCATGGGAGGTAAGATCAAGCATCTTGGGAACTGCTTGGCTGGCTTTTTGTGGCATGATTTACATTGCAATCTCACTCAATAAGGATTTCGTGTCACTTGTGTTAAAGGACTTTTGCTACCTAGTCCAAAACCGTTTGGTGTTTCGTGGTATAGTCGGGCGAACTTTTATCACAGGATTTATCTCATCCCTTCCATTGTACGATTATTCTAATAGAATACTCTCACTTGTGATTGTTGACTTGACTTCCTACGGTTTTCTCAGGATGCCGAATTCATTAAAAAAAAAAAATGGAGCTCTGATTCCGTGCCAGCTTTCTCAAAGTCAATACCCATAGATTTAGTATGCTCATTATTTAACCAGTACTTTGGTCATTGCCTCCAATTCGCGAGGACTCTTAACAGTTAGATGGATTGGGTTTCTTGTTTTTCCCTGGGAGCTTGTCATACCTCGGCTATTAAAGTAGCTTACAATGGATCGGAGATCTCACTGGTGAAGCAATCAGAAAAGATTTCTCTGTTAAGGATGGTAATGGAAAATGATGGAACCTCGGATATTGGATGAGTAAGTTGTTTGAAGCTATTATTGCAGCTGGTATCAATGATGAGGAGGCAGTTATACTCATGATCTCCTCAATAGGGATGCTAAGCTGTTGGAGTCTGTATTCTTGATATCTATTATTAGGGATTAGGAGTTGACGAACTTAGTTGTGCATTATTTTACCGTGGTTAATGTTGTAGCATTCAAACGAATTATCTTTGTTCATGTGAAGTCGCAATTCCTGTTCAGAATTTCGCTTTCTTGGGGATAAATGACACTTACTTTGGTTCAAGTGGATTCATACTAGGTCCTGTGATGTAGGGGAAGAGTCATTGGCTACGTAGTTATCAAATAACCATGCACGAATAGGATTTAATTGATGTATTTTGTGGCACTAACCAATGTTGCAAGATCCGACCTTCATTTGGAAATTTTCTGGACTCAATATCTTTCACTGATTAGAATATAATGACAATACGCAAGAGCAAAAATTTGATCTTTTTTCAAAGAAATTGTCAGGCCTCAGGTGCCAATTGAGAGGATGAATCCTGGGAGACGTAAATCAGTTCCTTATCAAAAGCATTTTTCCTCTCCATAATTTTCAATTTCGGTTTCTTTTTTTCAAGATGAAACTTATTGTAATGTATCCTTCAAACGTATGAACGTGATCTTTATTCACGAACCTTAAAGATTATTCTAGTAGACCAGATTCTTGGTTCCACGACCGAGTCCATGTTTGATGTTTGGCTATTTAGTCTTCATTCATTCTGTTCTTTTGATTTTTGGGCTCCGACCAAGTCATCTCATCTCTCAGATCTTCGAAATCCTCATCCTGTTGACTTTCATCTCCTGCATGTGCAGGCCATTTGCAACGCTTATTCCGGTGAAATATACGGGTCAACTGATCTGGCTGCTCTAGAGACCGTGAGGGATGCCATTCTGAGGATGGCGTACTACTGGTAAAACAGGAACACCCGCGTGAGCGATAGCCGTCTGACAAAGTCAACGGGCCGGCATCTGATCTGATCACCTGCAGGTACAATTTCATGCCGCTGTCAAGAGGAACCGCTGTGGTTGGCTACGTGGTCCTGCTGGGGCTGCTCCTCGCAGCCAACATGGAGGTATCGGGGAGCATCCCGCAAGGCGTTCAAGTCGACTGGGAGGCCATTCTGTCCTCCCATCCTGATGCCTTCTTGGAGTCCGTCAAGCCATGGCTGTACCCATCCATCAAAGTCAACACCTCATGGAAAGATCTTCCCGACGTATCGTCAACCCTCCCCACGACGGGGTCTGTCGTCGCCGCTTTAAGTTCCTACGACGATTAATCTTGGGACCTCATGTACGAGAAATACTCCCCCAACGAAAGAAATACAGAGAAGTTCGAAACGCACCCACTCTTCATGCCAAAGCAAAACGTCAATCTAACTTCTGACTTCAAACGGTCAACGGGGTATCGAGGGGATAATCATTGTTGTTACTAAGATATCCACAGGCAGCCACATGTTTCACATGTTTTGCGATGTTCCGTTAATTAGAACAGAAGGCGAGCCCTAACCAGAATTCAATCTGACTTTTCACTTCTATTGAAAAGTCAACCTGATTCTCACTTCTAACGATCAACAGGATATTCAGGTGTTCATCATCGTCGTTCCTGAGATATTATCCACGGGCAGCTACACGTTTCGCATCGTTCCCATAATTAGAACAGAAGGCAACACCCCAACCAAAATTCAATATGACTTCTCACTTCTAATGAAAAGTCAACCTGGCCTCCCACTTCTGACGAAAGGTCAATCTGACTTCTCACTTTTAACGGTCAATGGGGTGTCAACGGGTCAGTGGGCTATCGTCGTTTCGAACGTCTGTGGGGTTGCATTGTTCCCGCAATTAGAACAGAAGGCGACACCCTGACCAAAATTCAATTTGGCTTCTCAGTTCCAGCGAAGGTCAGCCTTCTCAGTTCTAACGAAAAGTCAACCTGACTTCTCACTTGTAACGATCAACATGGTATTGTGGGGCTGATCATTGTTGTTCCCGACATGCTCTTGGGGATTCCACTCTCTCTCACTCTGAGCTCACTTTCCCGGCGGCCTGTCAACCCGAATCCTCTCCTCCCCGGGCAGCACATGCCGCACACTCCCATCGTACCACGTGTCCCTTGCACCACATGCAGCATCCGCCATGTCTGTGCACTGTATTGGTTGCAAGGTTCCGTCCGAGTCTCACCCCGCCTAATTTTCTGATGCTAGGTACTACTAGACAAGATCTTCAAACGATCAAAGATCAGTCTTTCTCTCATGTAATCTCTTATTTCAGTTTGTCCCACCATTTGATGAGGAATAAAGTGTTTCTGTGAGAGAAGTTGTGGCTGCCGCTATCAGTCACTTGATGACTTAGTATCACCTCTGCCGTCTCGATGTATTGAGTGTGGACTGTAGGTGGAGGTCGTCGCAGCCAATTTATTCCATGGTCTTCATAATCTGCGTGATATGGATCCAACGACGGTACTTTGGAACACAGGGTGTACTAGGAATCTTCAAAGAAGCTGTAGTTGATAGGTAATCAACGACTCTTTCCACAATCCTGAATAACCCATCATACTTTGGTACTAGCCCATCATGTCATTTTTTTCATTGTATGTTCTTATGAGTGGGATATATCCACGGCATCTCCTAATCACCATCTTCATACTCAACCTCACATTAGTGACGGTCGATGTTCGTCTTCATACGTTGTGCTACCTACCCCTATTAGCACTTTCTGAACTTCTTGCACGAGTTCATACTACTATTTTGCAAACTGATATACGACGAAAAAGTGTATTATTTCATGCTATTTTTTAGTTTCATGTGGTGTATGAGGTTATTACCCACTGAACTACACTATGTTGTAGTTAAATTAGGCAACCCAACTATCATTATCAAAATTCAGTGTCACAAGTATTCTTCGAGCATGTCATTTATCCATTCTGTTTGTCCATCTGTCTACGGGTAAAAAGTTATAAAAAATTCTAAATTGAATTCTAAATAGGGTAAATAATACTAACTAAAACCCTAGTGAGGTGACGATCCCAACCAAAGATGATATTTTAAAAAATGTCCTATAGACATAAGTCAAGAGGAGACATACTACCTCGTCCACCATATATTTGGAGAATCAGTCCACAAAGATTAATATAATATTGTAACTGTCCATACTAGGGATTTGCAGTGATAAAGTCAATCAATTAGTGTTTACATAGTTGTTCAGGTATTGAAACCGGTTCCAACATCCCAACTAACTTCTCTACTCCATATCAAGCATATCAAGCATATATGTTCGGGTACTTTATTCTACTAACATATCAAGCATGATCAAACATAAACTTCGACATTTTACTCCATATTGGGTTGAAAGTAGCTGCTAACGAGTGCCATAGTGTGTAACCATCCCAAGTGGCATGTATGAGGTGCGTCATGTGCCTCCCATAGTAGGCAATACTGCATGTCACCCCCATGTGGCACATATGATTGATGCTCATTCGCATAAATGATCTTTTTCTCCACCTAGAAGTGGCGCATCCACTTATTGTAGAACTCATTTTGCTGCAGCATCTATGGCATAAGTCATCTAACTCTCTTAAATTAGGTTCTGTGTAGTGCATCCACTGTGTCGTGCAGTATATCAGTTACAAGGTTCTGTGTAGGGAACTTCGCCCCACCTGATAGACCTTGTGACAAGATGTCTTTATGGACAACCAAAATTAATAACTCTTCTAACAATGATGGCCTAAGATGTATCTCTTATTGCACAAGTAACAAAGAGGTAAAGTTGTTTCTCTTGTTTCTTTTAGGAGTAACTTCTAAGTTGATTATGAGGTTTTGAAGCTTTAGATGTAGTTGCTCCAGACTACACTATACAGAGACTTAGGGTTTAGGGTTTATGGTAGATTGAATGAAAGCAGAAAGACATACCTCCGCTTGAATGTTCTTGTGTAGTCCTTTAAGAAATGTGTTTTAGATAACATATTTGAGGAAGTCATCTATAACTATTGTCATGAGCTCGAACTCTTGAAATTCCACATTTGACTGAAACTGAAGTGTTACAATAATTTATGACTCGTCTTCACACTGTTTGAAGGCTCGTGTATCAGTCCACTTAAACTATATGAGGGCTTTGACTTTGAACCTCATGTCAACTATAGCAGATTTCTCGACCACCATAACTGAATACAAAAAGGGAAATAATTATGCACGGAGAAAAAGGTCTTCTAGATCCTTACTACTACAGATTAGCATCTCACTTCCTGCCACCCTACCATGACTTCGTGTAGAGATTCTGGATCAGAGGGGTAGCTGTGGTCAACCCGAGTTAGTGCAGCTCATCGTGAAGAAGTCATGACCTATCATTCGACTTAGAGTTATTGATATTTTACTCCATTTGCTAGGGGCCCAGCGTTCTTGATTATTCTTATCACCATGAGATTTGTTTGAATATCTGGGTGTCTTGGAATTGACTCGGAGGGAGAATTTTAGAAAGAATTTCGAGGAGCCAAGGACACAAAGGAGGGATCTTTATTGCAGACAGATGACAACATGATGGAAGAGGGGAATAAAAAAGGCCACTTCAAGAGGGCCAATCTCTAAGTTCTCACCGATAACCTTCCCAACCACTTTTCTGTGCCTGAGCAGGCAGTTGATGTCGCTGACGATTCTAAGCTTCTCTGTCGATGCGCTGCCCGCCGCGTCGTTAGGGATGCCTATGAGGATCGTATCAGACTAACATGGTACTACAAGAATAATCCCCGCCGTTTAGCTACGAACAGTCATCTCTCGCTGTCCGATGGGTTCCTCCGGATCGTGTCTGGTGGCCACCCGACGTCTGGTGATCTCACATTTTCACTATCGGAATTCGATTGGATCTCGTGGTTTCTCCTCTGCGCTTACTGTCACGGCCGCCTGCCGCCCCGAATCTTCTCCTCCCCGGGAAGCCATGAACTGGTGGTGGTCCGGCGCCATCGGCGCCGCAAAGGTATCCAGCCGATCGGATCCCCGGCCGGGGACGCCGTTTCTGATTCTCGCCTACAATCCGCCCTACCGGAGGTTGACGGAGTCTTGATTCTTTCCCCCGATTGCAGAAGTAGCTGGACGAGGACGAGGGCGACGGCAGCGCGGGGACCAAGCACGAGAGCGTCGGCCTGGTGACCGGCCGCAAGCACTACATGCGCCTGTCGGGATCCCTCGGCGAGACGCCTGCGAACGGCTTGTCCTACCACCAGGACCTCCTCCTCCTGTCGGTATTCCCCGGCGAGACAGCTGTACACGAAACGCCGTACCACGAGGGCCTCCCGCGCCTGGAAACGCCCAACTTCTACTACGATCAGGAGGACGTGCTCTTCGAGGCGGCGGTGAAGTCGGAGAACCTCTCGTGGTCGGTGCACAGGCCGGGCATCATCTTTGGGTTCTCTCCCCACAGCCATGTGAACCTCGTCTGGTCTCTGTGCGTTTATGCCGCCATCTGCAAATACGAGGGGGTGCCTCTCCGGTACCCCGGGAACAAGGCCATCTGGGAAGGCATCTACAACGTTTCCGAAGCCAATCTCGTCGCCGAGCAGCAGATTTGGGCTTCCGTAGACCCCCACGCCAAGAACGAGGCGTTCAAATGCAGCAAAGGCGACGTGTTCAAGTGGAAGCACATGTGGAATGTCCTGGCGACACAGTTCGGGGTGGAACCAGTCGGCTACCAGGGGGAAGAGAAGCGGTTCAGCCTTCGGGAGGCGATGAAGGACAAGGCCAAGGTCTGGGATGCCATCGTGAACGAGGTGGTACAGTGGTGGTTCCTGGATTGGCTCTTCAATACCCAGGACACCCACTTGGACAGCATGAACAAGAGCGAGGAGCACGGCTTCCTGGGGTTTAGGAACTCTGTGAATTCCTTCACCTACTGGGTAGACAAGACCAAGGCCTACAAGATCGTCCGTTGACAGGCGCACCAGGTACAATTTCTTTCTTCCCCGGGTATGATGATCTTGTAATAATATAATAGGAGTTTAATATTACCAACTACAGTGACACAATAGAGAATGTAGGGGCATCGACACAGACACTAGCTACAGGCAGAATAATATATCGCGACCTACGGAACAAGATTCGATGAACAGTGACTCAGAACTATCAAGTAACCTGCTCTTTGTGGGGTTTATGTGACACTCCCGGAACCTCCCGACCGGGTTGACGCCGGGAGAGACCACGTGAGACCCACGCGGATGAAGGCGAGGGTGAGGGAGGATAATACGGCGGAGGTTATCCCCTCTCCCTGTATAAAAAGTGGAGAACTTCACTCTCTG